GTTAAAAAAATTTAACTAAAATTAAACTGGTTTTGTGCAAATTGATCATAAATTAAACAATTTCTATATTAAGTTACACATAAATTTGTTTACCACTGCATGTATAAATTTTTTATCTTTAATTTAAAAACATAATATTTGTTAATAATCTAAAGCTTGTAAAATAAAATAATAATGCATTGCATATAAGGTATTTTTTTTAATTTAACTTGGTTAAAATTAAAATTTATATTTTGAATATAAATATTTTTATTGCCGTATGAGAGATATATAAAAATATTCATTAGTTTATCTAGGTGTGTAGATGAATTTCTTTTTGCATAAGCATTTATACTTAATCGTTATATTTAATTCATACACAATAACTCTTTTTTTTAAATATTAGAACAGTTTATTACAATATTAAATACTACCAATTTGTAATTAAATATAAGATAAAATTCTAGATTAATATAATTTTAAATAACATATTTATTAGTAGCTTGTTTTAAACATAAATTTTTGCTTATTCTAATATTTAATTAATTTAGTTAGTTTTTGTAACTGTCGATTTAATTAAAAACATAATATAATTATTTGGTATGAATTTATAATCATTGTATTTTTATTTCCTTTTTTATTATATTTATCTTTATAGCTATTGTTTATTTTTTTGTATTTTGCTACATTTTTATATATTAATAATAAATCTTGATCCATAGTTATTTTTAATTATTATTATTTGTTATAATTTATTTTATTATTTTATTCATTATAGTTACGATAAAATTGTAAGTAAATTCGAAATAATTAATTAAATAAATTATTTTTTATTTTTTATTTTTAATTATACATCTGTACATAATACACATGCACAGATTGTTTGAATGCGTTGTATTTAATTACAAATAGATGAATAAAAAATTTTTATTAATTTGTCGAAATAATCACTGTTAAATCATTTATAAATAAGTTTTAATTTGAACTTTTTTATATTCTAGATTTTCAAATTTTTAATAAATATATAATACTTTACTTTATATTATAACTTGGATAATATATTTGAAATTAGTACTATTAAACATTTTCAGATGTTTATATAAATTATTTATATATATTCTAACAAAGAAATAAATAATTTTAGTTTGAAAATTAAAAATTATTTTAAATGAATCCTGTCAAGTGATCATGACTCATAAGTATGTAAAAAATGGTATATTAACGTTTACAAATTTTATGATATTTTCTGTTGAATGGATATGAGTTTTAGTAAGGGTAATTAGTGATTTATATAATAAATCTACTGTAGATTACTTTTAAATTTTTAATTAAATTAGTGTCTTGTATGCTTTTACTAAATAACACTATTATATAAATAGAGTATAACAAATATTTATTAACATAAGAATCAGAAATCTTAGGCTTTTTCATTTTTAATAATGTTAAGAGTAAGAGTAATTATTATTTTATTATTATAAGATTAATTATAATTTTTTATTTCAATAAGTTATATGCAAGATAAAATATTTTTTGATAATTCAATCAACTATCTATTCTTACGTTTCAGAAATAAATAATATATTATAACACATGAAACACAGTACTTTACGCACACGCATACGACCCTGGTTTATTTTAAAGATTATTTTGTTCTATGCATAAAAATATTTCTGAAAGTATATATAATTGATTTAGTTATTATGATTCAGATTTTAATATCATTATTTTAGAATCACGAAATATATAATAGTACAATTGTATTACTAGATTATTTAATTATATCTAAATGCGTTTATTCATCGTTAAATTCTTATCGTCAATATGTTTAAACGAAAATGTTAAATAATTTGACCATGTAATTATCTTTAAAATTTCTATTGATGAATATATTTTTTTCTATCTAATTGTGTTTTAGTATAGTAAATTTTCCGAATATAGGGGTTGTGATGCCAGGGCCGTATGCGCGCGCATCCCTGTCCTTCACTTGCTTATAATCGAACGGGGAGTATTCTGTTTCGTAGTCATCTAAGTAAGAGACAAAATTTTTAACATTTATTTTATAGCATGTCACAGAAAAAAATATTTGTATTTTGGTTGTAAACGAGTGACCAAAATGAAAATATTCATTTGGCGTAAGCCATAAATAGAGGTTTGTGTGTATCGTCTCATATTTCGATAAGGTTATTATATATCACAATATAAAAACTTGAGAATTTTTAGGATATTCTAAGTATATGATTAATTTTATATCATCTGTGTAAGTATTAAGTAGTTACTTAAAAAATTTTGGATTTATTTATAATAAACATTTATTTTTAATCATAATGTGTAATAACATAGTGTTGAATGTATATTACAGAATAAATATTAATTAATAATTTAGAAATCAATGAATTGTTTATAAAGCGTAAAAAAAATGTATAAATTTTTTTAATTTACAACATATTCTAGTATCAGAAACAAAATTTAGAAGGCTTGAAGGTATAACATTCTGTTTCGTTTATTAACTCTTAAATTTTGTAATTAATGCAAATTTAAATAATTTTTTATGTACTGCAATTTGTAAAAATGATAATAATGTTGAATATGATAAAAAAAAATATTTTTATATATAGCGGCTGGCTTACAGTATACAATAAATACAAACAATAAAAATACCATAAAAAGTTGATAAATATTTTTTTGATATTTCAGAAATAGTATACTTTAAATCTAAGCTACATATATTGATATGCGCGCGCATTCGCGTACACACAGATGGAACACTGATATAATTTGAGGTTATAAATTATCGAATGAATCTAGAAGTTCAATTGTTTAACCAAAAATTATATGTTTGCAATTATATAACCTTTTTTAAACTAATTTAATTTTATGAAAAATTAAATTTGTAGAAGTTTAAATAATGTATTATTTCAATTTATTAATAATAATTTATTACTAAACTTATTTTTGTTAATATTTTTAGTACATAATAATAGTAATAAAATTTACTAAAATATTTTCATAGATTTTATATAATTCTATTAATCTACTATAGATATGGTTACGCAAATACAAGTAATAAATGTAAAAATGTATAGTTTAATAATAAAATACATATAAATATAGGAAAATAAAATTTTATTAATTTATTAATGGACAATATCAAAAAGTACAATTGCTTAATAAATCATAATATATAAAAAAGTGAGTCAAATTTAAAATTAAAACTTATAATATACAATAGTATTTTACGAATATTAAGACAGCATTGTTATTTATTTTTGTATTTTGCATTTTATTTATTCGTAAAAGAAGATAGATAAATTCATATTGCCATTTATATTAAAGAAATTAACAATAAAATTGAGAAAATAAATGATGTCTAGAATTTTTCTTTCAACTTATCGTCAGCGCTCTTGAGTAATAGAATATCCAATACCGATTTTAACACATTTAAATTTAATTTATTGAAGGGTTTATTTCGTTAAATCCAATTTAATTTTTATTAATTTTATTTAGTTGATCCAGATTATCCGAAAAGAATATTCATTGTAAAAGTACAGTGCATGTGCATCATACGTAACAATGCAAAATTTGTATGTTACATAACTACATAAGAAAAAAATCAACATGCTCAACATTTTACTCTATCTAGGTGACCTCAAATCTAGGGCATATCTAATGATTTTGTAACGCCAATCAGATTATCCAATTGTTATATAATAACAATAAATTTATTGTTTTTATAATATGTAATACCATATTTATAATAAATACTATTATATAATGCAATAATATATTTATGAAAAAGTTGTATATTTTTAAATAGTTCAAGTTGTGTAGTAATGATTCAGTACATAATTTGAAATATCTATCGTATTTAAAATTATATTTTAGATAATAATATAAATAATACGAACAATATAAAATAGCTACAAGATAGTATTCTATCCTATCAATAAATAAATAGAAGTATAATCGAAAATAAGTTATTTATTATTTAATAAGTTATTTATCATTAGGAAAATCGTTCTATTTTGTTTAATGTAAAAATTGATTTGTGGCTTGTATCACAATCCTATAAATGCACTTCTATAAAATGCTAATAATAATTAAGAATATTTATTGTATAATTTATATTATATAATTTAAAGTATAATAAATACCATAATTCTGTATTAAATAGGTATTAAAAGTTGTATGATTTTATATTGATTATAAAATTAAAAATTATGAAATAATTTGAGTATAATGATACTATTCTTAAGTGTAGACGATACTTTAAAATCGTACAGAATTTGGATTACTTCATCATGTACAAAACTATAGACCACGCTTCAGAAATATTTAAAATGGTTATAAAAACAAATAGTATGTGAAGAATATAATGTTTTCTAAAGAGTAAATCTTAAAAATCAAAATGAACTCTGAAAAATTATACACTTGCTATTAAAATTAATGTTTTTTATTTTCGTAAATTTTATACACAAAATTCGTTATCTCTATCTATTTTGCTTTTTATACTTCTCTTTTTTGGTTTTTAATTGGAATCGAATTTTATTATAAGTATAAATATTATGCTTCTAATAATCTAACTGATTTTTTATAACTAAAAAAATGAATCTTTTTATGGACAAAATATCAATTTTTTCTTTAAACATACAGCATAACTTTTTCGCGATGATGGTTTATGTATTGATTACAATATTTTAAAATATTTAAATTAAGAAATTCTTCTATAATATATATTTAATAACAAAATATTTCTATTATTTTACAAATAAGTTTATTATATAACTTATAAATAATACAAATTTATAAATTGACTGTTTTATTTATGAATATATAAGTAGTAGGTTAAATATTATATTTTTAAGGTATGAACAATTAGATTAAGTGCATTTTAAAAATGTACAACTAAAATTAATTAAATAAATATTATATGTTTAATTTAACTAAATAATCTAATAACTTTTATTAAAATACTTGTGAATTATCTAACATTGTTTAAAACATTATTTATTTACTGATTTCAGGATGCTTAATTAGATGTATAATTGAAAAGTGTATTACTACGAATAAGTATTATTCAACTATTGAAAATGTTGTCAATAGTTAACATGTTAAATGCAAATTCTGAATCAATAAATGTTGTTGACTATCCAGTAGCTGTCAAATCCATATGTTTACCCAAGGCAAGAGCAAGAGTGAAGTAGTGAGTTATTGATACTATCACAAATTGGTAGATGCGTTCCGAGTTTTCATTATCCGTAAACTATTGTAATTACATTATTCAAAAAATAACAATGCAGCAAAATAAACCAAACCCGATTGGATCCACTAACCAAGATAGTTATCAGTATGTTGGACCGTATAGGCTAGAGAAGACATTAGGCAAAGGACAAACTGGTACGTTTTACAAAAGTTTTCCATATCAATTGTATGTGATATTTAAGTATTTTTAAGTTATTGATTAATATAAAATGTTAATAATAAATATATTTAATACAGATGTATTTTATACCATATTTTTATTATAGCAATAAACGTTTACTTTATGTATATAAAAAGGGCCTTATCAAATATAATTTTTTTATTTAATTTATTAGATGAGGATTTTATGATTACAAATTTTATTATAAAATTTAAAAATGAAGGAATTTCGTAAAATCAGTATGTATGATGTATCCATAATCTAAGTTTTATATTATTCATTTATATTTTTTAATACTTTTATTTTTATATTATTCAGATTATAAATTTGATATTTACTATACAGTAAATATCCGATTGCAGTTAATATGTCGCATATTTCAAATTGCAATTCGGTTATTCTCTTTATTTTTTTTAAATAGTTGTTAAAATATTCTACCAAATTACTTTTTTACTAATATTTAGGACATAAAGGACACAAAAGAATGTTTTACGTACAATATTAAAATATTAGTGAAAAATTCTGAAATTAAAATTATGATGTTTAATTGAGAATATAACTATTTTCATGATTGACAATGAATTGTACACAATGATAAATCTTCTTATTTATGTTATTGATTCTTATGCTACATTTATTTATGTAGGTGAACTGAACTCTTTAAATTTGGGAGTGTATTTCTTTAATATTTAAATCAGGTATAAACTTATTTATATTGTTATTTATACATAATGTTATCAAATATTTATTATTATAATATTTGGAGATATCTCAATCTGAAAATTTCGTTGTCACGTATCACAGTAATAAAGCAATATTTTTAATTAATTTTATAATTTTTATTTGTATTGAGGCAAGTGTTCAATCATTTATATAAAATAGACATAAAATAAAATTTGTTATATAAATAAAGTGCAAATTTTATTTAAATTATAAAATCCTTATTTGATATATATATTAAAATATTTTCATAGGAGTATTTTAAGCATTTAAGTGAAATATTTAGGTAATATTAGTTATTTAATTTTGGTTTATTGATGGTTATATAATATTTTAAATGTTGTCATGCAGTTTACGTTACACTTCGAATAATTTATAAGAATTGAAGTTAGTAGATTAATTTGTCGATAGTACAGAATTTACACAAATTACGCAAATGCTTCTTGACTAACGCAATATTTAAAATAGAAATTAATTCACGTGCTCGAATAATTTAATTATTAATATTATGTTTTAAATAAATATATATACAAGTCAAGACTTATCATTATTAATAAATAAGATAGCTATAGATAAAAGAAACAGTAACGATAAACAGAAACGAGACCAAGTTTTTACTCTTTAATTAAATATTATTATGTGGTAAAGAAAGTAAATAATATATTCTCGTTTAAAATAGAAAATAATAATTGTAAAAAATTTATAGACAAGAAATATTCTACATGATAAACAAATATAAAAATTTTCAGGTTTAGTAAAACTAGGTGTTCATTGTGTGTCAGGAAAAAAGGTTGCCATTAAAATTATCAATAGAGAAAAGTTATCTGAACCAGTTTTAATTAAAGTAGAAAGAGAAATAGCTATTATGAAGCTTATAGATCATCCTCATGTTCTCGGCCTATCAGACGTATATGAAAATAAGAAATATTTGTAAGTATTAGTTACACAATTATTCAATTATAAATTTATAATTGTAAATATTTATTAGATCGATTGTATACTTTTTAAATATAATTTATTAATTATTCAATGTGCCGTAGCCATTATATAAGAAACTGAAGAAATATTTCTTTAAAATAATGAATAAATAAAAATATCGTAAAAATATAACATTCAAAGTTGTTAATTTAAATTCATTTGTCAGGTTAAAAGATTAAAATACAATGTCATAATTACTTGTATGTAGAAAACAACCTGCATATAAAGGCAATTTATTTACTATATTAAGACCTAAACTACGTAAGAGAGCATTGCTCTTATGGTTTAATTGATTTATAATATTATTTAATTTTCGTACATAAGTAATTATGATAATTTAAATGCTAATTTTAGGGTATTCAATCATAAAAATATGTATTCCAAACATAAGTAATAAAATTGCATATTGCTATGTAAAACTGTATATATTAAACCATGTATCTATTAAATCATATAATAAGTAAAATAATGTATTCTTTAAATCCTTAGTGATTGAGTAGATTTTTCATTTGTTAGGGAATGCAGATTTTTTATTTTAAAATATTTTATATATAAATATAATTTTTTTTATAATTAATTTTGTTGTTATTTACAAATAATGTACTTTATAATTTGATTTCTGAATTATATCCTTTTCAGATATTTAGTTTTGGAACATGTTTCTGGTGGAGAATTATTTGATTACTTAGTGAAAAAAGGTAGATTAACACCTAAAGAAGCAAGACGATTTTTTCGCCAAATTATTTCAGCACTTGATTTTTGTCACAGCCATAGTATATGGTAAGTCAATTTTTAATTAAATTTTATATTATTTATAAATTTTCAAATAAAATTTATAGCAAGTACCTATTAAACTTAACTATTACAGCTTATTATTATATTTTAATTCTAAATCATTATTTCGAATTACTGAATTTCATTAAAAATATTGTTAAATTTATAATATAAATTAATAACGATTATTGTTTATCACCTTCGAAGTCTAACAATTCTTTTATTACCTCTATACTTGTGAATATTTTTGTCATTGTGAATACTTATTTACTTTTTTACTGAATTATGTACTTACTACGTAAAAGACGGTAACAGTATCTTATATAATATGAAAACATTGAAATCTAAATAGTTTAATAGTTTTCTAGTTTGATTATACTGTTTAATGAATTTAATGATGATCATAGCTTAAATATGTTAAATATGATGGAATTTCAGCCTCAAAGAGAAAGATTTTTACTTGGAAGATCAGAATGGTTGACTACATATAAAAGTTATGCATAAATTATTACAATTGTATGTCACATGTAGATTGTGTGTAATATACTAAAAGCTGATATTAATATGAAAAATATGATTTTTGGTTAGAATTATTTTATTATATACATTGTTTAGCTAATTTGATTTATATCGTATCTAAGTTATTAATTGATAACTATGATAAATATTTCCACATTATACTATTACACAATTATGAACCTTTATTAAAAAATTTATTTATAGTATATAAAAAGAAAATAATTTTAAGCTTATGACAATAGAGAATTATTAATTTCGAATTTTTAATTGTAGAATTTATTAATTATATATTAAAATATGTTAAAATAAATTTCCAGATTACGAGAAATGAATTATATTGCAATGAAATTGGTTTTCATGTAAATCGAGTTGAATCCTTTCGTGTTTAATATCAAATTAAAGGTAGAAAAATTGATAATAGAATATACATTTTTAGCATTCCATGAGGTATCATGTTCGAATAAATATCAGAAATTTAATGAATTGGAGAATGAGAATTTAATGAAGAGCTAAATAATTATAAAATTAATCTTCAGTGAAAGCATTATTTAATAAATATAAAAAACATATCCAGAAGGAATCGGTGACTATTAATATCGAATCAAACATTGTTAATTTTTAACAACGGTTATCGTTTCGAGGAAATAATTTATCAATTCAAACAATAATTCAATAGTTCAAGCTGCCGCGTAGATATTTATGGCAAGCGCACCCTGAGGTAAGCACGACTTAGTAATGAGCTAGTCGACTAAGAAGTCAGTCAGCCAAGAATCATTCAGCCAAACCGAGTCAAAGAAGCAGTCGTAAGCCTTTCAAATACTAGTACAGCCATTGCACAGACTCTCAGCAGAGCCGCTACGGAAGGCCCTTCTCATCATTCCACACTACAAGACAGCTTGGAGAAGACCAACAACCTAGTTATCACCACGTGGCACTACACGAAGAAGTGTTAAGAGACTTACGACCTCTCACTTTCAGTGTAATACTTCACCACCAAGCGTACTGCAACAAGAGGATCCGGAGATTTACGGCCTCCTACGTTTACGTGTAGTGCATGCTGATACCACGTGGCAATAACCAAGAAACGGCAAAATCTCACCGATTCTTATCGTTAATGTAGAATTATTTCATTGTAGTTAAAAAAAAAGGAAATACCATTCAAGATAAAGGAAGCGTGTTAAGTACTGAATTGAAGTGCTACTCCTTCCACTTGCCCACACTTTTCTCCCACCAAGTAACTGGTGGCTATAGTCTAATTCTACACATTTTGGTCCTTCGAGCCGGATGAGTGGAATTCTAAACAACCATTGATGCAGTTATGCTAAATTACAATAGAAAATATAATTAATATATAGCATTATCGTTTTTATCGAAAGTTTAATGACAGATTAGATATTATTGAAGTAGTCAAATTTCCATTCCATACTGTTCGCAACTATTTTCTTAGCTCGAAATGCCAATGTTTTGATAGCTTTAATTTATCGCCCGCCCTAGCGGGTGCTTGATAAGGAGTTAAGTGGAAGGGATGTAGAAATACAGTATGCGCTTCTTCGAAAATATGTTTTATTTACAGTTACACTCTTGTTTTATTTGATTTATATGTTATGGAAGGGTATACATTATTTTCAGTCACATCGTTTCAGTAGCTTCAAACTGATCTTGTATTAAACAAGTTGTCTACTCGAGATGCTCTTTGAGATGATGATGTTGTTAATCTTGTAAGGACCAGCAATTGATTATGCACACTCATTAGTGAGTGTGATTTGTGATATTAATAATAGCGTCATGCTACTCTTGTAAGGACTGGCAATAATTAATAGTCTGCTAATTTTGTAAGGATTAGCAATTTAATTTGCACAGACTTTCTTTACTCACAGCGATACAGTAGCCTTGATTCGATCCTGAGATGAGTAATTCACCATCCGGTTTGCTTCTTGTTGATGGCGATGAATTATTCTTGCTGATTTTGCAAGGATCAGCAATGCTTAACTACGTTCCTTATTAGGGAATGTGTTTTGTGTAGTCTGGCATCTTCTTGATGTGAGGGAGATAGTGTCAAATGTCTTTTAATTGCAGCACAGGAGGATCAATGCATCTTCTTTCCATCGAGGCCGTACTTACAGCGTGATCATTATAGTATCAAGAGTAGAAGCCGTCCTTCTTCCTTGGCTTCTCCACTTATATAGCGCTTGTGTCTGTGTCGTCCCCACTTGTAAGACCTCTGACCAAAACGACTCCGCTTAGGGAATGTCTCTGCCTTAGGTTTCTCCAATCAGACCGCGCGAGCGTGCTTGTGTCTTCCGTCTTTAGAATGAGTTTGACTTCGACAGTGGCCATATCGGTAAGAGCGCCTCTAGCGGCTTCATTTAGAAAAAGTAGTCTTCTCGTGGCTTTCCCACCAAGAGGTGCTCCTGACTGAAGGGCCCTCGCTTATCTTCTCTAAGCGGCAGCATGGGTAGGCTTGACAATAGTGAATCCGTTGTGTACCGTTAGATCGGAAGTTTGCGTGTAACGACTATTTCCAGATGTCCAATGACCTGCGTGTTCCCAGATGATTAGGTACAACGGTTTTTTCGCATATGTTTAATGACTTGAGTCTTTCCAGATGTTTTATACTCGCGAAGGGTTCTCGCAATCTCAAACACAGACATATTTAGAATGCAAATAAAATTTTTCGTGATTTTGGAATATAATTATTACATAATTAACTAATCATTTTATAACAACTACTTTGTAAAATTAAAAATGAAACCTATGTTATTCAATATACATTATAAATACTTTAACAAATTTTATTGTTATAAATATACATTTTACGAATTCCATTGCTTATTTCAGTCATCGTGATTTGAAACCTGAAAATCTATTACTCGATGAAAAAAATAATATTAAAATTGCTGATTTTGGAATGGCTTCGTTACAACCTGCTGGCTCTATGTTAGAAACAAGTTGTGGTTCCCCACATTATGCCTGTCCTGAAGTAATAAGAGTACGTAATTTAAACATTTATATATGATATTTATTAATTAATATTTAAAATATGCTATCATAAAACAATTTATTTTTTCAAATAGCTTGAGTAACCTAATTCCGAATTTGTTAAAGATAAAAATTTTGTTAAAAAAAACTTTGTTAAATCAAAATATAAATATTTTTTTAAATGTTTTTCTTTGAGACGAACAGGAGATATGGATTACTGATAAATAAGGATTGATGATAGAAATATTAAAATCGTTTATTTAATATTTATTATGTAATTTATCACTTTTATAACAGTTTTATAAAATCCTGATGTATTTTATTTAAATTAATTGGATTATTTTTATCAATAAAACAATAAAACATTTTTAACTCGTTAAAATATACTGATAATAATATTAGATATATACATATATGTATTATATTTGAAGAGAGTACAGTTTTATTTTAAGGTTTTGCTAATCATTAGAGATCCAATACTTTTACTTTTTGTTGAACGTAAATATATCCACTATTAATTACAGATAGATTATTTAATAATGAATTTGCAAATAATATATCTTCATTAGACACGCAATATATGCAATTTGATCATTAGTGTATAATTTTACTTTTATAACTATAGCACTAAAATTAAATAAGAGTTGAATATTGAATTTTGACTGTAAATTGTATATTCATAAACAATTGAAATATATTATATGTAATCAAATAAATATTTTTTTATTTTGAATAATTATTTAGTAAAATATTATTATATTTAAAAATTTATTGTTCTTAGGGGCAGAAATATGATGGTCGAAGAGCAGATGTTTGGTCATGTGGAGTGATTTTATACGCACTTCTTGTTGGAGCTTTACCATTTGATGATGATAATTTAAGGCAACTACTTGAAAAAGTAAAACGGGGGGTATTCCATATACCACATTTTGTTCCTCCCGATTGTCAAAATTTATTGCGAGGTATGATCGAAGTAAATCCAGATAAAAGACTAACGGTATGTTATCTGCATTTAAATACTAAAACAGTAGTGTGGTATTAAAACATTTTTTATGGGCTATTTCAATATCCGAAATTAGTAAAAATTTCGGAGTTATTTAGAATTAAGTTATTTAAGTTAATTTTTTATTTAAGTTAAGTTGTAATTAAGTTGTCGAATTAAATATTTGTGCAACTATAAATAAATATTACCTTTATATAAAATTTTCGTTTCATGGCCACTAAAGCAAAGAAATACATGAAATTCTGTGAAAATCTGTGCATAATATTTAATAATGCCTAGAAGGCTCTGTGCTAAAATGGTGAAATGATATAGATTGATTCTTATTATAAAAATGACCAAAAAGAGGTCACTGAACTCAAAATTTAATAACGTTAATATATAGCTTAATATTGTTTGCCTATGCAGCTTCTACAGTAGATTGAATTTTTAATGGATACAAGTCAATTGAAATTGCAGCATCACTGCAATCCCAAAAAAGAAAAAAATTGCACATTTTTCTTTAAAAAGCCCTAGATATCGTTTTTATTTGTATTTTATCGTGTGTTTTTATTTTAAACGTTGTTCTTCATTTTATTATTTATTATATTTAAACTAAGCCAATTAGCATGTGCTCACTTCTTCTGGATGATAGATTTTCATTTATTCACTGAGTTTTTATTTCAGTTAAGAAGCTATTATCTAGTAGAATTAATTGTTCAAATTAGATACAAGTATAAATCAAATCTTATTTGTTATACATCAATTTAAGATCTATTTAGCAAAATTATAACTAGAATCATAATCTCGATTGCTTATAATAACACGTATTATGTTAATTTTTAAACATATCTATGATATTATAAGTTTGTTCATTATATACAAAAAATTAATATCACGAATAAAAATATAATTTTAAGCAATAGTTTAGATAAAAGAAGATTAAGATGGAAAAAATGGAATAAGATAGCAATAATGATAATAGGTATTCATGTCATTTATATCTGAGTTTGAGCAGTTCAATGTAATAATTATACTATATTATCCATTTGACACTCTGTTAATAGTAATATTTTATACTGCTTTTATAATTTAGAAATTGTATATTCTCTGTCCTTGTGTACTTACAATATAGCGAAAGCACACTTTTCATTAATTGTATACTTCTGTATAATGAAGCGGACATAAATATTTAGCAGTTGTAATTTAATTAACTTTAATCATTATTTTAGAAAAATTTATTTTAAATATCTTTAATTTTTAGTTAGCTGAAATAAATCGACATGTCTGGGTAACAGCAGCAGGAAAAGGGGAGTTAGAGTTGGAATTATCTATGATGGATGTAGTACAAACTCATGTAATTCCGTCCGAAGATGCTATTGATCCTGATGTCTTACAAGCAATAGCAAGTTTAGGTTGTTTCAAAGAGCAAGACAAACTTATTAAGGAATTACTCAGTCCAAAGTAAGTTAGTTTGTACAATTTTATGTGATGTATGAAATTATATTTTTATCTACATTTATTGTAATATATTGAAATTCATATTATGCCGTTCATATTGTTAGTATAAATAATATAATTACAACATTTTTTACAACATTAAAAGTTTCTTAATTTATTCGTTTCTAAATTATAATAAAGACCAATTTTAATGAAATAAAAATAATATGGTTTTAGAACGAACAATATTTCAGAATTTTTAACAAAATATTTGTAATGATAATATAGTAATAATAATATATAACATTACAGAAAATATATATTAAAAAAAATTATTTTCTAATAATATTGAAAAATATTTCAAATGAGATATCATTTATTTTTATAGCTATGGAAATAAAGTTTTATTGATTAACATACCCAGTAAAAATGTTAACTCGTTAAATAACTAAAAAAAAGTCGGAAAAAATAATTAATTAATACGCCTAAAAAAAATCTACCGAAACTAGTCTGAGATAGACAGATAGTGAGAAAATATTATTTAGTTTATATAATTTGTAAATATATATGTTAATTACAATTTTTGCATTTAAAAATAAAAAAAATTTTGTATACACTTTAATTTAATCTAAAAATATTTTTTCAAGCGTAAAATCTGTAATTTGAAAAAAGTATCTAGTTAAACGCCATGTTGAATAAACGTTTTCACATCATTTTTCCTTCTGAAACCTTTATCTTTCATACATGACAAATTTATTCTTTCAAGTAACATATGTAGAATAAATATAATTAATTTAAATTAATGCAATATAATATGACTATATTATAATACTTGATCTTTGTAATAGTAATATATTAGTAATTAAGCTTTGTAGACAAATATACAAAAACATCTTTTGTCGTTGTAATGTACAATGTTTTACATTATATAAAATTGAGTCTGGTAATTTTGTACCATAGTAAGCGCATGTCTTAACTTTGTCTTATTAAATTTATTTTAATTAATAATATCAAGAGAAAGTAATTTTCTATTATTTAATGAAATAAAACACTTTGTTATTTATTTATTCTTTAGTCTGTCTTTAATTTTAAATAAGATAATTTTATATAAAGAAAAATTGATTAGGTAATTTGCATTTTTAGATAATTTGAAATTATTTCCTTCTAATTTATATATTATAGAGGTATCGACAGTGAATTTATAAATTATTAATGCTTAAAATTGATAAATATTTCAATACTTTAGTAGCTTTATATAGTCATTAAATAAAATCAACTAAAATGGATATATTATAGTTTTTTTAACAAAGTCTTGAAGATTTATAACAAGCACATTAACAATAATTTTTGTATATAAGTTATAAACATCATTCTTGTATATTAGATGTATATTAGATCTTGTATATTAGATTAGTAGAAAATACTTTTCTAAGAAAAAGTTTGATCGAAGGTTACTTTCTCTAAATAAGATGAGACATGATTGATTAGATTCCTGTTTGTATTGAATATAATCTTGTAAACACTGAATTGGTTAATTTAAAAATAAAATAATATTTTAATTGAAGTGTTATGTATTGTAATGTTTTAACAATTATTAGATGATTATTCTCTTGCTTTGTAAAATCATATAAAGTATACTTATAATTGTGTAAATGTTAGTTTTATCGTTTAAATGAATGTTAATTCTAATTTGTATCTATAATTTACATATTTATATAAATCGAATATAAATGGTAAAAATATATTAAACGATAGTTTATAATTGAATATAGAATTTAATAAAATACTCAATAACTTTAAATTAAAAGTAAATTTAAATTATTTATGATGAATATTTTAATTAAAGTATGATACAAATTTGATTTCCATTGGTTCTTAAGGATAAATGTTATTTACAACTGGTTCTCTCTCTTCCCTTTCCGCCGTTCCTCTCAATTGCTTGCTGATACATAGACACAGCAATGAAATGTTACAAAAATTAATAAAGAGTTATAATAATGAGATAGTAATATATAAGATTAAAATCCAATACCATTTTTTAATATATCATTATGTAGTAAAAAATGTATATAATTTACTAATAATGGAACCTTCAATATTTTGTAAACTTTTTACAACTATAATTATAAAAATTTGATACTTGAGTACAATATTTGTATTCAAATATGTTTAAATTTTCAATTCATGATCATTAGAAAAATATTTGATTCACAGTTTTTTTTCAGCCACAATACCGAAAAAGTTATATACTTTTTGTTACTTGAAAGAAAACGGAAAAGGCCAGCTTGTGAAGATGAATTAGAAATGGTACGGAATAATACACGCGGAATAATTAATCAGCAAGATGATCCACCGAAGAAACGCATCGATACCTGTAGAATTAATGGAAATAGAAATTTAAATTTAGGCCAAATAAGTCAAGGCTCTCCAGTAACACCAAGGAGACAATCAAGGTAGATATTTTATTTTAAATATTATTGTTACAATTATATAATTTTATTTAATTAATAAGTACTTAAATATCTTATATTAACACTAAATATATTTAATTGATATAATTTATTTTACGTTTATTTCGGATTGGACAAAAAATATAATCACCTTAATTTTCAAATCAATATATTTATTTCCATTTATTTTAATTTATAATGTATTATAAACAAATTTTGAATTTACTAGACCAATTTATTGATCTTTGAATATAGTACAGAACGTCAATGTCATATTATATAATTATCTTTCATATTATTTTGCGGCTTATTTTTTAATGGAAAGATTCTAATTCTTTAATTATTATTTGCTTCCTAATCCCAGAATAATTAAAAAAAAATTTTTAATTCGGCTTATAAAATAATTTCATTAACATTTTAATTTAAATTAAATTTAATTCTTTGTTAAAATACCCTAGAAATAATTTCATCTTCATCTTCTTCTTATGTTGTCCAAAGTGTTAATTTAATAAATTATTGTTAAAAAAAGTAAGCTTACGCTGTCTAGAGTGCAATTTAATGAATTATTTTTCAAGAAGTCTGATATTATATAATGATAAAAACTAAAAATACAAATTTATTCAGTCGTTTGGAAATTATTGAGAATATCGTATATACATTACAATATATATATCTTCTGTAATACTGCTTTTTTAATGTAATAAGAATGCTAATTTTTAGAAGCAAATTCTAACTTCATGTTTTCACTGATTTTACAAATTAATGAATATAGGACAATTAATTAATTTTCAATTATCTTGGCTTGATTTGAAAGATTTTTATATATTTATTCATAAATGTAAATGGATTGTACATTCGTAATTTAATAGAAAAATTCTAGAATTAGGTATTGAAACACATACTAATATGAGGATAAACATTTATTTGTTATGTAATATAATAAGATTAATAGTAGTTATCAATGACATATATTTATATATTTTGAATATGTGTGACGTAACTTTTCAAATAAAGTATCCATTTCTTCATATTTCATTTCAATAGTATTTAAAAACATTATTACCTAGAGTATTCAGATCAATATATATATACATAAAAGATCGTAAATAAAGTAGTGAAATAAAATGCATTTCGTAGGGCATATTATTTAGATAATAAATGTTAATATAATCGATAGAAAATATCATAAAAAATGAGGGAAAAATAAGACAAAAAATCTAATTATGTTTCCATTGCAAAAACCAAATAAAACCATTAAATGTTTCCTTCGTAAGTTACACTTCAAATAAAAATCAATTTATCGTGTTGATTGATTTATAGTGGATATATGAAATATACGTTAGCTTGGAGTAAAGAAGGTAACGATAGATAGGCAATATTATTTATCAATATCAACATATATCATTGATTAATTTTTAATAATATTTTTATTTAATACTAATTTTTACCAATATAATTTATTTATTAGAATAATATACAAATAAATTAAATTAATACAAAATAATTTTAATATTTTATTAATATTAATTTAATTAACCGTTGTTATAAAAAATAAAAAAAATTTTGTTAAATGTACTTATTTTATTTTTAGTATAAGGCAACATTCTAAACGAGTATCAAGTAATACTTATATGCCTGTAACACATTCAGTGACTTGCATGCCTAATACATCACCAGTATATGCTTCGAATATGAGCAGTTCACATAAAGTTATATCTTGCTTACAAACCGCTCCAGGGACTAATTCTAGGCGTTTATCATCTATTACGCCTACTGGAAATGATTGTTCAGATCAAAACAGTTTACCAACTCCTGCTGTAACGAATATTGGGATTGAAATATCTGATTTGCAACAAGGTAACATAATGTTTTAAAACACGACTATTTGTACAAACCTTTAAAAAAATTAACATATTTGTTTTTTAAAAAACTAAAAGAAAATGGAAAACTATTAAAAATGTATTCTTTATATTTTTATATTAAATAGAGATTCATTTACATGAATGTAATTTTACATATAGTATTTAGAATACATTAAAAATTATATAAAAATTATATAAAAAAAAACATAAGTAATCATTAATTTTTACAAAATAATTGTTGTATGAAATTTGATACATTTCACATTACGTACTAAATAAATTGTATATTGTATCAGGGATAATAATTCAAATTAATACTATATTTTATTATACAAACATGAGTATTTCATAATTTATAGTAAAGATAGTTATTTTAATTGAATAATAGATATTTGGTTTTTAATTGTTGCAATTATATTTACTACGTGTTACTAGATATATGTATAATTTATTGTTTATTCTCTTTTTACAATTTATCCCCTTTATTTCTTAAATAGTTCATTATTTTGCGGTAATTTTTATAGAACGGAAATAATTAGAAAAATTGTCATTCTTTCGTATTACCGAAATATCATATAATTTCTAATTTAGTAATAAGAATCAAATTTACTTTTTTATATTTTTCTTCAAATATTTAAACAAATTTATGTATATTGTTCTTTTTTCTTATAAAAAATCACAAATCAATTGTTTATCATCTGATCGAAATATATTGTCTGTAAACTTAGTATGTCGATGCATACAATCGAAAGAAGAAAATACACGATGTAATAAATATGATAGAATTTATTTCATCTACTGTAATTTTGGTTATACATTTTCTCATTGGTGATTTTTAAACATTAGCCACTATTTTATCATTGATGCAGTTATATATTTATTTGATTGATAAAATAAAAATAGTTTTATAGTAAATTTTTTGTCTATTGCACCTTTTAATGAGATTGTATTAAAATTTTAAAAATTTGCAACTCTCATTATGGTTGTAAGCTATGTAAAAATGGGTACAATTACACTTCAATATTTAGAAATACTTATAAAATTAATGTAAAATTCAATCATGTATACTGATACCTTGTATATTCTACATGTTAGTTTGAAAAAATCTCTAAACATGTTTTTTTTTCAAAAGAGAATTGTAATATTACACTTGCTTTTCTCAAAGAGTATTTTAAAATAGAAGTTCAACTTGATATGTCATTTGGATTATTTGAAATTTACTTCGTGTAAAATAAATAATAAAATATAACATATTATTAATAAAATATAATAATCATTCTCATCTAATAATTTAAATAATGAATACAATTGGTTACGAATAAATTCTGAATATTATATTCATATTATAAGTCATTATTTCTTAAATATTATAATTAAAATTATAATTTGAAATTAATTTGATATGTTTCCTTATAAATTTAATATATATATATATTAGTTACAGTTTCTTATCATTTTTAGTTTCAACTGGAAATATTGAGGGAACTCCTGGTTCACCACATACATCTGCAAGTTCAGGAGTACATCATTGGAGATCTAGATTAAATACTATAAAAAATTCATTTCTAGGAAGTCCACGTTTTCATCGACGTAAATTATTAACAAGTGTAGATGACGTAAGAAAAATAATTATAGTAAAAATGCATGATTTATCTATTTTCTATATATGTTATTTTAACAAAGTATATTACGTTTAATAGACTTCCAAAATACATACACACACACACATATATATATATATATTAGCGGATGCATCATAATCTATTTGTAACATTATTACCAATATAAATCGCAATAGTAAGAACATAACTTTTAAATTTTTTTTTACAAGACGCATATTAATGTGACTAAACTTTAATTTACAAAAATCTGTTATATGAATTTTTCTTTTTAATTGTTAATCTATATTTTATGTGATACATTCATCGATGATAGATTATAAGGGATTATCGGAAAATGAATGCAGAATTTAAAAAATTAGAAATTCATAACTGATATCATTCATTGTTGAATTACTCCCCTATCTAATTCATACATTCCAATATTTCCTGCAATATTAAATTTATAATTATCCTTATATCTTCATACTCTTTCTGGAATTCTGACCTTTAACTGTGTATAATAGTTTATTTTTCTTAACAAATATCTCGTGCATTAAACGGAATCTTTAATGATATTAAACAAATAAAAAATAAAATCATGTACATGGTTAGTATTCATTTAATCTTATTAATTGAATGTTATAATTATATTGCAACGTTGTTGATTAAGATAGATAGTAATTTTAGATTATTCGATATTTCTGTATCAGTGGAAATTCTCTTTTAAAAATTATAAGTTCAGAATATGCATTCAATTTTAGAATCTTTAATTTAATAAGATACTCTTGAATTAAATCATTCACAACAGATTGATTAAAAATCAATAAGTAACTTATTTTGTAAAAATATTCAATTTCAAATATAAGACTAACATTACATGCACGTGCTACTGGTACTACTGCTGAATAGTCATTATCATTAAGACATGTATTTATCTAAGAATATTTTAAGCTGACCTTAATAAACCGGGCTATCACAAATTAGGCAGAGTCCTTAAAAAATCTCATTATTTATATAAAAAAATTATTAATGTTATATTTAAAAACTTTAGTAAACAGAAAAGTTTAAGTCAATTATATTTTTAGAAAAAAGATTTCCCATGTAGATAATGTATTTGCTACACTTTTAGAAAGAATATTTTGTATTTTAATAATTTTATATATAAATAATAAATTTATTTTTTATTTAAATTAAAATTGATTTTCTGTATTATATTGAAAAGCCTAGTTTTTATTTTTATAGAATTTTTTGAGCGCGTAGAAGAGATGAAGATTCATGTATATACCCTATTCACTATTAGATTTATAATTTTTTGTGTAACCAGGATATTAGACTACGGTTTGTATATTCTAATATTGCATGTGAAATTAATATTGTGGATTCATATTTACTAACAGTCTCTATCTCTTAATCAATTAATATAATATTCTCAAATAGTAGTGATCTTTTGCAAAGAAAATGTTTTTATAAAATAAGCATGCATGAATTCCAAATTATTCGTCTATTTAAAATTATTTTCACCTAGTGATTGAATATTATTTTTTATTTAGAATAGAACTAGCTTTTTAAAAGAATCCGTTTAAAAAAAAAGACATTGTTACGTATATATAACAATTTGTTCATTAACTGATATTTCCAAATAAATCCTAAATGTTTTTGAAAATTTCAAATTCTTAAATTTTTGAAAAATTATTTTTATTATAATTATATAAAATACTATTTAAATTTTCCGTCATTTCCTAATTCGGACACATTTCAGTTGATTATCATTTTACGTGTTTTATGTTATAAATATTTTAAGCATACCTAATTCTATGTACGATTAAATTTACACTTGTATATTTTTTATGTACTTACAGAGTTTGTTAACATAATAAATAAAATACACCTTGTAATTTTACTATCGACAATCAATAAACAGCAATTCTATAATTATAAATACAGTTTTTTAATAATTGATTGATATAAAATATCTCGAATATTTGTTACTAATAACTTAATATAATTTGAATATTCAGTGCGTGCATTTGAAATGAAAGTGACTCCATAAATAGGTGTTACAAGACTGGTACAATGAATGCTTTATATTCCTTCGTAGGATTTTTCGATGATTTTATAATGATAATTATATTGTAACTGCAATAGTATTTAATATGCTAGAGATTAGCATGCACTAAGTTTTTATCAGTTTGTGAAGCAAAAAATAAATAATTATTCGTGATATATTATTCATCATTTAGAAATGAATGCAGAGATTGTACTTATTATTTGCTATTGTCAATAATTGATATAATTTACATAGTATATTACATGTTTATAATTAGAAAAAATGAATTTATAACTATTGCATATTAGTACCAAAGCTGTTGACCTTGAGGTAATTTTAGGGATTATACAGGAACATTCCTTGAATTTACATATTTACATTTACAATATTTACATTCATGACAGTTGATATACCTATGCAAAGAATTATGTACACTAATAGGTAAAGTATACTAGTTGTCTATTCAATTAGTTTCAACAAGCAGCTACATAAATTATTACAAATAATTTAGATAGATGAATATTCCAAATTTTATTTAACCTTAGTTGAAAGTAATTATTAAAATTTTAAAAGCTTGGCAGTTGGATTTGCATTTTTATTCTTTTCTTGAAAAGAATTAATCATGCATAGAACGTAATTAATGATTATGGAAAGTTCTATATATTCGACAATCAATAAATTAAGGTTTCAAAAAAATAAATAACCCCTATAATTTTGGTTATTTTTATCAATAGATGTGCTCTATGTAATTGTATGGATTTAGTCTACTATTTATTGTACTACTGTTGTTTAATTTTAAGGATTTAGTTTATGGCTCGAACTGCCAATTCAATAGTTCAGTGGATTCGTCTCTCGTCAGGATAACTTTAAAGGAAATAATAAGTGTAAGGGCTGAAAAATATTTTATATAATGTAATTTTAGTCAGATCAATGTTTATTATTCGGTAAATTATAATAATATTGCATTGTTGTGGAGAGAGATGATCATTCTATTGTAGTAATGAGGGTGTTTCCTTGCGTTCTTGATTATCGTAGATTCTATGGATATTACTGTGTATCTTGTAATTGAGGTTATGCTGATCTTGTAAATATCAGCCGGTGTAGTCACTCATGCTTATGAGGTAGCATGAGAAGATGGTGTTTGTATCGAGTATGCTTGATGTATGGAATAACTGTACTTGATATGGTGTAAGGTGTTTAATGGAACTTAGTGAGTAATCAATTATGTCTTTAATTATTTATGGGGGCAGTAGAAGGGCTAGTCACACACAAGAGTAATTAATGATAAGCCTTTGTGCTCTTGAAGGACTTAATGAAATATATTTACAGTCGATTATTCGTTATTCTGTTGCCTGGCCTTTAACAATGAATTTGACGTGTTGAGTCAATTGTGTCGACTGTTTGAGGGAATGCACGATGACGAAGTGTTAATTCGAGAGAGCGTGCTCTATCATCTGTCGACTGTTTCAGGGAACGCACGATGACGAATGGTTAATTCAAGAGAGCGGAAATTTGCCCGATCTATAGTGGGCCTGTACGGGGTCGAAGCTTTGGCTCGACCGAGAGAATGTAAATTGCCCGAATAGTTCTTGTGCAAGTTGTGACTAGCTTATTTATTAATATAAAAAGTTGTACCTTGTAAACTGCTGACAAGGTGTGTTGATTTACTGCGTAGCTGATGTGCCCGTTTTGATTACTATTCCAATTGGCTTCACTGTAATCACTACCTAATCTGCTGATTTCTTTTTACTTATGCACACGTGTATTTTTAACTAGGCTGCCGAATATATGGCCACGTGTCGTTGTCACAGTATATACTAAACACTGACTACTTACTTAAAGTTAAGTGGGCGCGAGGTAGAATTACAATGAGCGTATGAGCCTTTTGAATACGCACACGAATCGAAGGCTGAATCGTTCCGTGGCGGCTCTGCTGAAAATACCGACCGTTCCATGGCTGTCCTGCTGAGGGCAGATCGAGACCCGTGTGCCATGGCTTCTACTGGTAGATGGTTAGATCGGTTCACTATCGTCGATCACTGCGGTCGTGTCACAGCAAGATGTTAGCCGCAAGCGCAGTTGAACGAGGGTGGTTAGCAAGAGGGCCGGTCAGTGAGAGAGGGAAGCGCGCCGTGTGCTTGACTTATATTTCCACGCGACGGCTCACTTAGCTGGCAACAAAGCATCGTCGTTGTACTGGAATCTTACATGAAGCGTAGAAAGAAAAATCTAGAATTTTCGAGAATTCGACGAAAGAAAAAGTAGGGCGTAATACCCATAGAAAACTTTCGGGCGATGTTATTACCCGAAGACCATATAAACAGTACGGACCACTTGAAACCAAAACATAACGAGTAGACGAAAAATTCTCGTCCAAGTGTTTACAGAAATCTGAGATCTGAAAGGGCCGGCGATGCCGACAATCGGCGATCTTGAAACTGGCTTCAATCTCTGACAACTATGAAATGAATGGTAATAATATATAATAATATAAATTAATATGTTATAATTATAAGAGCAACTAGGATTAGGCTATTTAACGAAAAGACAATGTAATTAAAACAAATCTATAATTATGTGCGAAATTACTATCTAAGCACTCTTAGTATCCTTGTGTCTTGGCTTTTATTTTCCTTTCATTTTATTAAAAATAAAATTATTTAAATTTAAACTTTTAAAATATAATTCTGTAACAAGTTCTGTAGTAATTTACATTTAATTTTTTTTCACTGATTAGTATTTTAAATACCCGTATCAAGAATTAAATTTATTAAAAGCTATTGAGAATAGAGAGCAGATTAGCGATATATATTGTATATGGTATATGAGTATGGTATGTCAGTGTCATACATGCTTCATGCTAATTATAATTACAACTGTACAAATACGCAGCAATCATAAAGTTTATAAGCGCTTACGCTTATAAATTAAATATGCATATAGATTGTTCATTTACTGGCTACTAATCGGTAAAAAGATAGTGTTCCTGTAAAATATTGTAATTGTTATACATTCTATTGTTCATATGAAATTTTACTTTATTAAAACATTTTTATGTTTATAATCTTTAATAATTATCTATGAATTAAAATACTCTATTTTTTTTCCACCGTTAAATTTTTTTAACAGCTATACTTCAAATAATCATGTAGCCCTAAATTACATAAATTAAGTAAAAAAATATCTATTGTAAGAATTTATATATTTAATTTATTCTTTGCTTTATTTAAAAATTTAAAATATTTATAATTATTTATAGGCTCAACTTACTCCAGAATCATCTCCAGAACTGACTAAGAAATCATGGTTTGGAAATTTAATGACAACAGAAAAAGATGAAACCTTTACGATATTAGTAAAAGGAAAACCTCTAGCTACACTCAAAGCTGACTTAATTCATGCATTTTTATCGGTATACATTTCTTTAACAATAAAAAAGTTCTATTTCTTAATATTTATATTAAATGTACTATTTGATCATTTCTATTTAGATTTAATAAGTAGAATACTACTTCTCACACAAATGCAGTAGAATATATTTATAAAATTAATTTTATTAAAGGATTGATTTGAATATTTTTTTAATATGTTTCATAATATGTATTTAAGTTAGGTAAAAAACAAGTTTTATTAATCATATTGAAACTTTATAATATTATTGAATATTTAGTTCAAATATTTAAAATTTAGAAGAAACAGTTGTGTTGAATATAAAACATCGAATTAAATTGGCAATACAAGTTAATATATTTTTGTATAATAAATTTATTTTATTTTTATTATAGTCTTATTTAAAAACTGCACTTGAATACGTTTCGTTTCAGCCAGTCTTCAAACTATCTATTTGATATGATTCAGTAGTAATAGATTAATTTGTTTCATCTATTATTACTTACAGGATTAAAAACGTTCCACACCGTATACTATAGCTGTATATATATTGTTACTCAAGAAAATACAATTTCTTGAACTGATCATAAATAAATTCATATTATGAACAAATTAAATGAGCATTTCAACTACGCATCACTATACTAAAATAGAAAAATGTTTCCAAAATGATAGTAGTATATAATGTTTTTTCTTTTGATCAACACAATTTTATATTTATAAAAGTGACAAAGAGTATGATGTTAGAAAATGCTAATAATAATTATAACTCATTTTTTAAATATAATTTTAGCTGTTAAAACAATGCATTGTATTATTACGTTACCTTTCATAAACTAATAAAATGATTTATTAATATCGAAATTTATAAATTATTAGTTGTAATTAATAATGTTAAAAATTATTAAATAATATTAACGATTTATATTTTATATTTCATTGGGATTATTAGATTACGTTATATTTCAAGTAATTTAAAAATGATTATTCTTGTAATATATATTAATAATTTTGAATATATATATATATATATATATATATTTTTTTTTTTTGCGAAAAACCATATATATATATAACAAAAAGTAGTTTCAGAATGGAAAATATAAGATTATAATATAAGCTTCCTATAATTACTATAAATAATTTTCTATAACAGTTTAAAAGGAATGAGGATTTGTATAATAAATAGCACAAGACTAACTGAATACTCGTAATTTACTTCCATATACAGATTTTCTTTGTATTAAGTACTTTATTAGATAACCCAATATAATGATCTATATATTATCTTCTTTACATTTTTGCAAATCGCATTGTAAAATTTCTTTTTTCTCACTCCATACTTCTCTGATTCATCTAGATTGATTGTACTATTGATAATGCTACTAATATACAATTCTATAAAATCTTTGATAAAAAAAAAATTAATATACTCTTTCACTTTTACATATTCTTTCTTTTTTTGTATTTGAATGCGCAGAAATATCATTTAAAGAGTTAGAATTTAGTGTAAAAATACTCAGTCTCATTCAAAAACCTTACCATTTGATGTCTTTTATCATTAATGATAAAGTTTCCTTTTATTTTGAACGTACGTTAATATTTAATCATACAATCGATAGTGAGTTGCATCCATAAATTTTTTACATAATTGTACATCTTCCAATTTTACGATAATGCGGATAACAAAAATTTTGGTTCTCCAATTATTAGTATTGTCAATTTCAATTTTATGACTTACTACTTTGTCCCGATATAACTGAAAAATGAGTGTTCAATCTCAATGCTATAAGATAACTATATTTGTATAAAATTTTTTGAAGATTTTGATATATTAAAAATGATAATGATATATATAATTCCAATATGTGAATATATTATGCTTTGCTTATTTACAGACAAAATTGAACATACAATAAAGGGTCGTTTTCTTGAATATATCATGTTTTATGATTACTTTCACCTATTTTAGCATTTTATTCTGAATTGTTGATAATATTTTTTATTTTATTTTCTAGTTATTATACACTTTAATTATAATTATTAAAGTTAATATCCTATTTACGATATAATTTATTAAAATATTTAAAACTTGTTTAAAAATTTATATTTTTTTTATTACGAGTAACTAAGTAGTATTGAAATATTTTTTATATTCTGTAAATAAAGAATAAAAATGTTTACTTTCTTTATTTTTTCTAGCTTCTTTACTTTCGTTATCATTTTCCTTTTAGAATCAAAATAATGAATTTTTGTATCATAGAATATAAAGGATAATTAGTATTAACAAATATATTATTTGCTAGTACTATTATGTAATAATGCATTACTGTTGTTTTATATATTTTTAAAACAATTATTTAAATACAATTTAAATTCATAAATATATTAAAGTATTAACTTAATCCTGTTTTAGATAGCTGAATTATCTCACAATGTCAGTTCTCCTATGTCATTTAGAGTAGAATATAAAAGAAATAATGCTGGATCCGTAATGTTTCAAAGACAGGTTCGATTTCAAGTTGATTTGAGTGAAATATCAAAACAATCATCGGAATCCCTATTCGCAATAACTTTTACTCTACTAAACGGTAAGAAACTTTTTTAATAATTTAAATTATATGTATATTAATAATATTTCTACTATATAAATTTATTATATACTATTAATACAATAACAATAGATTCATCCATTTTTCAATCGAAACTTTGCATAAAGAAAATAAAAATAAAATCTATTTTACTAACGATTATAACCAATTTTCATTTTAGTTAAAAAAAAGAAATTATTAAACTAATAATTGTTAACTTGAAAAAAATGAAATACAACAATTTCTGATTCTATTTATTATAAATTAATTACACAAATGTTAATATTGTTATTTCGTTCTACTTTATATAGGTGCTATTTTTTTTACTAAATTTTTCCAATTAATTTTTACTAAATTATAATATTTTTATAGTGTAATTTTATATTTTCAATTGTAATTTTCCAATTACTTATATTATATATTTTTTAATTTCCTCAAATTTTTAACGATTTTTTACTCTACTCTAGCATTGACACCTAAAGTAAGTATTCAAACTGTTAGGAAATCATGATGTTTGTATAATATTTATAAAACAAATTATAATAAAATATATATTCAGACTTATTGATTTGATGAGTATTCGTTATATTTAAGGTAATATAAGGAATAAATATAGCTTAACAAACAGTGGGATTAGAAACTCCAAGTAAGTCATGTAACAGTTAAAAAAAATTTTGTACCATAAGATGAATGATGTTAGATGCCGAATTTATGTATTGTGAATCTTCTTTATTAAAAATATTCATCTTGATTTTTCAAGGAAAATAAAAATGGTGTATTAATCATATCATTAAATTAATTAACGTAATAATTTTTATTAAATAATTACATTATCAAATTACAATTAACAACTATTTTAATATACATGAAATATGTATTGCTAGGAATTACATGTAATGTTCAGTTTAAACACTTATATCCACACAATTATAAAATTTCGCGGTTACTACAATATTATTTTATATTAAAAACGAAAAACACATATATGCAAAATTTAAAATTAGAATAATAATTTTACTTAAATATAATATTTTTAAAAAATATAAATTTCAAAAGGAATAATATTATATCTCGATATGTCTCTTGAACATCCTAAAAATACCTATTATATTTGTAAAAATAATTTGTTTTATTATAATTTTTTTAAAATTAGATATAATTAAAAATACATAATAAAATATCTTTTATATTTTATTTATTCGATGCCCATCATTTTTATTTATGAAAATATATGTATTTAAAGATGTTTCAATATTTCAATAACAAATTATTTTAATGCTTATGGTTAAAGGAAAGAATCATATAGATATTAATAATTGACTGCGTTGATATTAACTAATCGATACATTCTATAAAAAAACCAACATAAAGATTTTGAAAAATAATTAAATATAATGTATATCTAATATTCACTTTAATATTATTTATTACTTATTTATACTTTATCATTGAACATATGTTCTTATAAATTAAAATTTTTTTAAAACAAATTTCCTGTCGTAATATGTCGTAGTAGGCGAATTATATTCATTTATTATGTCTAAGTAAATTTTTTATTTAACGTATATCGATGAAAATAAATATCGTCACGAATCATCATATCATGTAGAAATAGATATTTCTAGCATTCTGGCATTAGATAATGCCATACAACTTAATAAGTTAAAATTACATTAATTTATTCAATATTTATGTCTCGCGAATATTTAAATTCAAATTTTATTTTATTTATGATATTAAATAGAGAACTTTAAAACTTACCAATTAACCTTCATTTATTTTGTAAAAATAAACTTCAGTAAAAATTATAAACAAAGGAATTGCATATTATTATTTCTACAATTAGATTTTACAAAAAACTATTATATTTTAAAAATTTCTTTATTTAATTCTAAACAATCGTAGATTAGATGACTAACTATTTTGTGTGGTTAATTAATTTTAAATAAATTTTGCTTTACATAGATTATAGATTTAAATAAATTATATAGATTAATAAAATTATTTTTCTTAAATTTTAGAATTTTCAGAACCATGAATAAAAATATTAATATTTTGGTATTATAAAATAATGTACCATTCCTATAAAATAAACTTTTGATAGGTTTTTATTATTAAAATTTTGTTACTAAGATTTAATAATAAGATTTAGTATGTTAATTTCAGTTCATTGTTTTGATTAATTAAATTTTACTATCTTTCAAATTTTAAGCTCTTCTACACTTTGAAAATGATTTTTTATTCTCATGAAATCGTAAATGTTAAAAAAGTTAACAATTTATAATATATTACAAGTCTAAATTGTATAATCTAATTTGTCTAAATTTAATTATTTTGATTATCTTTTTATAGTTTTTGGTTATCTTAAAAAGGTACAAGTGTACAGTCTTTATAATTAAATCTATTTTAAGTTTGTTATTTTTATTTTGGTATAAATTTGTTATCCTCATGCGTATACCCATATACTTGTTCTACACTATAACTATAATTTAAATTATTTGTTTGTTTGTTTAATTAAATTTATTAAGTTTTATTAAGCTCAGTTTTAGTTTGATTTAAAATAGCTTTTAATGTTTCGAAAATGAAGTTATCTTTTACATTAATCTTATTAGATTAAAGAAAAGTATGACTAATTTAAATAATATTTAGTGACAGATATATTCATAGATATTAGTTTATTTTAATAATTATTATTGATTTTAAAAATTCTCTGTATATATTTTTTAGTGAATTTTAAGAAAGAAAAAATTACTTCAGAATATCGTACTACATAGTTTAATTTATACAGAATTTAGGTTTATTTCATTCGATATTATCTCTCACTTGTTTATCAATTATTCATAAATATTTATGGAATTTAATGTTTCGCATCATAATATATATTAACGTAAGTTTTGGAGGAAAGATACTTAACTAAATTTACATTAATCATTTGTGATATAATATTTAATTCGAACAATTATGGTATTAAAATTTTATTAATAATATGTATTCCAAATATTAATATTTTATTTTAATTTAAAAGCTATTCATCAATTATTTAAAGAATTTTTATCAATGCAATGACTATAAGTAAGAATTGGATACATTTCAATAAAATATACGGTTTATTAAGAGCTCAGTTCAATTTTGTTGCTAAAAATAGTTACTTAACTGATCTATAGTTCCAAACAACCTTGCATACTATATTTTAAATGTTTTTTACTTTATTTTTGTTATAGTGTTGGGAAGTAAATAAAGCAGCCATAATCTACAATCACACGAAGAAACGTTTTATAATTATTATTAGTGTTTCAAAGTCTGAGTCCCACCATGTACCTCTGAGAATCATGATGATATTTGAAGGTATTGATTTTTTTTAATCTTGATCTTCGCGATCTTTCAATTTCAGTTTTTACTCGTGAAGAAGCATTCTAATTGATTTTATTATTAAAATACTTTGTTCCGAGGCAATCTGGTTTTAATATTGAATATTTTCAATTATTTTTTGAATATCCATTCCAAATTTTTAAGAATCGTAATTTAATCAATAATGTTCATATTTCTTCTTTCAATATTTTCTTTTGGTGGGTAGAGGTGTTGTTTAATATACGATCAGTTATAAGTAAAAGAGCTATGCAAACTTTTAGTTCAAAGAAATTCATAGACAAATCTGCTTTTAAACTTTTTATAATATATACTATTATTGTTTAAATAATTGAATATAATTCAGAAATTTTTATTTGGAAGTACTATTAACTATTTAAAATTTTCAGCTGTATTTTGTTTTAAATTTATCAAAAAAGTTTTCTTTTTTGATAAACCTTGTCATAAGTTTATCGTTCTTATATGTCCATTTTGGATATTTCTATAAAAATGTTTTCCCTTGCAACAATAAGATTAACAGTATTTAATTATTTCGTTAGGTTACTCAATTATGTTGTATTTCATGGCAAATACACAATGAATAGATAAATAATGGATCTAGAATACGGGTATATGTGAAAGATAGATAGGATACTTGAAACCTGATTTTAGTTGTGGTACAGTAACTGCGCTCTTAATAATTTATATTCCACTTCTTTCTGCTTATTACAACGTTGTCCATGTATTTTATGTTTCGATAAAACATTTCTTCTTACATATATTGATTTAGCAAAGTTTCTCTAAGGTAGTCAATTTGATATTTCAAGTAAGTTAAACATACTTGAATTAGGTAATTGCAACAAAATTGAAAAATTTTACAATTATTTTTCAAACATATTTAAAAAGATGTAATTAGTGAATGATTGAGGTACTAATTAATTTTTTATCTTTTGTATATCAAAAAATATATATTATTAAAATTTCATATAATCATACAAATCATCATATATCAAATACAATATTAATAATAGGTTATTATGAATGGAGATCTTTATAATCGGAGAACTATGTCCCGCAAGTATCTTATTTTACATTTTGAAATTTGTCTATTTATGTTAAATACACAAATGTTATTTTTATAATAATTTAACATAAAATATATTGTTATATTGTTCAGGAAACATTCGACGTTTCAGAAGGATTTGTGAGCATATCCAGTCACAAGTATGCGGCAAAAGTTCTATAGTACATTTAGGAACCACGGGTAAGGGGAACTTATCAAGTCCACGTACATCAAGAAAACATTCATTAGAAATGAGTGAAAGTTCGAGCTGTGGAAGTGATACTAGTGATATGCTTTTTGTTGCTTCTCAGTCAATTACACGACAGGTAATTATTTATATTTACAATTATTTTTAAATTGAGGTAATTATTTGAAAATGTTAAATAACGGAATTTCTGTACTAATGTTGTTATATATTGCACATACAGTTTTATTATTATATTTTATATTAATATAATCTAATTATATATATATAATATAATATATATATAATATTTACGAATAAGAAGAAATCAATATAAATGACATAAAAATAACGGCAGTTTGACAATGGTAGAGTTTTAAATTCATGATAAAAGATTTATTTTATAAAATACAAAATTACAGTATTTATATATATATATATATATATATATATATATATATTTGGACAGTTTGCAAGCATATACTTTGGAAAATCAACCGTTTTATTTTATTTTAATTAAAAAATTAAGAATTTTAGTATTTACACGCGCACAAATGAGAAATAGAGTATGAAAAAATACTTTTAAAAAATAATCAAAAACGATCATCCATTTGATTCCGTCAAGCAATCATATACTAAGTTGGCTGATATATAAACATCATTAGATAGATACATTCTCACGATCCGATTTAAAATACAATTTCTGTTTTAAGTTATCCTTTATTTTTATTAACTGCAAATAGTACTTTTTTTAATGTTATAAAATTATAAAAAGATGAAAGATAAATTTTTGTAACATTTTAAGATTTAAATATTATGAAAATCATTACTGAAACTGTGAAAAACATTAATGAAACATAAATAAAAAAAGAGCTTCATCAAACTTTAAAAATAAGATATAATACAATTTATAATTGATTAGTATAATCTTATAAATAATATAACTTTTAAATAAATTTGTATTTATTTAATATTTATTACAAATATTTATACACACATATATCATATATTGTTTGAAAATTTAAAACAAAAGTTATTGATCTCTTTAAAGAATAAATATTCTTTTAACTATTATTAATTATCATTCATAATAACAATATTATTGACCTTTTAATCTATTAATGATATAGCAATTTAAAAGTTATAAATATCCAGAATTTATATAAAATGAAATTTAATTTGATTATAATTCGTTGATTCTATTAGAAAGTTTATATAGTTCCTATATTTATATTAACCTTATTTCTATATTTTGCAATAATATATGTTTAAATGTATATTTTTAATTTACTGTGTATTTATTTGCTGAATTACTATACTGGATGCAAATAGTTTTTAATTTATAATAAAAAATCGTGTGTATCAAAATGAATATTAATAACTCAAATTATAATAATTCAAAATTAAAAAAAAAAGTATTAAATATTAATACTAATTATTATTTTGTTTACCTAATTATTTTAAGAAGGTGATATACATTAATTTATAATTATTATGTAATAATAAGGATTACAATTTAATCTTATGTTTCTTTTTATGTATTTTTGAAATTCTTTATTTAGATTAGTTAATAATTTAATTACATAATTTAATATTTATAATATTACAATTATCCAATTTATTAAAAAATTTCAAATATTCAGACTAACATTACTTTTAACGAAACATTTTATACATTCAATATAAAAATTACTGAAAATTTATTTAAAATAAATTTACATAATAGATCAATAATGTATATTTTTACTACTCACAAATTTTCAATTTTAAAAGTATTTAATAATTTATTTATTAAGAGTTACAAAAAATAAAAATATAAAAATTTTAAAAAGAATTTATTTGATTAATACATACGTTATGATTTTTAGACTTTTCATAAGATATCTCCTAAATCATAATTTATTTTTATTTTTATAAATACAAATGAAACATTGATAAAGCTTAAGACTAAATTTTTTCGCTAAAAAAATGTTCTAAATTTTTTAGAAATAATTTTTACATGTTTGCCAGAAATGTTGATAAAAATTTATTCCCTTGTTTTTTTAGTAATACGTACATTTGACAAGATAGGTATAATTAATTAAATAAAAAAATGTATAGATGGGTTACTGTTTTAGTATAACTTTGCAAGCACAGATTCAATCTGAATATTTTATATGGCTATGTTCAATTCGGTATCGATAACGAACAATAAAATTAAAGCATCATAAAATATAATCCAGTAGAAATGTCTAATATGAAAAGTTTAAATATATCAACTAAAAAAATTTATGTATATATTATATTTGTTTGTACGATTGTATATATATAGATGTAATTGAATATGCGAGGACATACATGTGAAATATCACTAAATTAAATTTTATTTGTTTCTAATATTACTAAAATAATATATTATAAAGAGCGAGGACCAACTGTGCAGAATTTTTGAATTTATTAAATAAAGATTTGAGTAAATATGATTTTTTTCTATTTTTATTGATATAAAAGACAAATTTTAAATAACAAAACATGCTTAACAAAGTTGTCAGTTGATAATATCATAAATCTGAATTACTAGTATTTATATATTATTCCATTAAATACTAAAGTGATTTATAGTACCGAATATATTAGTTAACTTACTAACGAAATTAGCATATTGATGTGTAATAATTTCGCTTTACACAATTAGTCACACAATCTCTTCATTTTAAAATATCTATATTATTTTAATAATAATTCTCTGCTATGTTATAACTTTTTTCTATCAGTAAAATTAAGCAAAATACAAATAATCTACATGTAGCTTGAGATGTGGATAATTTTATTACAGTAAACACCGATTTTTAAAGATTCCTGTAAGATTATAAAAATTATAACAGCCTGAAATATCCAAAAAGCCCTTGTATATAGCTTAACAAAAATTAATTACGCAAATATAATAAACGATATTTTTATAACCATGTGGTAGAGTAAAAACAGAGAAGACAGATGAAAAATTTATGTATCGAGTTTCTAATTCCAAAATATTTTTTCATGACATAATAATAAACTCGTATTTAAACACGTTATTATAAATTCCAATAAAAAGTAGGTAGTACCAATTGTAGATAAAAATATGCTTCCTACGTAACTTATTTTCTTAATTGAAAATAAAAGAGTGTAAATACACGTTTTAATTATTAACGATAAAAAAGAACGAGGAGTCTTTTTTTATAAAATCAAAATCGTTTATAGGATGTTTAAAAATATATGATAAAAATTTGAATTAATAATTTATTATTTACGTAAGTATAAACATAATTTTTAATTGAAAATATTGTTTAAGTTTTTATTATTTTATTAATATTTCAATGATAATAATTGATAAAACAAAATACTAGTTGTGATTACTATTTATAGAATATTTAATATATTTTAATATTAAACTAGAATATAGTTAGTTGATATTTAATAAATTTATTATTAATAATAAATATTCAAATCTAAGAAGGTTAAACAAATTTAAAATCAATATAACGAACATAAATTAAATATAATTAAATTAAAAATATTTTTATTTAGCTATAAAACCTCTTTGACCTTAAGCCTTATCACAGCATTATCAAATTATTGTAATTTGCCTATGCCAAAATACAATATAAATAAGCATAAATGACAATAATATTTATAATAAATTTATTGTATATATATCAAATACTAAATTTATACTAGAGCTGAATATATTTATTTACTTATTATATTCACTATACTTTTAATAACTAACATTAATTTACTAATTCAGTATAATTATATATCGAAGTTGTCTATTCATTATATTTAACAATATCTTCTAGTATAATATAATTCTAAATTATCTGAAGAATGCACTAATGCATAAGCATATAATACATTTGGATTACTCCCAACATTAAAAAAATACTAGAACAATGTTTTTTTTATTATTGTCTAGATTTGTTGTAGTTATTAAAAAATTATTTTTATATAACAATAATATAGAAGTTAATTTCAAGAAGTATCCACATTTAATAGAATTATTATAAATTACTTTTATTCAATAATTTAAGCATATTTGATGATATGCTAAATACACTAGTAATTTTTTATTTTCGACTAGAAAATTGAAATAGTAGAAACTAAGTTTTTCTAATGACAATATTATTACTAAAATAAACACTTATTTATTATTAAAATAATTATTTTTCAAATTATATATAAAGTTTTTTATTTATTTGTGAAAACTAAAAAAAAATTAAAACTAACTTTCAATTAAATTTATTTATATTTAATTTAAGCCATTAACATTTAAAGTCTTAGGTAATTAAAAAATATTTGTATATTTAATATATATCAATATGAATATACTGTATTATATATTTTAGATTAACTCAGATCTTCAACCACCACATTCCGTATTGGAAATCCAATCGATAATTCAAGGGACAAATAGTACTTCTTCAACATCAGCCATCGATCATGTTTCGGATAGTAATGCTATTGTTCAAGGCCAGCACTCTGTGGATAAAAAGTTTATAAAAACAAAAAGTGGCAACAATATAGCTTGATACCATCAAATATTTGTTCAAATTATTTTACATGCAAAATTAAAACAAAACATAAATTTTTAACTTATGAATTTGAAATTTAATATTAATGATATTCTTTTTCCGCCTCACATATGCTTACTACAGGTGTGCTTATTTAAGCCTTTGTTTATGAAAATACATAGAAATACTTATCTTTGTAAAAAGAATATTAATTTTAACTTATATTCATATTTTAACGAATTATTATTTCACTTATTTTATTACATTATTTAATTCTTTGATTTAATGAAATCATTTTAAAAATCGTGCGTTAAATTTTTTTATTGCTAATATAATAAAAATTTCAAATATTTATTTATTAGTTCGATAATTATTAATTTTTTTATAGATTAAAATTATATAAAATATAAACTATTATTTAATATCTAAACACTACTATAACGTAAGAAATATTTCATTAGAGTGATATCCGTCAAAACATGAACGTATTAAATAATAATTAACAATATCGAGTATTTTGAAATACTATTTTAAAAACTAAAAGCAAAATAGATTTATCAATTAGAATATTTTTAAAATCTTATTATTAGTATATAAAAGTAAAACAAAAAAAGATCATATAATTTTTTATCTTATTTTTTAAAAATGTTTTTTCTACTTTTATTTCTATAAAAGACTATACTAAATTAATACAACAATCCCCTGTAAATAATTAAACAAAATATTTACCAGATTCATATTTTTTCAAAGATAAATATAAATATTTTTGAATATATTCAATCAATTATACATATAATTAAAATACTTTTTCCTTATCGATAATAACAAATTTTTCACATTATTTGTAAGATATTTCTTATTAAAATATAAATATATTTAGTCGCTTTGTCGCAGTAAAATTCTCACTTTTCCTGCTTAAAATGGTAATATTAATATATTCTTTTCTCAAAAGACGCATTATTATACTAAATGAATTACAATTATATACTTCTATTTTCAATTAATTCTATTAGTTAAATGATAAATGATGTTCCAGTATCGCAACTTTTGCAGTCGCAAAACCTTATAAATTAATTTTTGATTTTACATATGGACGATTACAAATTTCGATTTTAATAGATTTTATACAAGTTATATATTTGATAAACGACACGTTATATTTTATTTATAGGTGAAATTAAATTGTGGAATTTAAAATTTTTATTATTACTTTATATACTCATATCTAGCTCATTGTATTTTAAGAACTATTTTAAAATTTATTAATGAAAAATCTATTTAACTTAAAAACGAAACATGATATTTAACAGTTAAAATATTATTTTAAAATATGTTCATATTTTAAAATAATTTGATATCAAGAAAATCAAATATCAAAGAAGGTAATCATAATACCATTTTGTTTATATTTATATTTTAAAAAATTCTGAAATAAAATGAATTTAGTAATTTTAATTATTTTTAATAATTTTAGGTACTATAGCTTACATATTTTTTATATCCTAATTAAAATAATTCAATACTTAATGTTTGTAACGTTATTTTAATACTGAAAAATAATATAACTATATTATGTTTCATTTATAGAAAATATATTTCTTGGCAAAGATTTAATATATTGTATTATTTAACTATTTAATTTTTTTTTATTTGTGACTGTTGAATCTATTATAGTGAAAATATTCTTTTTAATATATATTATCATAAGATACGCATTTAAAAGAAGGGTACTTAGGAAAAATAAAGATTCTGATTTTATTTATATTCAGAATATAGCTTTTGGTAAAATTTAGTGACCACAGTTGATAATTGCACAGGTTTTTTTTAAGTTTAATTATTAAACTTGTTATCTTAATAATGGATGTTTAATTCGAAAATTTACTTAAACCACATTTTTGTATACATAGTACATACTAATTATCATTTCGTAAATATATTCACATGTTTTTATGTTTTGAATGAAATTTTGGTTCTAAGAATTATATATTTAAAAAATATATAATCCGAAAAATTAATTTAAATTAAATGTAATTAATATATATTTCATTATCAATAATATCCTATCTTTGAATTTAATGTACTATTTTTAATATTCATTAGCTATTTATTTTCTATTTCAAATGCATATGTGTTGTTTATCTAGATTAATAATATAATATAAAAAATTTTTTATATTTACTCATCATCTTATTTATAGAATTTATACTTTTGGAATGTCAATAATTTTATATTTATGACACCATTCAAATATATTAAAAATAATTTTTAAGTTACTGTCAAACAATGAAATAGTTTGTATTATCTTAGTATTTGAATATTTTATCTAACATATTTTTTACCATTTACAATAATAAACAAAATTTAAACAATCTAAAATAATATATAATAGAAAAATATAAAATATGTGAAATTTTTCTAAATATCAAAAAATTAATTTCACAAACGAAAACAATTTTTTCAATCTTATATACTTACTTTAAAAATATTATATTTACAATTTTTGTTTCTATAAATAATAACTTATGACTGATCAAATAATTGTAATATAATTTTCATCCATTTTTAATTGAAACAAGTGGTTGATCTCAAAAATCAAATGTAAATATAATATCAAATATGAAATGGTTCATTTTTATGTTAAATAAGTAATAAATACGTAAATTTTTTATTGAAGTTCTAATGAAGTATGTATAGGGTTAGCCAAGGTAAATGTTAATAATGCGACATAATTATGATTGGTTTTCAAATTAGAACTTACGGCCTATTCAAAGTCGGAAAGAATTAATCTTGCAAGTACGAATATAAAAATTTTTATCTTTCAAAACATGTGAATTTATTAATATGTATCAATATAAATTTATTCATAGTTAAAACAGATTATGTCATTCTAATTAATAATATTGAATTCTCCATAAATTAAATCACTTCATAAAATTAGTAACGCAAACTATGGAATAAATACAGTATGCGAACAGAATGAAAACACGTATTATATATAAAATTATGCTATAATGGTATCAAATATAATGTTTGTAATGCATTATACAATTTTGTAGATATGTATATATATAAAATATATAATATATATTTTGGTTTAAAATTATTATCTACTTTAGAGATCTTAATTGTCTGCTTAAAAATAAGCTATTCAATAATTAATTAAAATGATTAAATAAAAACTTGTAAAAATATCATAAAATCATCCTTTTATTACACTGATCAAACATCAAAATATGTACAATTTTAATTAAAAATTGAGTCAAATGAAATAATTCAATATTCATAAGTTGTAAATTTGTAAACATAAAAGACATAAGATATTTAGATACCAAATTGAAAGGTATCAATCACAGTTTCAAACAAGATAAAATAAATAAAACAATTGAACGATTATAATTAAATAATACAAAACATTTCCCGTGTAAATAAATTGCTCATAATATTATTTCATTATATTAGATTATATATCCAACTATATATCTTCATGATTTCGTTGCTGTAGTTTGAATACTATGCATTTTTTAAACAATCACTATCTTCGTCACTGCAATCATCGTCATGAGTGTGTGTCACATTTCGTGGAGTTTCTGGTCTAGCATGTGGGATTTGTTCAAAATCTGATTTTACAAATGTTAATTGCTGAAAAAAATGCGACTTATTATAAATATTACATTTTGTTAATTATTTTAAGTGACGTTATTGATTCTTAAATACTAAACTTATATTTGAATGAAATATTTGAAGAAAAGTAAAATTAACAAACTAATTTGAATTATAAATTGCGAATAAATTATATCCTATTTTCATATAAATTTCTTGTCTATTCGTGTAAAAATTTTATCAATATAATCATTACCGATATACATTAGTCGATATGAATAATTTAGAAAAATTGAGATTGGATTTCTAATAGTATAATTACCACTATATATTGACAAGGTAAAGTTTTGTTTCATTAAGTTTAAAATAACATATACACAATCGTTGGAGTGTTTATTAAAAGTATAACTTATTACTCTGTAGTTTTAGTTTTTTCAAACATTAATAATGAATCTCTAATTATATAAAAACTTTCGATAAAAAATAAAAATAATAGCAATTCTATTTCTAAATTATTGTATTTTTTTCATTCCAATTCCATTAATTAATTTATTGGTTATAAGACTATAATTTGTATGAAATAGGATTCCCCGTTAATATTGTTTCATTCCATTATAATTATTATAAAAAAATGTAATTTGTCTTTCACAAATATTTTAGTGAATAATTTATTAATTTTTAAATAAAATAGTAATATTGAATACTTACTATTGATAATATTCTTAAAATTATTTATTATAAAGGAAGAATATCTACAAGTGTATGAATATATTATTAAAATTAAATTAAAAAAGTAAACGACAATAAAAAATGATATACTAATTATCATAAACAAATCACTTACCACCTTTAAACGAAATTATACCGAAAATTTATTATATAACGTACAAGTTTAATTCTCATCTAGATGAAATTACAAGTCAATAATTTATATATATTTAAGAAACGTGTCAATAATATATTTTTATTAAACGTCTATTTATTATAATATAAAATATTAATTCCTTCTAAAATTCATTATACAGAAACGATGAAATGCTAATCCCTAATTCTATCTTTATTTTTCATTTCGTATCATTAAAAAGGATTATTTCGTTTGTAGATCTACCAAACATAATAAAATATACACTGAACAAATTCCTTTACAAACGCAAATGCGTTTTTATTAACTCGTAATTGAATACTTGGATTTCGGAAAATATTTTTCTTGAATCAATAAATCACTGTTGATATTAAGAATTTTAAAACATCGTTCATAAAATGAATTACGAATTATAAAATATATAAAAGCAAATAAAAGTCTGCAAAGATTTTAATAAGTTTCTAATACTTTAGGCTTGAAAAGTATAAAATTTTATATTATTTTATGATTTCTTATACAGTTCAGTTCGTGAAGAATAAGAGAGTCTTCTATACATAAATAATTCAATTATACTTTCCTTTTATTTTATATATTTAGAGACATGAAATTGTCTTTTACTTATAAAATCTTTATTGAGTATGTCATACATAATTTTATTTAAATTTATCTTTCAAGTCTTGTATTATTTTAATTACTTTTACAAAAAATCTTGATAAAATAAAATAATATATTTGTTTGAAAAATGTATATTTCCTAAATTTGATTGCCGACAGTTTTATATATTTTATTGATTCTTTGTTCTGAATACTACTGTGAACAGATTTGTTACAAGAATAATTTTGGTTATCGAATTCTTTATAATTGCAATGATAACCATGTTTATATAGTATTAATATATTAATAATAAAGAAGTTATCAAACAAAAATTCATGAAAGGAATTATATAATATATTATAACTAATAAATATTGCCTTTTTTACCTGTACTTGTATGTATGCATATATGAGAATTGATTTCAAATTTAAAGATAGTAACAATCTATGATTTACTGTAATGTGTTTTCGATTAAATATTTGTATTAAATATATTAATGATTTATTTTCGATATATGAAACTATATTAACTATATTTGTAGTTTATATAATTATTTATTTTTAGAAAATTTAAATGTATAAATTCAATGAAATAAATAAAATGCTAAAAGAAATTATCAAATTCTAAACAATAATTATGTTACAATTATTTTTATATAAAACTTGATTCTTATTATTATAATATACTGTTCAATCAATCACTATATTAGAAATATTTTTATAGAAAACTAACTAACCTTTTTATTTTCTCCATTTTTGTTTTTAATATTTTTGTGGTCACTGTAATCCAGATCGTTATCACTGTCATTTACACCAATATTTTTTTGAATGTTTGTCATTTTCATCATTCTAGACCGACTAATTGCTGGAGTTTCCATTACGAATCTTTGTTCATGGGCTACAGTGCTTTCATGAGGCATCTATTTTTAATAAATATATTATCAAATGATTATTATCATAAAAAGTATAGATTTTTAAATGTTATATAGATCTTGTATATTTTAATTTGGTTATTATCAAATTTTCAAAGTGTATTCACCCATATTTATAAATTTATAAAATATGTAAATAATAAAACTCTATACCTACTTTGTGTTACAACTATATGTATTCATTTTTAATTATGCCTAACAGAAATTAAAACAAAAAGTCAATGGTGATAATGAGAACGCCATATTTTCAAATTTTGTTTTATATTTTGTAATTATTTTATTAATTTAAAGTAAATATAATTTCTAATATATTATTGAAGAGTTCTTAAAAATAAGGATGTGAAACACCAGTACGCTAAAAGCACAAGAAGCCAAACTTCAAAATGTTTTCAAAGTAACCGTGTCGTATCTTAATAAAACAAGATCAATTTTACTGTTTTATTTTTACAATTGATTTAGTAAGTACATATTTATATAAAAAATTTCTAATGGTAATAATTGAGTTGCGTTGTTTTCCATTAATGAAATCGCAGATTCTTTTTAAAAAGGTATTATATATATCATTATTTATCCGATAATTGATAATTATCAATTCTTTATTCTTCTTTACTCATACATATTTCAATTTTGTTACTACTAGTACTATTATTTAGTACTATAAGAGTGTAAATATATTGTAAACTATATTTAAAAGCAAATTTTAGTATGTATAAGATATAATTAATTGATACTTTATACATAAAACCAACAGTTGATACAATTTTTTGGATTTCGAAAAAATACAAATTTATTCTACATGAAAATATTTTTAATTTAAACTTAAGTGATATTGTTAATTATCATAAAATATATGTTTTTCTTTACAAAATCTTTGTAAGTATTGTAAACTTACAATACTTTGTATTGATTTTTCTCTCTCTCTCTCTTACTTTTATAGAAATTAAAGATAATTTCTAAAATTCCAAAATGGATTGAGAATGTTTCTTTATAAGATAAGCAGAAATTAAATAACTACTAAATACGAAGGATTTTATTTAAGTATTAAATATTTAACATTTTAAATATTGACGATGATTAAATAAAATCTATATTTCTAGTACTAATCAAATTTGCCATTTTAAAGTTAGGATTGCAGAGCAATAGCTTTTTAACTTATTCTCTGGTAATCATTTACCAAATATTCACTGGATATGTGGTTTTTTTAAATATTATTCTAAATAAAAGAAAAGGATATATTATTATAAAGTATAAATAGTTAAAAACTAAAAATTAAAAAATAAAATAATTAACGATTTTATTCACGAATTGACTAATCTTGATGTTCTATTTTTCGATTTAATAAATATGTTTAGGCAATTTTTTTTAATATGTTAAAAAATGTTAAGTTATTTTAATATTCACCAAATATTTGTATCTAATGTATATGATAAAAGACTAATTCACCGAATATTTCGAAATATAATTAAATTAAATTTTTATATTTTTACAGGAGACATAAACGATGCAATACTTCTAATCACTTCGAATACGAACCAGATGATATAATATATTTAATAAATTTTTTTAGTAACGATAATATTTATATTAGTAGAATTATATTACATCTGAATATATACATTCAATTTACAGTACTTATCTCTACTACTCAAATAAAAAGTGAAAATATTATTAATTATCTGGTTATGAATTTCTATTTGTATTTTTGGCTACCTAAATGCACAATATTATATTTATATTCTGACCTTAGATTAAATTGAAATACTTTTATTCAAAAAAAGCTTATCATCGAACTCAGTTATTGTTAAAATGCCCGTAACTTACTTGACGCAAAATTAGATCATCCTTTATCAAATACTCTGGACATCTTTTATCATTCAGTCTTCTTTATATATTGAATAGTGGTGATTTCAAATATTTAATTGAAAACGTTAATGTTTTCGCGGTCGTTAGAGATATCGGTACTTCGTGCATATTCACAACCAATTTAGTCACATAAGTGTTTTCCTATTTTACTGCCAGGAGGATACGTATCGGAAACCACAATAAAAAAATTAAATAATTATAATGTAAAGTTAAAAGTAATAAAATAATAATATAAAAGAACGCATTTTATAAAATCAAAATTATTCCTTAATACTCACTAGCATTGCAGGTGCTCGAAACATGTAAGAGAAAGGATAATACATTAAGTTGAGAAAAGTGGCTGCATATAAGTCGGCATATCTCACAACTTGACTACTAAAAAATGTTTGTCTGCTGCCACTGCGAAATAATGAACCCATCATTCCATATGCTAAATCCATTCGATGCGTTACATCTCGTATAGATGCTCGAAGTTTGGAAATGTCAGGTTTTTCTTTTGTGCTGCTATCTAAGTTCCTATAGAAAACAAATATTTATAAAATATTAATTAGGTTACTTCTAAATTTGTATTCATTTATATTTTTTACTATAATATTTAGAAAAAATAAAAAGAATCATAATTTTAATATATAATATTAAATAAGTTATTGCTGTATATATTATAATGGTAAGAAAAGTACAATTTCAAAATAAAATAAATTAATACTAATAATATATACCGACAGAGAGAGAGAGAGAGAGAGAGGGAAGTTTCACTTTAGACTTTCTGCATTGTTAATAAAGAAATTATTTACATAGGCTACCATAATATTAATTATAATTCAAATTCAAATATACAAGTTCTACAATAAGAACTTATATCATTTATGATTCTTACATAATACTTAATTATATTTAAAAAATATTAAATATAAAATAATTTAATTTGTTTTAACTTCTAATGTTAAATGTTGAAAATTTATTTTATTAAAAAAATATACTTCTGTTAATAATAATACAAATGCAATAATCAGTTATTTCATTGAATATTAATCTAAATATAATTATTATAATAGTGTTAAAAAATATTGTGTAATGTTTAATATATATATATATATATATATATATATATATATATATATATATATATATTATATTTGTATTGCACTCTATACTAGAAGTTTAAAATATTAAAATTTAATTCTATTTAATTTTTATTGATAGTTATTGTCGTTGAGAAGATTTATAATTGGATACACAATTTTTTGTTACTAAAACAATTAATGTTCTTAATATTATACAATAGTTATTTAGCTAACTTAATAAATATTATATATCTATGTTTCAAATTTAATATGTGTATATTGTATGTATAATGAATCTTTTTTATTATATAGAGAATTAACATAATTTTGTATAACTAGTCTACAGTAGTTATTGCAATTTTAGATAAACAATTTGATTTTATTATACCTTAAATAATTTAATTATTATTTGTTAACTGTTATAATATATACATAAAAAAATTATATTAATGTTATATATTTTAAATTCTTATAAAAATAATATGATTAAAACTAATCACCGATAACTTATAGAAAATAATATTACTTTATATATATGAAGATTATAATCAATAGTCTTTTTACCTAATGTCACGTTTCTTAAATTTGGTTATATAATTAATTTGTAGATTTAGCCTTTCAATTATAAATAAATTTACCTCCTAAATTTACTTCTTTATGACATTAATAAATTAATTAAAGTTAAACAACAAATATTATTCAATTATTTCGATTTAATATTTTATATAATAATGACCATCCGATATCAATAATATGTAAAATACTATAAAATTTAAAATTTATTTTGCGAGTGTTGATATTGACACTACAGTAAATGTATGTATTGACTTTATCATTTATTACATAATCTTATGAAATTTTCTATCGATTTATTGTTATATGGGACATTTTTTACATAATCAGTTTGTCATGATGCTTTGGTAATCATGTTCATATATTTTTCTATGCATTGCCACAATGAATAATTAACATTGATGAAAGAATTATATAGAATATGAAAAACAGACGGTTAGAAACAAAAAAACATTTAGTAATTTATATAAAAAAGAAATAATATAAACTGAACATATATCAAATGAATTACTTATTTAATATCTAGATATAATTGTAGAACGATATTTGCACTAATAGACAACGTTAGTGTTGGTTGTTAATTCCATAATAAGTGCTCATTCTTCGAATTATACTTATATGTGATTTATTAGATTATGTATTTTCATATTATCATTTATAAATTTCTATGATCTAGTTATCATTTAATATACTTAATTTAATAGTTATATTTACAATTAAGCATTAGGTTCTTAAGATTAAATTTAAGCATTAAACATTCTTTTTTTTTTAAATATATGTATAATGCTAAATATTTATAAGTAAATGTATACTAAACACATTTATAATTTGTATTTGTATATACATAAGTACAAATGCACGCATTCACGTTGCACATTGAATGATGCACTTAGGGATATATATGTACAACTTTATTTTACCATTAGAATCTGATGAAAGGGTTATTTTCGTTATTATTTATATTATAAAACAAATAAGTAAGTTTCTAAACACGTTCTTTAAGAAAATAACTCTATTTAAACTGTAATAAATTTCTCGAATCCTTCCTGAGATTTATGATTCATTTATTTTCAGTCGGTCTACAAATTTCCATAATTTTAGAAATACATAATCAAATTTCATTAAATCAATTTTTTATATGAACACGCATAAGCAAAACGATGTTGCTCCAAATTATTGACAAAAATAATTTAAATATCTCGAAAATCTATAGAACTCATTTAAACATTTTTCTGTTGATTAGTAAATAAACTAAGTAATATCTACTAAGTAAACACATATATTTAGTGATAGGTTTGAAATTAAATATATTAAGTGATATTTATATTTTAAAATAATTCATCAAAAAATCCAGTTACTACTAAAAAATGAGCGTGTAGTTCCTTATTAATCACATTAATATATGATAGGTAATAATTCTTAATCAAGAAAGGATGAATGGCACTTAACATATAACATATTGAGTTTAAAAATTCCACAACATGAAAAAAATTTGCAGTTAGGTTGGTAGGAGGAAAAGTTGTACTTAAAACATTTATCCATAAATAAATCACAATTTACAAAAATTATAGTACCATAAGAAATTAACTTGAAATAATACCGAGTTTAGTAAATTTATACGTGGGCTACTTATAGGCATTTAAAAAATAAAATAAAATAATAAAATACAGGTAGATTCAAAATTATATAAAAACAGTAACAAAATCCTTATTTTCAAAAAAATATATATATTCTAAGAAATATAACAGCTATGCATATTAACAGCAGTACTCTTGACTATATATTATTTTTAAACATTAGTCTAAAACTTATTTTCTGATTGATCATGCAAAGCACGTGAAATCTACTGTCGTTTATTCACTTAAAATATTAATATTTAAACATTTTTAAACATCTATTTTATGTAATTCAATCTGTAAAATTCTATAAAATTTTATAATATATTAATAAAAATATAAAAATTATAAAATATAAATCATTTATAATACTGATAACCAATATGTTAATATGATAAATATATCTTAATAATAATTGGAATATTTTTCTTATTAGGTAAATTATTAAAAACGTAATTAATTTTTATATAATTATATTTAAAAACATCGTCTATAATTTACCAAAATAAAATTTTAAATAAATCAATTTATTTAAAAATTTATTATTTAAAATCATAAAAATTTGTAAGAATTTACCATATCAATGACTTACTTATACATTGCCCCTAGCATAATATCTAAATTTTGAAGTTCAGCAAACAATTGACATTTATCTGTCCAGACATGTAATTCTTGCACCAATTCAGGGACAATCAAAAAAGTCCTCCAACCACGAATTTTTTTACTTTTTAATATATCTCCAAAAATATGATCTCCAATATAGAGAACATCTTTACCTTTGGCTCCTATCATTTCGGTAAACACATCGCAAGACCCTCCTGAATAGACTTCATCTGCAGATATAATTAGAACCTTGACAATTATGAAAAATTAAAAATTCATAGATATGTATTACAATATATTATAATAAATACCAATAAGTAAATAACCAATAAAATTTAATTTAAATTATTAATTGATAAATATAAGTTATAAATAAATAGCAACTAATTATCTTCTGCGATGTTTATTTGTATCAATCGGACGAAAATATATTTACTAATTTGCTTTATGTAAAATTTATATACATAAATATATTTCTCATTATTAGAAAATTGGGATATATATTTGATTTAAAGATCCACATGCCTCATTCGTTATGAAAAAAGAGAATAAGGGAATAGCATAATTTCAATAAGTTAAATTTATTGAGTATTCTGATTTAATTTGATTAATTAGTTTTTTATCACATTCCATTTAATGAATGCAATTATACGGGTTCAAACTATAGTTTAGACTATATTTTTATCTTTAAAAATATATTTCTTATTATACAATTATATTAAAGATTTTAAGCTATACAAAATTAAAAACAATTTTTTTTTCATCCGCAACATTAAAATTTAAGTTTTCAGTCGTTTCATTGTGTAGAGATTAATTAGCCTCTTGTTAATACCTATTGTAGACAGATATTTTTAACGCAAACAATATAACGTTAAAATGGAGATTTCTGTTGCAGACCCTTATCGATTTCAGATGTATTTAAGTTAATGTATTATATATATATATATCGATAGTTTTTAGCTTAATATCGTTTTTGACGTTATCCTCTATTTCTATATAAAATATTTGTGTTTATATTTTCTATGTATGCTAAAATATTAGATATTTTAAAGTTTAAACTTTTTGTATTTGCTTTTATTTTAATTTACTTATACACTAATTTAAATTATTTTTGAGAACTGTCTTCCAAGTTTCAATAGCTATATTTATTATAATTTAAATCCAATTGATAATGTCCTTAAAGTATTTTGAACTCATTTTGTATAAAGAATCCTTCAATTGAAAAAAATCTAAATTTTATTAATATCTCAATATTGTATCGTATCAAATACATTTACCAATTTCTATTTATATATTATGATTAATATGGATTTAATATTTATCATTATAGAAAACAAATTTTACTTATTTCAATAACAATATTCGTTTCAATTTTAGTCATTTATTGTTAATTTACCTGTGTGCAATGGTCCTTTATGAGTTCCTAATTTCAAAGCTCCAGTTTTAGTATCTACTTGTCTCAAAATAGTACCTTCTCCAAAAAAAAGCGGTTTATTAGCATCTACAACAATAGTATCAAAATAACTTTTCCAATTTCGATGTTGTTTCTCAGCCTGAAAAAATGAATATAATTAGAAATTATATTATATAAATCAAATGCTATTTATTTAGAAAATATTATATTTTTTGGATATATTAAAATGAATTTATCACTTCCTGCCTGTATAGCATAAAAATTAGATTTACTGAATTAAATATAATATATGTTATATCAAATAAGCTATTTTTATATGACTCCACAAAGAAAATGTAAACGTAATTATAAGTATGGTTTCTTTATATATTAAATGATACATGGAAAATAATACATTGAATATCCTGTAATTTAAATTAGAAAGAAAAAAAGATTTTATGAAATAACGTAATATGGTATGTATTTCATTCCAGAAACTGTTTTCATTAATATATTGTATTATAAATATATATATAAATTTTATATCTTTAGATATATCTTGCATTTATTTTACAGTATAAGTTTCCGTATCTCAAAATAAGATCTAGAAAAATGTAATATTTACAAATTTTTAAAAATTTATTATTTTGACATTCAAAAAATAAAAAGAGGAATTTTATAATTCTTAATATTGATTTTTTTTCCCTAAAAACTACGTGACATTTATGTTGAAAAGAAAACTTGCATACGGTACATAACTTATGGACATTATGCCTGATGTGAAAAATAATAGTCACTTTACGTTAATATTACACGTTCTGATTAAATTCATATAGTCGTCTAAAAATAGAATACCGGGCGAGGAGGGCCAAATATCTAAAATTAGATGTGAACTCTCAGATAGTGATATGAAGATTGCAGGCTAGTGGACAAGATAGTGCATGTATTCAATAAAAAATAGCTTCATTATTTGTTGTAGATAATTGCGATAATCATTAGTTGTATTATAATGATATTTAGTTGATGTTTGAATGCTTTCGATTCTTGAGTTTGTATTACTATTGCCACAGGACGGTAACGTGCGTTGCACGTACAGGAAGAAGTTGATAGTCTTTCTGGTCCTCTATATGTAATGCACGTGATGATGGAATAATGCACGCAGAAGAACAAGGCAGTAAACCCCCACGCTTCCTTGTATAATGGCACATGGTGTTAGCTTGAATTGCTTGTGTTTTGAGTTCTGCAGAGAGGCTCCAATGAGAGCGGGTCTTGCTCGAATCCCGTCCATAAGTGCGCTCTTCCCTATGCATCCTAGTAGCGTCGCATGTAAATCGTTGTGTTCGGTCGTTGTTGTGCCTTGTGTTCGATCAGTATTGTGAGCGTTAGGTATAGCGTGGTTTTGAGTGAGGCATCTGGCATGTGTCATCCGACTATCTTTATGACTTGTTTACGCCAGATGGTTTATGGCGTGTTCTCGTCGAATTAGTTTATCACGTGTTTTCGCTAGACACTGGATAGCATGTTCTCGCCAGATGTGTTTGAGTTGTTTTCTTTAGATAGCCAAAGGTTTGCATTTTTCGGAACTCTTAATGCTAGTTTTACAAATATCTAATGACTTGGGAGTATTCTTACAATTTCGAACAGTCGTACTTATAATCATCGATACTTATGTAGTAAATTTACGTTTATAATACATATACATCATCTAGAGTTTATATTTGACGAGTTATCTGTTATAAAATTTAATAATCATCATTTGTAATCTTTTATAAATCAAAAGCTTAATTAAAACTAATCATTGCAATTAATCATTGCAATTAATTATTGATTATTTATTACTAAATAACGAATTAATGTGTATTAATCAATTTAGTTTTCAATTTATTCAGAGTTTGAATACTTAAATCTCTTTTTTACTTTTATTTGTAATGCAAATATTACAATTTTATATTCAGTTTCACCATAAAAAATCTTGTACTTGTTATGCATATCATGATTTACAAATTTATATATTTCATCTTTGATTTATCATCATGGAAAAAGTTATGTATTTGCTTTATACAATCTTTTCTTTATATTATAGTTTGAAATATAATTAATGGACTAAATATTACTTGGATTTGGCATCAGTAAATTCATGAATTATATCTTCTACATGCTTGAGACTTTGTGCTTTCTTTATTGTTTTCATTGTTTAATGTTTTATTTTTTATAGAAAAACGAATTTTTCCATTATTAAATTTTTAATTTATTATTTGAGATTTTTAGATCTTTCTCTGACAGCGAGGCGCCTTGTAGAGGTTATTTTATTTTAAAGTAGAATTTCAGAATAAACTCATTGTTACTATCAAAGATAGGTTTTAATTTTGTTATTATTTTTGTTATATATTTTTATAGTATTATTGTAGTATTCTTAACAACGAAGATGTATGTTTAATTATATCCATCAGTTACATTTCTAAATTTAATTTATCGTACCTTAAAATGTGAGTATTATTGACATTATTAGTTTAGTATGATTAAAATTTTGAATTTATCAAATTTAAAATCTATAATTTCTGAGTGTCTATATTTTTTCCAATTTACTCTTTCACATTTTCTTCAATATATTACTTCGTAATATATTTTTCAATTTATTCATAAAGTATCAAAACTATTTTTTTTTTATAAATCTTTCTAATACCAGTTACCAATATTTTTTGTTAATATGAGTTTATATGCAAGTTGATATGATTTTCTTGATATGAATTTACATTGTTATATTTTATTGCTTTATTATTATTATTATTATTACCAAAAATAAACCAACAATAATTATTTTGTATACTGTTTATGCAATATATATTATTTGTTGCGTTAAATAATTAACAAGAAATATTAATTATTATTTTATTATTATAGTATATTATACTATTATTTTACATTATAATTGTATATTATATTTTATATTATATTACTAACAGTTATTTAATAAATATTATTTTTAGTCCACATATTTGTATTCATTTATAGTCAGATTTTAATATTTAATAAATTGTTATTATTTTTTGTTGAAAACATTTAAAAATTTTCTATCGATATTGGTTGACGTTATTTTATTACTTGTGCTTAAGATTAACATTATTTAAATATAGTATGGAAAGAAAGATTTATATTATCTTACTAAAATAAATTTTTTGTTAACGATAGTGTCTGCCGTTTATTTTGTAAGCATTAGTTATGTATTCTATAATAAAATATTTAATCATTAGAATATGCATTTTATATATAGTTAGTTTATATAAATTAAACATAATATATTTAGTTTATATATAATATATATGCATAGTTATATAAAAATGCTATATACTGACATACAATTTCTTTTATGCAAGTTGTTAATAAATTCTGTGAATTATATTTTATTTTAAAAAATGTATTATACTGAGATAAATTTGCCATATTCATAATTTTTTATTAAATAAACCACGAAAAAAATTTAACAGTTTACTTGGGATTTATTTACATTAATGTTAATATATATTTTCTTTTGTTTAACTTTTCATTTTATAAATTTAAGTATTTTATACCTATAAAAATCTTTTAATTAAAATAAGATTTCTAAAGAGGTAAGATCAATATATAATTTTTATTCAAATAGGTCAAAAACAAAGATTGTTAATTTCTAATATAATGTATAAATTTAGTGCGGAATATAGTATAGATTATAAAAATGTCAAAAATTTACCTTAGAAGTTTGTGGAAAATCAAAAAGGTAAGTCATAATTTTGTCTGTGAAAACATAGTCACTATTTGTTAATAAAAATACTTTTGCTCCACTTGCTTGTATCCTGCTCAAAAACATTGGTAGCCTCTCATCTCTTTTTATAAAATGATCAAGATTTTCTATTGTTTTCGTCTTTAAATCACCATGCATATGAATCCAATCAACTGCATTTCTTACATCTTGAAAAATACTTTTAAAGCTCATAGTTAATTCGCCTTCTTTAACGCCATTTTTTTCGCGTGTATATTGTCTTGAGTTGGTAAAAAAGTCTATTAAACATGCTAACAAATAAGTTTCTGGTAAATTAAATAAAGTATTGAGAACGTAAACTCGAGACTCATCTAATTGCAAAAATTTATTTGGATATAACTCGTACACTTGAGAACTGAAAAAATATGCACATATATACTTATATATAATATATAATATCCCAAAGGCATTTGTATATCACATTTCAATTTTAAATTTTTAGATTAAATTGAAATCCATTAATGTAATATACACAATATTTTCTTTTAACTTTTACTTCTGTTGTTCCAATTTAAAAATAAATGCTACTTTTATAAAATATACTTTATTTCTCTGTTTTTTTAAAACCTAAATTTATATGAATAGAGAGAAACAAAGTAGGATAGAAAGAATAAGGGAGAACGAAAATACACGGATAAAGTAATATATTTTTAATGTAAGAAGTTATAAAAAGTGGAAAAACTTTGAAAAAAAGTAAAATACAAATAAGTATAATAAGTACACGAAGTCAGGTGAGTATTAACTTAGAAGAATATAAATAATAAATTATTTTCAAACCCAAAATGTATTAATTTTTCAATTATAAAGCATACATTATAACAGTCAAATTATTAATAAGTTAGCATAGAAAATAGTAACTTATAATCTCTACTTACTGTATCTTCAAAAGATTGTATCAGAAAAAAGAAATGACTTATTTAATACAAATTATTACACTAATTAAAAAATTAGCTACTTAATTGTATAAGATATGCAAATCACACAAAGATTTACAATAAGATACAAAAAAAAAAAAAAAAGTTATTATTAATAAATACTGAATTTCAATAGTCAGCCATAAAGTAGAATCAGGAAGTTTTAGACACAACTTGGAAAAGTAGATATGAAGAAATGATTAAAAGTGTTTTCTTATCTATGGAATTTATAAAAAGATGGACAATTTGTTGTTGATTTAATATTAAATAAAAATATATTTTAAATAAAAAAATATGAAGATTTATAACAAATTACAATTACAAAAATATTTATAATTGTTTATAATTACAAATAGGCATAATGATAATGATGAAGCACAGATCAACAATTAGTTTCACTTCGACAAATAATGATAAATGAAATATAGGATAAGTAATGTAAGACTTTCTTATATAATAAAAGCATTTTTTAACTTTTTAGGAAAAATCAAATATAAATGAAATAAAATATTTAACATTAGTTGTAAATTGATATAAATTGCAATTGACCAAACATATTTATAGTTTTGAACATCCTAGTTAATTTATATAAGTATGAACAAAAGATCATTATATAAAACTTTGTATTTTATTTGCTAATAAATCGTCTATTGTATTTAATTATTTATATTTGAATAATACTAAAATTATCTAATACTTTATTTAAATTACTACATAATACTACTTTTTTAATACATCTAATTAATTACATTAAGGTTCATACATAAAAATTAAAAGGAGTAGAGATAGATCCTTTCGATAAATAAAATTAATATTAAATAGCAGTATTTGTTATTAGAAATTTTTTACTACCAAAATTTTTAGAACTTTTCATTTCATAATGAAAAATAATGAAATATAAAAAATATGCTCTGTCGCTTTTTCATTATTCAAAATACATCATTTATATTTAATAATATTTTTTATTATGTCTTTAATTTTCTTTTTAGGAATCTATTCAGATATCAATAGCATTATAAAGATAATTACTCACTGTTTCAGAAATTCGAATCCATGTACACATACTAATATGTTACCATAGGCATCTACTTTTAACAGATTGCCATATAAAGTATCAAACCACAATCCTCTGACTGGAAAACTGGGATCGTATTCAAAACCATTAATTTCTTTTGGATATCCAAGAGATACTAAGCGATCTTTCAGTAAATTAAAACCAAGTTGTTCATATTCGGGAGATTTATACTCAGCTAAAGTATAATCCATGTCAAAACCATAAAATTTTATATTTTCAAGGTGCAAACTTCGATTAACAAATATTCTGTAAAATTATAGTATAATAAGTATGAAATTTTAAAAAAGGGCTGTAAAAAGTATTTATATATAATTATGATATTAATTATTAGGATAAAATTAATCATCAATATAATATAAATAAGTAAATATTAATAGTTAAGTAATTTATATTAACATACTTTTTTAAATAAGAAATTAAATAAAGAATATTTAATCATATTAAGTCAAAATTTTATTTTTTATTGAAATAACTTCAAAATTGAAGGAAAATAGTGATTTTCCAAGTAGTACTTATGAGCATCACAAAGTACCAAATAAAAGTAAATATTTTTAACTCATAATAGAAACTATATTCTAAATTCATATATCCGTCAGAAAAATAATAAATCGTATAAAAGAATATATGAAATTGTAAGGATTTTCTACAAAAAAGATTTAAAAAAGTGGTAAAAATTTTAATTACTTAATAAACCAAAAATCTGTAAGGGTAGTAATTATTTGCATAATATAAATCCAACTAGAAAAATTACATCAGGTATACATTTTTCAAAGATAAAACTTTAAAAATGAACTATTTCTAAGATAAAGACTTATATTTCTAATAAAGATTAATATGCATTATATAACATATTAATGGTAAATAGTATTCTATTGTTTTAAAAATTTCACATGTAAAATCTTTTACAGTTTGATTAATGATTATCAGTCAGTGCCGAAATTTCTAATTTTTTTATTATATGTAATAGTAATTAGTTGTAACAGTCATTTGGAATAAAATCGTTGAGCGGAAATGGGAAACAATTATAACTTCAAAATAATTGTGTAATATTAATTTGAATATATATTATCATAGTAAAAATCCTGTTTACAATTACGAACTAATTTTGTTTACCGAAATCTACACTATTGCTGTATGTATTTCATGTTTCTTAAATAATAAATTATGTGTAGTTGTAGTCTAATTTTTTATTATATATTAGTTATAAAATATTTAAATGATCAATCGATTTAAACAAATTGCATTTAAAATCTATTACATATTTTTATAAAAAATTACATTATTTTTTTAAACCTGTAAACAATACATTGGAAATATGGTCATATAACTAAAAAGGACAATTCTCTAAATTATTTTCATTAATTTATAGATTCTTCCTCTCTTTTGAAATATATAATCTCAGCATTTAATAATTTATCAAACAAATTATTTAAGCAATCATAAATTATTAATTCATATGAATAATAAATTATGAAACTAATTATCATTTTAATGTTTTTATTGAATAATACCTGTGACTAAGTTCTCGTTTATCAGAGCGTAATCCTTGATTTCCTTCATTGAAGCTGTCTAAATCTTGTTCACTGCGGTCATTTCTTCTCAAACCACTATACTTTTCATTTAACATGTTATTAATAATTTTTTTATTTAATGATTCCACCTCTTCATGAAAATGTACACGAGTATTCACTGTAAATAAGTAATTTGTATTATTTTTACAAGAAAATGTACATTAAATAACTTACTTGCATACACAATGTTAAAATAAATATCTTTAAATATTCGTTGAAAAGATGAACTAACAATAGTCGATCATTTTTATGAATATTTGATCTATATTATTATATTTCAGTATTTAATTATTCGCAATTAAAAAGTAATCGTCGAATAAAACAGGCAGATCTCATTTAGAAAATTGAATGCACATGTTATAAAATTTATTTTATGAAAAGCAAGAGTGTGAATATATTATATTATAATAATATATTATAATATAATGATATACTAGATGATATTAGTTAAAAATTTTTTTTAGTTTGTACAAAATAGTGTGTATTTACATTCTAAACACAATTTTTTGTTACATATAATATCGAATTTTACTTTTAATAATAAATAAAAATACACGTTTGTATATTTATATTTTGTGACTGTCATTTTCTAAAAATACTTAATTAGCATGACATTTTTAAACAAAAAATTATAAACATTATTTCAGAACGATTTGTTCCTTGCTGTTGCACGAATACAAACTTATTGATAAAGCATATGGAAATATGAGACTCTTGTACATATAAACAAAAAGTACAAAATTTAATGAAATTAATGAATTCAGTAATTTAAATGAATAAAAATTAAGTGCTATATATAAATGAATTTAGAAAAATATTTTATACTGATGGATCAGTACGTTAATCATTTGTTGATCAAAGATATAGACATACATAAAATTCGAAAAAACGTTGGAATCGTGATAAAGGATGCTGTTTTTGGCTTGTTAGATCAATTACCTGAGATTAAATATAAGAACATCTATGTACATGAATTATTTATGAAAACGATAAATATAAATGAGTGAGTGATTGAATGTGAATATTATTTTGCTATCAATAATTTATAACCTATATGAATAATTAATACCTACTACTCAAGAAAAGTAAAAAGAAATATGCAATCAAGTACACAAAAGACTTTAAGTACAATTTTCTTGACTTTTTATAACTATCTAATCTAGTCAAATGAGATTGCTGAAGAAAATAGATATTACAGAATATTTCTTCGTTTCTTTATAATTAATTTAGATTTGTTGAAATAAACAATTTATGATTTGTACTTATAATTGTAATGCGATTTTGATGTTAGACGCATAGATCACCGTTCTCTTCTAATCATCTTCCAATCTATTATTAATAACTTTTTTTCTTACTCGAGTGTGATTAAAAAATTTATCTATATAAATGTTTTATAAATAGGTAATAGAATAGATATATAGGTTAATAAATTCAATATTTGAAATATATTATGTATAGTTTGGCGTATAAAAATTAATTACAAATTATGTATTTCGTACAAATCGTACGATGTTAAGCCTATAATAAAAACGAATAATCAAGTATATATAGTTTAAATTTTTTCTATTAGACAATAAAATTAAGATAATAAAATATTGCTATAAATAATTGGTAATTATTAATCAATATCGATAAAAATAGATATATTACTATTTATGAAATACAGATACAAAAATTTTAGTAGAATTTTAAATACATTTAACTTTTTAAATATACATTTACGGTACACATTTTGTACAATGTATAAAATTAATTTAATTTTATTTATTTTTTATACATTTTTTGTAAATTATAACTTTGGGAAATATCAATTATTTTAAATTGTCATTTAATTTAATTATTTGCTCTCAATAGCGTTATTTCTTAATAGAATTCGATCAATAATTTTATTATTTTTCAATATAGCAGTACGAAGCTTTCAATTCACACAATCATTAGCATAATTTTGCAACATTTATAAATGGTTATTTAAGAAAACTACGTTTATATTAGGAAGTATTACTTACATAATAATATTAAGAAATAAAATTTTCTATAATTTTAATAATTACCGATATTCTGCGAAGTAGAAAGGTTTATCTTCGTTATTTCATGTTTACTATTCATTTCAAAACGATAATTATTAATAATATTTATAGAGTAAAGTATATAGAAAACTTAAAATTTTTGTTGAAATTACACCAAACTTTTGCAAAAGACAAGACTAAACACATAATATGTATTGAATAAGTATATACAATCTTGAATGTTTAGCTAAGGCTGAAATGGAAGAATACTTATGAAACAACATTAAGATAAGAGAAATAATGTAAAACATTATCAGTTATTTTTGGTATCATAGATTAAGATAAAGTATTAGTTAACTTTACGGCAAAATTTTTTAAATCAAATAGATAATTATTTTCCTAGACATCTTTAAATCGTAAATGTTATTAATTGATAATTATCTACATAAATTATTGAAATATAAAAAACATGAAATTTATAAAATATGTATTTCAATATAAATGGAAATTCTTATTAAACTAAACTTATTAACAAATACTTATATAATTTAGCAAATCGCCATTCCCAATTACTTAATTATAAAAATGGAAATGATTAGTTGGAATTTTAATGTTTTTAAAATTATATATTATTAAAAGTATTTGTTAAAATGATTATTACAATATATTTCAATACATAGAAATTCGGTATGAATAATTATTTTTGTATTAATGATCATTCTAGCAGGTTGGTTTATACAGTAATACATAATCTATAGGCTTATTTATATCACATTTTATCAGTAAATTGAATGGAAATACACAACTTATTACCACAATCTGAGATTAATATTTATATTATACGCAAACCTTTCATAACCTATTATGCAAATAATGAAGGCGTTTTTAAATGCTTTGCGTCAGCATTCGTGTTTGCTACACAATAAAAAAATTCCAAATACATAACGATATTCACGAATTACTGGAAATTTAGTTTATTAATATTATCATCATATCATAACCATAGATTAAAGCTTTAATTTTTATCATCATACAAATTTTAATTTTAAATGAACTAAATTAGTGACAAGTTAACTACTAATTTAAAAAAAATTTAATTAGTAAAAATTTATACTTATTTTACAATTTTTAATTATACTATTATGTGATATGAATAAATATGAATACATTAAGCTTGTTTTTTTTTTTTAATATAGTCGTATTTCATATCTATAATAACTAAATATGGTACAATCCTCGATTATTTTTCTATACTTATTAAACAGACAGAACAATCAGAAAAATCAAATAAGTATTAATTACTATTAAATTTACAATTTCTACTTAATTTTAATTTTATAATATTTTATAATACAAATCGTATTTATATTAAATTTATCGTAAGTGATTCTTGAGATTTTAATAGAAAGTAGAATTTTTATAAACATGTATTAAATACTATTATATTTATTATAGTAATATTATAATTATTTTATTTATTTACATGGAAATAAAAAATAATTACAGCAATTATGTTTTATTATATTATTATTACATTTTCAATATATTATAAAAAAAATTTATTCATGTATATAATTTTTAATACATTGAATAAATATAATTACATACTAGTTATTTATTTATACTTACATAACTGGATTATCAATTTTTATAAAAATTTATATAGTTAGCAAAAATATATTCTAATTATTTATATAATAAATATGAATTTACACATTTTTACATAATTTTTTTTTATAAAACAAATTATATAATTCATAATACATAAATTTTTCATTTATAAATTATTAAAGAATACCAAATGATACAAATTGATTTATTTAATAACTTTCATACCTATTTAAATAATTGATATAGTATGTACATAGCTTACATAAAATAATAGCCATTATTTATATTAATAAATATACATTGGTTTGTTTTTATTACATAAATTAAGTTTAATAAAAAAATTTTAATTGAAATTAAAACTACAAAGTTAAATCTTCGAACTTTTTATTTTTAATTTGTAAATATTTATAAATATCACAATATTATATATTATCTTATAAAAGATAATGAAGTGAATTTCTACTTATCCAGTTTCAATATAACAATATATTTTGTCAAAGTATAATTTCATAATAGTTTATAAGTTAATAGTTATTTATATAACAATATTAATTTCTTTACTTGAATATTGTCATATAAAAATTAAATACTTTTCCCATGCATAAGTACATAATACTCAGTTTTTAAATAATAATTTTAAAATTATTTAAAAAGATATTTAAAAATTATTTATTAATCTATATTTTAGAATACACATTAAATAAATATTGAATTTACCTTTAGAAGATAGTGGTATTTAAAATTCATATAGTCTTATATTTACTGGACATTAAAAAGAAATAAAATTAATTTAATCACAAAATAAGAATGCAAACCTGTTTGTCACTTTTCCACCACAAATGATTATATGGGAGGATGTTGATGAACGTAGCCGGAATATCCACGAACCATTTAATTAATCATTACTATCGCCTAGTGGTCGGATTCTAGAAGTATAAATTAGTACGTATTTTATATACTAATTTCAAATGGTTTGAAATTTTCTATTGGAACATAGAAATTACAGTTATTAAAAATGATTATTAAATTATGGTTATGATTATGATTATTAAAATATTTAAATTTTTTTAAATCTAATAGTGATTTTTAGTTAATTAAAATAAATGTAATTATATAATTTCTGAATCTTAATATCACATTGCAAATAAAAACTGAAAATATAGATAAATATTGTTTTATATATATTATTTAGTTAGTTATTTATAGTAATATTTAATTATTTAGTTATTATAAATTCAGCATTTATAATTAATATATGTTGTAATAAAACGAATTTTTAAGAATTCTATTATTTATACATTATTTTCAGAATTCTATAATACAAAATTCTGTTGTAATATAATTCATATGAATTAATATAAATATATATTTATATAACACACGAACTTATATTTATGAAACAGCCATTCCATATTATAATGAATTTTCATTTTCTAGGATTGATATGTTTCTAAACACTGTAAAATTATATTTTTTTAACTTCTTTTTATTTTAAACGAATATGACAGATAACATTTTATGTTACTTTTATAAAATAAATTATTTAAAGCAGTTAATGTAATCATTTAGTTTACATTATCAAAATTTCATAAATGATAGTTATTTTAATTGACAGCAATGCAAAAAAATTTCAATAATGTACTCGAATTGTAAAATTCAAATAAAAATACTTTTTCAGACTGAGAATAGGAACGAATAAAGTAAAAATGTAAATAAGAACTGTAAATACAATTTCAAATAATACATGTTTGCAATATTTCATTCAATAGAATTAATAACTTTTATCAAGTTTCAATGGCTTATTTGTATTGTTTATACACTAACTTATATAAAATATAATAAAAATATATTTAAATAAAATTCTGATTGAATTTTCGATTTTAATAAAAAAATTTTATATTATTTTAGATAGTGCCAAGTGTTAAATACGAGTTTAAGATTCATACATTGATAGGAAATATTTTTATGAATTACTATATTCAACAATTTTTATATATTCAACTAATTTCTAAACATATTTATTCTATTTATATTATTGAAAGTTTTCTCATCTATTCTCTATTAACAATTTTATATTATTCAAACCTACGAACAATACTAATACATAAATTTAATTTTTTCTCTTTCTTTATTACAAATTACTATTCAATCGATTTCAATTTGTCTACTACCATTTGCTTTGAACATAATTATAAATATGTTTACTGCATCACATTATTACTGTGAAAAGTTATATTGCGATGTATATTAATTAGATACTACAAAGTAAAAATATTCAATATTTTTGTTTGTTTGAAATATCTCATTATTTATTGAATTACATATAATGACTTTTTTTGCTAAAACTGTCAATCCCAGAATATCATCAGATTACTCTTGAATTTTAAAAGATCAAAGGTACTTCTGAAGAGTGAATTGCATACTTTGAAAAATGTCTTTACTCACTTTTGTATATGCCATCTAATTTTTAATAATTGAATCACCATTTAACATGTTCAAAAAACGATATTTTTTTACATAATAGTAGTTTTTATATTAATAACCTCGTTGCATTGATACATTTCAAAATCTAACATATATCTTTCTAAATTAAAATGTTATTATTATCATATAAAATCATTTATTAGGTTACTGTATTTTTCCATTATTTTTACGCTATATCAAATTTGATGACATTATTTATATATTTCGAAGAATTATTAAAATTCTATTATATTGATTAAGGAGTTAAATTATAACAATATGTTTTATTTGTCAACATTATATCACGAAGTCAAAACATTAAAAGGATCCTGAATTGATCTTATAGATCGTAAAGATATTTTTTTTCTTTATTTCTTAAAATTGTAAGGAAGGAATAAGTCTAACAAACCAGTTACTGTTTTAGAATAAAGAAACTTGAATGTTTTGAAAGAAATCCAATTTTAATGGCAAATGTACTTATAAATTTATGAGTTACTCAACACTTGTTTAGTCACAAGAAATTTACAAATGAGTTGGATATTCATTAATATTATTTCATTATTCAGTAATCCATCGGAATTGAACTAATTTATTAATTGATTTTAAATTTAATTTCTATTTTTACCATTTTTTTATAAGTTGTATAATTTATAATCTTTGTTATAGATCTATGTATTATATATTTTTAGGCTTGTTTTTATATCTTTAATATATTTACACTAAAGTAAAATAAAAAACTCAAAATCTTTATATATTTAGTGTATACAATTAGTTGTTATTTGGAATTCGCATTATATAAATTTTTTAAACTACATTAAATATATAAAAAAAACTTAGAAATATCACGTCTGCATATGAAGCAATAAGTAAATATAAATATTATACATTTGTAGTTTTAATTTTAATTTATATAATTGAATTCACTTATAATGTAACATGTTTATTGTATACTTAATTATTACAATAGTTAGTCACCGATATGATCTGAATCTTTGGAGGTTATTTATAATTCCTTCATAAATGAAGTTCTAAATGTATAAATGTAACAGTACACTTTATCAATGATATAATTACTAATTTAAACCGTAAATTTATAATCAACTATAATGGAATGAAAACAGCACATTTTAATTTATGTCATGTACAAAAACGATGTTTTTGTAATTTTCTTAGTTATGTTCAATCCTATAGTTTGAATACATATTAAGAAGTATTATGTCATTGTATTTAATTTTTTGTAGCAAAAAAGCTCATTTGAATTTTTCTTGTATTTTATAAATATTTGCACAATATAAAATGAGGATAACACTGTTTTCAATCCATATTATACTCCATTCGGTCATCTTTAATTATACCTTAACTAATTATGATGCTTAAACCGAAAATGTTAAGCAGCAACTATTACTTTCAAAGAAATTTATATTTAATCCTACAGAACTGTTATAAAATAAAATTTTTAGTAATACGTAGCCTATTAATTAAATAATGAATATAAGAAAAACAAACATTAGAATAAAAATATGATTAATTGAACTGATAAAATAACTTGAGAATATTGTTTTCAAATAACATACTGTATTTCTGTAAAATTTCTATAAAAGTAATTAAATAAAAATTATAAATTAGGTAACTCGGTTATTAAATAAAATTTCTTATCTAGCTGTTGATTATGCTTTTACAGAACAAGTATAGTGATAAAAAAATTAAAACGTATATGTGTTAAAGATCAAATATAATTTGCGCATGCTCCATCGAAACTTAAGAAGTTATAGATATATTAATTTTGTATAACAGGACACATATGTTGTAATTGTATAAATTACCACTGCCATTGTATGAATGCATGTGCATTTTATATGTGCGCGCGAGCGCGCGTCTATACATATACTATTCGGTCAAGTATTAATAAAACAATTTAATAAATATTTATTAAGTATAAAAACTTTAAATTATAATGCTAAGTAGATATGGTTAAATATCTAGCTTAACTAATATTATAAAAGTTACTTTATTTTTAACCGGTACATCTATAAAAAATAAATAAATTTTCATTATTAAATTTACTAAAAATCTGTTTAATTATGCAAATTTTTAATTATACTGATAGTTATGAAGGTACGTAGTAAAGAACATTATAACTCATAATTTTTATAATTATCTAACATATTACAGACTAAAAAACAATTATTTGTTCAAAACATTCCAATATTCTATTCTATTACTAATCTATAATTCAATTTGGTTAATTTTAAACCCTTATAATTAAACAATTATTAAAGTACCTGAAAAATAAAATAAATATTAATATTTAATTATTTAAAACAAAAAGAGCTATATCTAATTAAAAATATATTCAAAAATATAGAAGACAATTTTACTATAATAATAATTAATTGTTTGTTTTTATTGATACTATGCTTTTAATTAAATTTGTGATATCACATAAAATTATTCTTTCTATATAGTAACACAGATTATTTAATGATGTTAATGTGAAATATTAGGCAGTAATGGACAACAAATACTAATAGAAAAAAATTGGAATAAGCTATATATTAAACTTTTCATATAAAAAGTTGAATTACAGCTTTACATTTTTTAATTATTTATGTTTTCTTTATATGCATTGCTTAATATTTGCTATATAAGTGTACGCATGAAAATATCTAGAAACGGATACCGAGACAATAATATAGTTAGCAATACGTACTGTAATATAGGAGAACATGAGAAAGGAATTAAATTATTACTTTGTATTAATTATAGCTTAGTAAGTTGAGTAAAGTCATGAAAGTAATTTTATCGTTATTATTACAATGTGTTTAAATTCCATTCAGATATATTTTCCTCCATACCTATTGATTGTTCTTATTGTTCCATTATGCACATTATTCAACTCTTACGATGGTGTTTTTTTCCGACTGAAAGTATCAATGATGATGTCTATCCCATGATTCATATTGCCGTAATGCTAACCTATAATAATTACATTCCAGAAATGTATTTCTTTGTAGTCATTATCGTATTCGATAGTATCCGTAATTTAAAATAGTTAGCAATTGAACTATGTACTTACTGTAGATACTGCTCCAGTAGATTCAAAAGTTATACTTTCAACACATCCTTACTTATTAATTGTAATTTATTCATTATAAATTATTACCTATATTTTAATCGATGATACTTTCAAATTTAAAAAATATTATACTTTATATCCATATTGTATGTTATATTTTCTTATAATTATGCAATTTTACTTTGTTGAATATATCAACAAAGTATTAATTACTTCAAAGATCGCCCATATATAACTTTTTTGGAAGTGTATGAACTCGTACGAAACGAAAATTCTTTTGTCAACGTATTGCTCAAACATATTTCTGGACTAACTCTAAAAGTATCTGTGAAATATTTTATTTTTCAAAAAAAGACGTTATTTCGTTAATTTCTAGTAAACCATAATATTCATAAATTATGTAACTGTGTAGCTTCCAAAATTGTAGGTACTCATGCTAATTATTCTTGGAAATTAAATGTGGTTCTCACTTTAGAATAATTAACTTAATTATTTCAAAATAATAGTAAAAAAAAGTAATGTACAAGCATGTTATTGAACAAGTGATAATAGAGTCATCAAATCATGTGCCAGATTTTAGAGCTTTCCTGTAATCTGAACTTTTACTTGGAAGGTAAATACGTTTTTGTATTTATTAGTATCAACTTAATACTTTTACAAAGGAGAATATATGAACTGTCTTAAAATAAGTAGTATTACATAATCTGTGATTAGTCAGATATCGTTTAAAAAAAGATTTTAGAAACAGACCATGATAGGCCAATTTCATAAAAAGCAACATTTACATGTTTATTATATTTAATCCTAGTTTGATAAAGTTATAATTAAATTATAATAAAAATATACTTAATGTATGACATGTTTAAATTCTATGCAGATTTTGAAATTTGTTAATGTTTATTGGTTTTTTGTTTCAGATGTGTTAACCAAGGAAAATGATATTGATAATTTATACATGTTACCAAATTATATACAAATACCATCAATATGTATTTGCGCAATTATAATAATAATTGGAATCACTGGAAATACTATGGTATGTTGGCTTTCATTCTAATTTATTTATATCACTATCTTAGCATTATAAATAGGATTTAGTTTCATAAAATCAAGTTAATTTTATATTTGCTAAAACATTATAGAGTTAATATAGCCTTTTTTTAGTATCAATCTATATAATGCATACATTTTTTTCTGAAGATTGCAAAAAATGAAAAATATATTCAATTTTAGTCAATAATTAATTGTTTATAAGCATAATAATGCATAATAATCATATAATGTACAAACTATATTTCAAATATTATCAATATTTATTTTTATGTATCATACAAAAAAAGTAATAAATTATATTAATAATAATTTATTCCATAGATAGAATAATATATTTTATCACTATAAAATGTGATATATAAAATATTATTTTATATCATAATGAAGAATAGGTAGAAAATTATTTTAAAATGATTTAAAACACAATGGATAACCTTAATAAATTAAACTCATACTTGGAACACTGTTTAAATGTTTATGTAGGTTGGAATAATAAAATTAGCTATAAATTTAAAAAAATGAAATAAATCCTTTGTAGTTATTTCAGTTCAAAGATTAAAAATTTAAATCAACTTTATAGATCATATCAAATAACATATAATTAAATTTTTAACTAGCTTACTTTATAAAAGTAATTTTGAAATGTAATAAAACATAATGAAGATATGTAATTCATTTAATACATTAAAAGTGATGAAATGAACTATTTTAAAGGAATAGATGTAAATACGGAATAATAACAAACCTATGTTTAGTACACGATTCCATAGTTAAGTATTCTAAAGTTACCGATAAATGAGGATACGATTTCATTTTCATCATGACATATGAGATGCAAAGATTACATGCAACAATCATAATAATGGATAAAATACAAGAGAAGGGTGATAAAGATCTTAATTTATATCATTAATCTCAGAAATTAATAAGTTTGTATAAGTTTATAACAAGTTTCTAGATTTCGTCAAACTTCCCTTAAATCTATATCTCAATTGAGATGAAAAAAAATTGATGAAACAAATTAGCAGTAGATTGAAGTATTCACTATGAATGAAGAAAAAAATAAACAAGAAATCACATGATCTGGATTAGTGTTGTAAAGTTAGAAAACGTCCGATACGTACGGATAGTACTAGTATTTCAAACCAAAAGACAAAAATAATGTACACATCATTGGTTTTTCATACTTTTAAATTATTTTGATTGTACCTGAAAATTTAACTCAAGTGTTATGCAAGCATATATTATACTTTATACAAATCGTGTACTGCGATCAAAAATGCGAAATCTATTCTTTTATTCCAAAACACTATATATCTAACTGATAAAAAGTATATAATATATTATAATATTATTATATTATACAAAATTCTATTATTTTTAAAGTTAAGAAATTTAAAAATATTTAATATAGACATATAAAACTAAATACTAATAATATCTAAATAAAAAATAAACATTCCAAAGCCATTAAATAACTAAAATAAAATGAGGATACTAGTTATAAATAATATATAAATTATAATATATATTACAAATTATATTTTTTACACATTTACTATATGTTTTTTTATTAGGTACTTATAATCATTATGCGAGGAAAAGATATGAATAACAGTACAAATATATTTCTTCTTAATTTAAGTATTGCTGATCTCTCTGTTTTATTATTATGTACTCCAACTATATTAATAGAAGTGATATCAGGACCACAAGTTTGGATTTTGGGTGAAAGTATTTGTAAGTATGTTTGAAATTATAGTAATTAATATATATTTTTAATTTTATTACTTTGCAAATATTCATATTAACATTTTCATTAAATTAAATATAATTTTATATTATTTTGTTAATGCCTATGATGAATGTAACTAAGCAAATATAAGATACTTATATTTAATCTATAAAATTCACACAATTTTATGTTGTTTTATTAAATACTTTTATTTTATTTTTTCTATATTCTATTAATCTATCAATTTAAACATTAATATTTAAATTTTTATAAAAATATCTATATATTATTTTTGATTTGCAATATTTTTAAGGACTGATGTAGATAGCTTGTAATACTTAGGTACCTGAAATATATGCTTTAAACAAATTATCAAATTTTTTGTTTGAATTATTTGTAAAAAATTTTCCATAACCATCAAATTTCTTAATTTCCTATGTATTCCTATAATCCATTTAACAAATACAATTGTCCTATATGTAACCTTCATATTTTCTCGAGGTAAATGAAAATTATTCTGAATACGAAAAGCACTAGCAATGCACTGGTGCAACTCATCGACGTAGGTTTCTAGATACACTAAAGGTGCTTATATTATGCTAATTTATTATATCAATACTATATTTAAATTCCATTATCCTCAATGAAACATAGAAATTTGAGTAATGTTGATATATGATTCTCAAATTTCGTTGAATGCATCAACAGAACCAAAGAAATGTGTTGGATAATCTAACAAATTATGTAATGAATTGAAAGGAAAAAGTAGCATCATATCCAAATTTTCGCTTTTATTATTACAGAAGCCATTTTTTCTAAGATAAATATGGAACTATTTATACATCAATGCACTTTTGTGCATAAATATAGACAGTACCACTTTTCAGAATTCAACACATAAAAATTTATTCTTAATATCATATTTATTGGAAACGATATTTTTATTATATTGTTTGCTTGAAACCATATTTTATATGTTACCATATTTTATTTGTAGTCGATCAATTTTTAGTAATAATATAGGAAAAAAAATTGTATAAACTTATAATACTGTTTTAATTAATAATATTGATGGAATAAAATGTATAAAAATATTTCTATACAAAATATATACGGCATAAATCTTTACTATTTTAGTTGAAAATAATGTTTTTGAAAGATTTATTTAATATTTTATGTTAATTATGTACCTTTTTAGATTTTAGAACAAAAGTTACTGGAACTTATAAGGGGCGTGAAAATATGTATCAGGTTCATGTTTAACTCAAATAATTTTTAATTGTCAGTTTTTGCTTTTTTCAAATCATTGTGTAAACTAATTTTTAAACTTAGATTTAGCAAAAACTCATTTTGTTTATATGAATTATAATATTTTCTAAAAATAATATTGATATTTATTCTTATATTTTACGTATATAAACTAAGGTAATTTTTTTTTAATTTTCAGGTAAAGTAGTGCCATTTATTGAATCAACAGTTGCTAATACATCGGTATTAACAATCTTAGCTATAAGTTTTGAACGATATTATGCAATATGTCAACCATTTCGAGCAAAGTAAGATTTATAATAATCATAAACTTTTTATTCAATTAGTTATTTACATTAACATATATTACATAAAATATTATATATATTATATATGATTATTTCATAATTGAATATATCCATGAACAGCCAATTTTTAATTTCTAAATACGTTATATATTGTGTACACGTGTATGAATAATAGTTTATCAAGGAATTTTTCAAATTAATATTAAATAGTTCAAAATTTAAAAAGTTAAATATATCACATTTTTATATACTTTTACCGATAATTACGATTAATTATAATCTTTAAGTACAGCTCAAATGTTTAGAATAGATGAATAAAATAAAGTTAAAATTAAAAAATTGAATAAAATTATAGGTTTGTGCTGATAACAAATTTATAATATAATATAGTTTCCCTTTATAAAGTCATAAAATACGTCCGTTGAAATTATCTTTTCAATGCTTATAATAAAACACAGATTAAAAATTGTCGTACACATGAGTGATCGGGAAAAAATTTATAGAAATTTATGGTAAATTAATTATTGGCCTAAATATTTATTGGTTTTTATTTATCTAAGTAATCAATTGTTATATAGAGAAATCATAGTATTGCAAGAATTAAAAGAATTGTCTAAACTTATTGATGTATTTAATTACAGCAAAATGATGTTAACAATATATTTATGTTAGTAAATAACATATTACATAACAACTTATGTAATTAAAAGTCCTCACGATGATACCACATCAATATGCTCTGATCTTGACTTTTGATTTACCATCACAAGTATATGAAAAAAAACATTAGTTACAATATATTTAAAAAGATTAATATCATATTAGTAATATCATTAATAAGTACAAAGCTGTGACTTAGATATGATTATATCACCTACATGAATATTATTAATTCTATATGAAAAGATTACAATTCTACCATAAATAATTTAAAAAATACAACTTGTATTATAACTAATCTTTTTAAAGATTTTTTTGTTGTATAAAGGTGTAATATATATTTCATTAAGGATATGCATTCATGACATGTCAAATCATTTACCGACATGGTATCTTTCATAAATATTTAATTTCTATCTAAGTAACCAATTAAGCTGAAGGAATAATTATTTGTAAAAATGTTTTCAGAAGCTGACATTAATTAAAATAAATAAAGAAATAGTTTAGCAATTTACATTTTTGTATATTACGAATAAATAAGATAATAATCAATTAGTTCCGTTGAAGTATTACATTCTATTAAAATCGACTCTTTATTCAATTTGTATCACTATTTTATTAATAAAATTTTATTATATAATTAATAAAAACATAATAACAATAATAACTGCATCATATAGCTATATTTACAATTTATAAAAGTTTACATACAACATTTATTAATTGTTAGAAATTGAAAATATTTTTAAAAAATGAATACAATGTTATATTCGCCTTTCATTTTTAATATTTTTTACAATGAAACTAATATTCTAAGATTATATATTGCCGAATACTATAAAAATCTAATATCATTCCAAGAAATGCAAAATAATAATATTAAAGACTTTTTTAAATTCAAAATAATGCACAAATACGCGGAAGTACACACATAAAACGAAGCTTTCAAATGTTAAAAAGCACACGTATTTGTAATTTATTTCAAAAAGTTAAATTAATAATTAAAAAATTATTTTTATTGCAGTTACATTTGTACAAGATCTAGAGCAGTACTAATTTGTATGTTATCTTGGTTTATAGCTGGATTATTTACGAGGTTTGTCCAATATTTTAATAGAATTAGTAAAAAAACAGAATATTAAATTCTTTATAAATTTACTATCTTAAATATCACTGATTTAAAAAATGTAATTAATAATTGAATTCTATATATCAATAGAATAAATTCTACATGGTCTATTCAAAGCTCAATTTGTAGTTAATAATAAAAGTTTATGAGATAATAAAATTGATATATGCGCAATACATTAAAATCAAAAGTGAGAGAGAGGTTTATAACTTTAGCGATGTTTACATTTAGTTATTCATTTTCGATAGCTTATTTGATATTTTGAATTAAAAGAACGTAAATAAAAATTGTAGAAAAAGATTATAAATAAATATTCCAATGTCGAATTAAATAATTAATATAAGCGGAAACATAACTGTGTGATGTTTTTAAATAATTAAAAAAATCATTAATGCATTGAAATCATAATACACTCGTTGAAAAAAATCAATGTATCAAATTATTTGAAAATTATCGTTGATGGGAAAAATTACCATTAATTGAAATTGCTATCGCGATATACTAATACGTAAATAACATTAATTTTATATTAATATATCATTATAAGTTATAGAAACTATTATAATAAAGTTGGATAATTTAAAAAATAATATTATTCATTTAAAGAATATCTGAAGTACACAAACTGAGTGTCAGATGAATAAAAAGTAATATGTAAAATGTGAAAAAATGAACGCGATAAAAAACAAACTAATCAATGGTTCACTGAAATGAACATCATTTTCTCAATGTTAATTAATTATGTAAAAATGTTATTGGAATTCAAATTTTAAACAAAATAAAAGCGTTACATCTGTTGAAAGATCTAAAAAATAGGAAATTTAAGCAATTTTAGTATTTTATATTGAAAAAGAAACCTTTAATGGCGTTCTTTATGTTAAAAATGTTTAAAAATTCAGTAATTATGAGTAAAACAAATAAAACTTATGTACTATTTATTATAAATTTAGATGAAACCAGATAATAGAAATATCGTTGGAATTTACGAGCAAATTAAATTTTTACAATGTAAATAGTGTGATATAATTTCTCCGTTTGATATACATTATTATAATTCGTAATGAGTTATTGAAAAGTGAAAATAAAAATAATTTGAGATTAAAATTATTTTAAACAACTATTGCACGATCAAATAATAAAATTTAAAATTTATTTAAAAAATTTTTTAAATTAATTTTATATTTTTATTATTTGTCTTGATGTAAATATCTTATAAATTTAGTATTTTATACATATAATTTCTTACTAACGTCAAAATTTTTTATTTATAGTCCATTTCTATACATGGTAACATTTGAAGTTAATTATGATGAATTTGGAGTTTCAAAACCAACATGTACAACAGAAGCTAGAACCAAATGGAGCATTGTATACATACTATTTACCATAGTGGTGTTTTTCATATTTCCAGTTATAATTCTTATCATATTATATTCAATTATAGTAAATGAACTTATTCAGAGATCACACATGATAAATGATGTTGCAAAGAAATTGTTTAAAAACCGTTTTCAAATTGTTAGAATGCTGTGCACTGTAATTTTTATCTTTTTTATTTGCTTGCTACCTCTACGTGCAATGATGATGTGGGTTATGTTTAGCCCGTTACAACAAATAATAGAATTCGGCATTGAAGGATATTTTTGTCTTTTGTATTTTTCAAGAATTATGTTTTATTTAAATTCTGCCCTTAATCCTATTTTATATACCTTAATGTCAACTAAATTCAAAAGAAATTTTTTACATTTATTGCATTAATTACTTTAAATAATGCGAGATTATTCTTATTATTTTAAATCCTTTCAATAAAACAAACAAAAATATAAATAACAAAATACAAATTATGTAACTTGAAAAAAGAAACACAATAAAGATTATATTAATTATATATGAATAAATATATTAGTATTAATAATAAAATAACATACTTTCTTTTTTATTTAATCATTTAGCTTTAAATCTGTCCAAACTTTTTTTATATACAGTATTGGACTACAAGATTGTATGCAAATTTTTTTATTTTGAGAATTTATAAAAACGAATAAAGTATTGTCATTTTTAATATTACACGTTATTGAAATATTCCATTTAAAGTATTTAAATTTTCATACTATTTTTATAAAAATTAAAAAAAATTCAACGAAAAAATTAATTACTTAAACATTTGTTTTGTGTTTAGGGTTAAAAGTACGAAATATTGTATTACAATGTAGATCGTTATATCATGCATCAAAAACAATTCTGAAGTAATAGGTACAATTGAATAGTATTTCATCTTCTGAATGTTTAGTATACATGAAATAAAAAAAGTGTAAAAACTATTTGACAGATAAGCAAATTATTCTGCCTATTTCTAAACTATAACATGAAAGTTTTTCTAAAATAAAAATAAAAAAGTTCTAAATGTAAGATAGTTTTTTTTACTTAATTTTTCAAAAATAAGATTTTCTCTAAACTTCAATATAATCAACAATATCAAATACAACATTGAGTTTAATGACATATTTTTATTTTAATTTATATTAACATTTTTGATGTTTTACTTAATTTTTTTAAAACATTTTTTCAAACATAATCTATAAAAAGTAGAAAAAATAAATCTATTAATTATAATCTATGTAACAAAAGTAATTTGAATGATACTTACATTGTTTATACAGATATTAATTTTATGAATAAATGAATTACAATTGAAAAAAAATTAATACAATTGCAACTAATATATAATAAAATAAATTTGAAAACAATATTTAACTATTTTATGATATAACTATTCTAAGAGAGTACAGTTTAGATAATGTATTTTCATGTATATTCTACATATTAAGATAATATTTGTTCACTTATTAGTTTATATTTAAAATAAATTAACAAATTTTTTAAAATTACTAAAATTTACAAAATAATATAACTGCTTAAATAGTTTAAATAAAAATAATATACATAAGTAAAAAATTGACAGTTAAGAATATAACATATTGCATTACTAATTTATAAAATGCACTTCTAATAACTATAAAATAAAATAATAATGAATAGTATTTAAAAAAAATAAAAATGATTACATTTTTATTATTATTATATATTATATAAAATACAATTATTACATGAAAAAGTTCCATTAACTTTTTCTATGATAAAAAATATGGTAACATCGTGACATTGTTTAGTATTAATAAAAATTTATAGTTAAGGAGAATTTGTTCTAATTAAAATTTAAATACATTTTCATGCATGTGAAAGAGAATTTTTTATTATAAAATAATGCTATTATTGTTATATATTTTATATGTTATTACAAATTTTGAATCTTTCAAAATGTATAACAAAACAACAAGGAGCAGTCAAGTATTAGTTTAATTTAATATAATTTAATTCAGACGATTTTGATTTATCAACTTTAAATATTATTTAATTATTCTTTATTTATATATAATGAAGTGTAATATTTATGGAAATCAATTCTACAGTCTTTAAATCAACTTTTGAAGAAATATTTGAAACTTGTATTTAAATTTTCTGTATGAACACTTTAAATTGAAATAGAATAAGTGCAACCAGTTACCTGAATATTTAAATAATTAGTATAATTAATAAAATTAATTCGATTGTTTAAATCAAATGATTATTTATAATTGTTATGAACTGTACTATTAATAAAAGAATTTATATAATAGCAATGTAATAACATTCTTTACCGAGTTTGAGTCAGCAATAAATTATTGATACATTTATACTTTATTTTTATATTTTTTATTCTTTAAACTTACCCAGATTTTTATAATTTTAGTGGCTGCAATTGATAAAAGTTTAGATAAATTATAAATAGTTTAATTAATGTTTGAACTGTGTTTGATTAAAACTTTTGAAAATACATAAAGTAGTCTATTGTATAGAGTAGGCTATACGTTACTAAATTATATTCTATTTTTAGAATTAAAAGCTTAGTATTACGCTAATTATAGAAATAAATCTGTATAAAGAAGAGAATAACAAAACTTATGATTAATGTATTATAACGATTTAATCATAAATATAGAAACAAACATAAAATGTAAACATTAATAATTAAGATATAAACATTAAAAATAAAATAACTTATTACAAATTATAGACTCGAGAAGATAAGAAAGAATGTAGAATATAATTGCTGATAATTTCTTCAGTAATTATTTAATAAAATTGAGATAAAATTGTTTTTTCACTCTACAGTTTTATATAAATAACTTTAGTTTAAAAACTTTTCTGATTAGAAAATAATATTTAATAGTTTTATAATATTACAAATATGAGTTGTAATTTTTATTTTTACTTACAGATATAATTAATTTTTAGTAATTGTATATTTTGATGCATTGAAAATATAATGATATCTATTGAAGCATATATATGAATTTATAGATATGCAATGCTTTTACATTCATTAATTACATAATTTAATTAATATATATATATATATTATACAAAAATTGAGGATAAAAAATAATATAAAATTTATAAGTCATTCAATATTTCTCATCTAAACCAATCCCAGTTATAAAATATTTATTTATGTTCCAAAAAAATCATTCAGAGGAATTATATTATATATACATTAGGAATTTAAATATATTAATTTATTATATATATTACTAGAATATGTATATGTTGATTAATAATTTGCAATAGCAATATTTTTCATAATTGAAAAAATCCCTTATCAAATCCTAGAAATACGTTAGTCTTTATGATTTTTCATCTTGTATAATGACAATTTTAACTTTCTGCTAAAATATTAATTACATATTAATTATTAATAGCTGTATGCTGCAAATTGTTTTTACAACTGATTATATAATTTTGAATTAAGTATTAAATTATTTGTAAGGTGTTCACGTGGTATAATATATACATCAACCTTGGAACATATTTCTTGATAAATTAAAAATCTACTATTTTGTTTATTTTTAATCGTGTGATGCCGGTTTTGCATTTATAAAAATAAAACAATATGGATGTCAATAGAATTGTTTTTTCCCAACGTACTATCAAAATCTTGTTTCAAAACATTACGGGATATTTAAGTAATTAACAACTATTTATTGATAGTTTAGTGAATTTAACTATAACTGTACAAATACTGATATTAATGTTTCAAAGTCTAATTCATAAAAATCAGTCTATTGTACTATTTTGATAATTACAAATTGGAAGTAAAGGAGATTGCTAATATTAAAAATTCATGTCAGAAATATTTCACATGCATATATGATAAAAAATAAATAAACATAACAATTATGTAAATATAATTTGAAAATTGTGGCATATGAGTTTTATATGGGTTTTTATATTGAATTTTAATAATAGTTAAAAGATTTGACTAGCTTGATTCTCATTTAGATTTTTCAATAAAATTTCGAATGCAAACATTTATTAAAGGTACGTATGTGTAACTTTGAAAAGTATTATTTGATTACTTTGTAGTCTATTAGAAGATTGTCTAAAAATACAATACAATTTTCTATTGTATTTACAGGCTGTAATTTGTGACTGCAAATTTATAAATTATATATTAAATATTGTAATAATAAATATAAAGGTATAATTTTTTAAATAACAATCACACTTAAGCTACATAAAATGAGTAAAATTGGTGGTTCATTAATTGATCAGAGCAGATAAATTTCATTTTATCTAATATTTGTCAGTGATATACTGCAGAAGTTATTGGTATTAAAAAGTGGATTAAAAAGAATAAAATTCAGAAATTGAAATTTTTTATAAAATAAAATATTAATGATTAAAATTGGTATTTTATTATTAATTTTGACAAGTCATTTTTATAAATTAATTTCAGTTGAATTCAGTTCTTTTAAAATCTATTTTAACTAATGTTCCAATAATTAAACATAAAAAGAATTCACTTTAATACGTAAAAATGATATTATATTGTAGATAGTGAAGATTTCAGTTGAATATATCTACAATTAATCGACATAATGAAATCAAGTTAATTTATTGCAACATTGTTTAATGTATTAAATTAATGTTTATTTTGTTTCTAAGTTCTTACTTTAACTAATACCTACTGTTTATTATTGCTTGTACTGGTGTATAAAAAAATTCTGGTGAATTAATTGTATATTAAGTCTTATGTTTTTATGTGTTTACTACATATTGTTTAATTATTTTAAGATATACGAAATTATTCTACTACAATTTATAAAATGCTATATAATTTTTTAATAATGGTGCAATTAATACCGCATTCTTTGGTTTGTATTTTATGAACATTGTTGCTTTACTTTAATAAAATAACCAATTTATCAAATTATAAAAATCAATTTATGTGCTGCTCAATAAAATATTTTTTTAATGTTTTACATTTTATTATAATCTTATGAATATACAGTATTTCACCAAGCCTGTATAGTATGAATCCAATTAGTTATTTCAATATAATAACATGACTTGTTAACGACGGTTGCTAACTTTAGACCATTCACCGGTTTCTTCATTTAATTGACCTGGGGATTTTTTATTTTCCTTACTAACATTTGTATCCTGCACTAAATCTTCTTTTCTGAAAATATAAAAAATAAATTAATTCAATTTCTAGTAAAATACTTTAAAAAGTGGCTATTATTTTAAATATATTTCTATGTTTAATATTAAGAATTAAAATTATTTTTAAAAATTACTATAATAAAACATTCTTTTTTATCAATATTTTGCTTATTAAAATTATGTATTAATATTTCTTTTAGTATAATTTACAAAACAGTAAAATAATACAGAAAGTCCTTTATTAATACTTCATTATATTTATATATTACACCTAATATGGATATACTTTTTACGCTTACAAATAAAAAAAATTTCATTTGTAGAAATATATACAGATTAATTGTTACATCTGCTTATGGGTCATTTTAAAATTAAAGTAAATTTTAAACAGAATTAAATAAATTAGGAAAGAATAAACAGGAAAATTTACTTTTCTGAATCTCTTAGAGAAGCATCTTTTGGAATCTCTTTTGATGAATTTGAGCTATTACGCCAATTTTCAACAGTTGGTCGTGATTCAGTTTGATAAAATGCTCGTCGTTCTGTCCCTCTTTCACGGTCTTCTCGACCTCGCTGGAAGTCTGGACGACGTACATCACGATTTTCATGCCACGAACTCGGAGTACTCTGTGAATTTTTAGTTTAATACTTATGATTTTATATTACTCCACATTAGAAGTCTAATTTATCTTATGTGTAAAGATATATTAAATCAAGTATTATTACATTATTACCAATTACAAACATTGAAATCATGAAACAAAAAACTTCTATTTAAATTAACGTTTCACTCATTTTCATACAGACATCTTCAAGACTGAAATATTTATATTTTCGATAATTTTGTATTTGTTTGAAATATTTTTCTAGATTCAACTAGATTTTTAATACTTTGAACAAAAAAGGTCAATTTTTAATTTTAACGGATTAGAACTCAATGAAATTTTATATTATAATTTAAACAAATCTTACAGGATATCCTTTATCAAATTTACGTTGATCTTTGTCAGCAGAGAATTCTCTGCGATCACTACTAGCCTTCCAATTCTCATCTTTTTCAGCATTTGCTTTTGAAATATTTTCTTTTGGAGCACCATCTTTTGAGCCGCGCCATGGAATATCACTTGCTATAATGAATTTAATAAATACTATGAAAACTAGATAATTGAAGTTGTACAGAAATAAAGTAAATGATAATTAAAACCTTTAAGCTCATAAATTATTCATAAAAATAAAATAAATTGAGAAGTTAATTTTTACAACAAAATAAAAACATTATTTATGCAACCTATATATAATAAATTCTAATTATAATAATTATACAGCTTTTATTTACAAATGTATTTACATTTAATATACAAGTATCATAATTTAATTTTTTTTAATATACTAGTATTAAGTGTATCAGTATAAGCACTTTATATTTTATGAATATTTTTAAAGTTTTAATTCATAATTTTGGTATTCATTCTAACACCTAAAATCAAAAATTGTAAACTTTAAAGTATATATCTTTATCTATATAATACTGATTTTAAATTAAATTAATTCAAATAATTAAATAGAAAGATAAAGAAAAATTAATTTAAAAAATAATTCATTTATTCTAAATGAAAAGTTAACACTTGATGCTGTTTTATTTTTTAGATAATTATTTAGATAATTTTTCATTTTAAAGCCTTATAATATTATCTTCATACATTATATTTATAAATACTTGATTCAAATAACTTTTCCAATTTTCTAAACTAATTTTAAAAAATCGTTTCAATTTATTACATACATTTATTTTTTATTATATTTATTATAATCTACTAATTAGAGGATAATTTTTTTTTATTACTGAAAAAATAAGTACGTTTCTTGTTCAAAAAAGAAATTTTTTAGATCAAATAAATGAAACGATTTATGAACAAAACAGTATAACGATTAGTCAGAAAAATTTTTTCTGTACAAATTTCAATATTAATTGTTTCAATATTGATTGTTATATATAAAAAATCTTGATGAGATTGATTTTATCAAATTAATAGTTCTTAAAAATTTACAATTAATATTTCATTTCGAAATTCAATATTTTTATTCTAAAATAGAAATATTTTCATTATATTAGGATCCTAATTAAATTACTTAAATTCAAATTATTTTTATTAATAATAAAAACATAATTTTAGATTCTTATTTTTTATAAGTTGATGAAACACAATATTACAAAATTAAATAAATCGTGTAAATAAATCTTTAAGATTATTATTATTATAATATACAAAAATTGTGCATTATAAGGTTGTTTAAAAAACAAATAAAATTTCACATTTCCAAAGTTAGCTAATAATTATTTATAAATGCAAAATTGCGAATAATTATGAATAAGTAATTAAATAAAAATACTAGAACTAAATTAAAAAGACTTACTCCTTTTCCTCCAATTCGTGTACTGCATAGGTCTATCCACACTTTTAATTCTTTCTTCTTCTAATTTACGTTCTATTTCTAATTCCTTTTTTCTAATTATTTCTCCTTGTTTCTCGAGTTTTGCTAAACGTTCGGCTTCCTTTGCCTCCTCCTTTGCGCGTCGAATCTTTTCTTCTTCTTCCCGTTTCGCTCTTTCTTCTTCCATACGTTTTCTTTCTTCTTCTTGACGGAGATGCAATTCTTCTAAATATTTCTTTTCAGCTGCTTCTGCTGCCTCTTTTTCCCATTGTAATTTTCGTTCGACCTTCCGTTGAAGTTTACGTTTTAATAAACGTTTGATACGTTCTTGATTTAACATAGATTCGAAATCTCGCAGCTTTTCTAAATATATACTCTTACGTTCAGCAAGAATTTTTTCAAGGAAAGTATTAGCATCAGCTTTCATTCTTGTTAAACGTTCACGAGTTGCAACAGCCTGATTACGTTCTTCTACTGCAGCTTGAATTCTTTCACACTCTTGCTGTTCCCAACGTTGTTTAGCAAGTTCCAACTTTTCTTCCATTGCTTTTTCTAGTAATGGAATTTCTTCTAATCTCTTTGCCCTTTCCAGGTAATCTACTTTTTTCTCTTGCGATTTAAGTTTTTGTTGCATCTCTTTTCTTTCTTTTTGTAATTCTTCTGCTTCACGAGCTGCTATTTGTTCCGCGTCTAATTTTTTAATTTCATCTTCATCTAATTTTTTCAAGACCTTTTGCCCATGACTTGTTTGAGAAATTTGTTGCATTTTTTCTTTCAACGTTCTATCTTTAATTTGTTGGATTTCAGATTGTTGGCGTTTACGTTCACGTTCTTCGCGTTCTTGCTCAAGACGTTTCTGTTCTGCCAGTAATTGTTGACGCAATAATTCTTCCTGACGTCGCATTTCTTCTTCTTCCCGAACAAAATTCATGTGTTCAATATATTCTTTTCGCTCTTCAATTATTTTATGTCTACCAAGAATACGCTGATGTTCCTTCACCTTTGTTTCATGATAATGATTTACCATCATAGTTCTTAATTTTTCTCGTTCCTGTTTTTTTTTGTTAGGATTTATTATATTATTTGCACGATGCAAAACAGTAGCCATATTAACTAATTGACAACGAATTTGTTCTGATGGCATGGCTTGTAATACTGGCCCATCAGGATTATCCTCTCTTTGTGCTTCAGATAAATCAACTCCAAAATGTATACATTTTTTTCCATGATCTATTCGTATTTGCATATCATTATATCGAACACAGTCAACTAACAGACGTTCCAAGTGAAAATCAGTTGTAAATTTTGCAAGTTGAAGTAATCTCATGAATTGAATAGTTTGATATACTTGTGAAATCTATAAAAGATAATTGGTGAAATATAATTTAATGAATTATTTTTTTTATAACAAAAAAAGTTATAATTATTAAGATCAATATTTTATTGTAATGTTTATCATTATTCGTTTCTAACAAATGTTCTTATATTTAATTATATATTTTACATGAAATATTGCAAAAAAAGAAATTTAAATTAATCGTTTTTTAGGAGAAAAGTAAAAATCTTGTTTGGTAATCGAAAATCAATATGCTTTAAATACATTTTCTTATTGACTTTATTAATATGTAAAATTTTCAATATTACATATAACATAAATATCAATTAAATTAGCATAAATAAGATTAATAAATTTTACTAAAATTGGTTGATAAGTTTAAATTTAAAATTGTTTGTCTTAAATACAAATTTATTTGACTTTTCATAAATGTTTAATATTGGTAATGTACTGCCATAATTTTATATTATAATAAATTTTTACTTGTAAAAACATGAACCAAATACCTGATGTACTAAACGAACAAGTGTTACATCCTGCAATGCGGGAATGTATTGAATAAGTGGACCGGTTTCATCTTGTTGTAAGCCTTGAACAACTGAATGTACTCTTTCACAAAGCTCAAGTGGATGAAATTCTATTTCTAGCCAATTATATAAATCCTGAAGTTGTGGTGAAGCTAATGCTACAACATTAAGACGTACAATGTCTTTAAGTAACAAAGCTCTAGAAGGAGGTTGTAACAATCCTAAAAGAATTGCTAACTTCTGAGCTTTTTCTTGTGGACTCTTATCAGTTTCAATAAATCGATCAAATTCAGGGTGAGCAGAGGGTAAAGGAATGGACAATGTTGCTAAAAGAACTCTATTAGCCATACGTTGTTGTTCCTCGGAAGACATATTTTTTTTCATATCACGAGAAAGTTGAAATAATTTAAACAATGCAGCTGCATGAAATAAGTAATTTCCAGCTTTCCAAAAAACCATTGCTAACTTTTGATAATAATTGGCCATTGTTTTTGGTACAGACATTTTTTTTGATAAATTCATTAATCCATGAATATCTTCAATAGCTTTGTAAGCTTCTTGCCATAATTCCATTTGAATAGCAGAGTCAAGTTGATTTAATCTTGTTTCTAAATTTAACTGCTGTGTTTCAATTTTGTTGATTGAAACATTTGATACCATTTGGGGCAATTTACTAATTTCTTCTAAATGTTTACGAAATTTTTCACATAACTTACGAAATTCCGTTTTTCGATTATATTCCAAACAAAATTGAAAAGCCATTCTAGCTATATCATGATATAATGTTTCAACATGGGCATTTGTTCTTAATAATTCAAGACACTGACAATAAGATTCCCATAAAAATTTAACCCATGGTGTTAAAATTGTTCTATCACTTCGGTCTTGTGCATCTTCTCCACTAACAGCAGATAATAAAATACTTTCAGGTGTAGCTAAATTATCAAGATCATCAATATCAATTACTGCTTGCTGACTTTGTTTCCTAGCAGCATCTGTTTTTTCTTCAGCCATTCGTAAATAACCTCGAATAACATTTTCTAAACTACCTACATTGACTGACTGAAACATGTTTCGATACTGAAAAAGACCTTCCTTTGCAATATGAGATTTTTTTAATTCCACACATAGATCTAAATATTTGAACATTATAGGCTCTAAAACTGATTCTGACCAACTGTATGTCCATTTTTTATTTCGAAACACTTCTTGTAAAGTATCTAAAGCTCTAGCTGGCTTACCAACTTCAATAAATTCTGAAAACGAAAATACATTTATGAAATAAAATTAATTTTTTTTTACATATTTGAAGTACTTGTATAAGCACCATAAAGTACAATTTCAAATTGAATAAAAATATTATAGTATATTAAAAAAGATATTTTTTGTTCTACTTTAACAATGAAGTACATTGTAAAAGTATTACAACAATACTTAAAGTAATTTTTAATTTAAAAAACGGTAAAGTGAATAATAAACTACAATCAATAATTAAAAAATATATTGGTAATTATGAGAACATAGAATATAATTGCATGCATTTTTTTATTTGAAATTGTGTAAAATATGTACATAGATTTCAACATTTATTATTATTAAAATTTAGAAAATCAGAATACTTAGTAATTATTGAATTGATTTAATATGTTAAATACTAAATTTTTATTTCGTTAATAATTGTAAATAAAACAATAAAATTAAACTTAATGTTACTATTGAATAATAGACTTCACTGAAAAATTTTTTTATAAATATCGCAGAACATATTAAAATATTATATTATTAAACTTATAATAATTAGCTTTTCTAAAAATATTTGTGACATTTGCATTAAATTTTATTAAATTAAATGATTTTAATAATTTTTATTAACTTTTCAAAAATCAGTATTTACACAAATACATCCATATTTCATATAAAATTATAAGGCAGATTTAATTTCAATAATTAAATATTTGTTAAATTCAACAAAAATGAAATTATTATATTTATAATATTTTATATACCATAAATATAATAAATTCTAATTTTAAATTACACAGATATAACATTCAATGTTAAAAAATAAATAATGAATTTACGGCTAATATGCGAAAAGAAACTTTTAGCAAATATCTATATTTTTTAAATTTAATAAAATTAAAAATGATATTTATTTTTACTAGTTCTAATTAAAATATTACAAAAATTATAATAAAAATTTCTGTAGAATAAATTATAAATACAATTATCATTTTACAATTAAAACAAAATTAGAAAGTATTTTTCAATTATAATTTAAATACAGACAAAACTTTAATATAAGAATTTTCTTAACATATATGAATTATTATTTACAATAAGTAGTAATTATTATATTTTATTTACAAAATAATTTATAAAATTAAAAATTAATAAATATGATAATAGCAACAATAAGCGTCTTATATGAAAAGAAAATGTTTTTAGGAACAAAATATGTTATTTATTAAATATTTTAATTATTGTATAAAAAGTCATGTATTCATTAAAAACAAATTATTCATATATAATTAAATAATATATTGAATAATATCTTCATCAATATATACCAAGAATTTCATTTAAAATAAATTTGAAAACTATTGATACTTACAACAAATTTGTGTAAATTTCTACCTAAAAGTACTTTTATAACTTATATTGAATAACTATTTTATTAAAATATTAAGTTTTTAAATTTAATTGGATATATATACATAAATGCATGACATTGTATTTTAAAAATTGTATTATATATACAATGTATATAAAATAATTTAAAAAGTAGAATATTCATCATAATCTAACATACATGTATTTAATCTATAAAAATATAAATGTTAACTCTTATCTTAAATATTAAAAAATAAATAAAATAAAAACAAGCTGCTACTATAATAAAATTACAAATTTACTATTATAATTAATTAAAATACTAAAGTTAAAATTAAAAACGAAAAATATAAATAATAATATTAAATATATATATTGTTTGAATATCTGTATGTACGAATGCAGATTTAACTTAAATTTTAATAGTTCCAATGTAGATACTAAATTTTACATACCATTAGCTCGTTTTAAAGCATTTTCAGGTCTTTGGACATATCTTGCCATTTTAGAAAAAATAAATTAAATTGTCAAATAAAAACAGCAGTCACTTTCTATAATAAAAGTTCATTGTTATTTCAAATCAAAATTAGAATTCATTAAATTACCCACATACAATAAGATATAAAATTGATGAATCGTTTACCTTTGCGTATAAATAATATTAAAATGTCTCGTGGCGAACTCCTACACTCCCTGAACTTACAATTCCATGAGAAATAAGATTATATACCAACTAGAGTAGAGACAAAATATAAAATAATATAGAAACAGCGGTAATAAAAGTCTTGACACGAAATTAGTTACACACAAGAATATACGCTTATAAGTATGTCCTCAAATATTGAAAATGCATTATTTAAGTCATGCGCAATATAAATATGAAAATCGTTAATTGTTTTATATTATATTTTTAAACAATATAGTATATTAGTTATAAAAAAATTACACACTAGATTAATAAACTAATTTTTGTATTATTTTTAATATCATATTTTAATAGATATTACCAAAAATATATTTTTAATGTACATATATCATAACTAAAACTAAACGAAAACTATTTTATTATAATTTAGGAAAACTATTCAAATAAATAATTCATTCATTATTGCAATATAGTGACACAGTATATTAAAAATAGCAATAATATATTTGTATTTTTAATTGGTTTTTAATAAACTTGAAATTGTGTAAAATTTATAAAATTTGTTTAAAAATTAATATTACTTATCAAAATAATATAATTTTATCAATGTAATAAGATGTTATATTAAAAATGAAGAATTTGTAAGCACTTATAAACAAATATAAAATAAATAAATGACATCATTCGTTAAAAACAAAGATAAAATATAACAATGACAATTTTCTGTGTAAAATAAATTCACAAATTTAGTACTTAAAATATAGTGAATATAAAAAAATTTAATCTTATACCACTAATATATAATTTTCAGAATTATTTGAATTTACAATAAATTAAGGGATATTATGACAAAGAACTTTATTCGAAAATAATATAAATATCAAAAAATTGTCCGAATAATTTTTATTTCTTTAATTTCTTCAATTTTTATATTTGAAACTATTGTCGCGAAAACTGATAGTTTTTTCAACATTAATTGTAATTTTCTAAGTCCAAAACGGACAATAAAACAGTGAAATTTCATTATATATGATTAAAAATATATTAAAATCTTCTTAATATAAATTTCATTATTAATATTATTCAAAACTGTCAAAACTTTTATTTTCACCAATTGAAATTTATTATTAAAATTGCATAGTTCTAACTGAGCATAAGATAAAAGAAAGAGATAAGAGTGATTCCAAACAGAGCATACTCAATGACGATTATGAAATTTTTTAAGCTCATTCACCAACAACGGTAATACATCCAGATATTCTCAAAAATACTTGTTTTCCATTGTATATCTAATCAAGGTCCTGTACCAAAATCTCTTAATGACACAATTTGTTTCATAACTCCTTAATTTAAACAAAAATATCGACTAACCCTTTTCAAATAAGTTGACTCCTTTCTGTGTCTTCCCCAAAATTTCATGTACTCTTTAATTAAGTTACCTTTTTCATATAATATTTTAGTGTTAATAAATCTATTCAATAATTATTCTTTTAATGAGTACCACATTTTCTTTTTGATCTAGTTCACATTTGATCACATTCTTATTGATCTAGTTATAGACTAAATATAAAATAAATTTCATTTTAGTTGTGAATATAAACTACACTACTTATTCCATTTTTTTTTCTTTTATGTGAAATCTTTTTTCCTTATTAGTATATATAAATTTTGAATTATTTTATGGGAAGCACAAGGAAAGACCTTTATTGCAGAAAGAAAAAATTTGGTTAAAGATTACTTTTATAAAAAAATATATTTCTTACAGAGATTATATTTGATAGAATAACAAATAAAATTTGATTTTCAAATATTTTTAAAATTATAAAAATGATTTTTCTTAATATCTGTTTTAGCAAATGCATAACAAAATTGAAAAATTAATCGACTAATAATTTACTATTTTACCCACATTTTTTGGTGGTGTGTGTTTAACAAAATTATATACAATAATTATAGTCTATATACCAGAACATTAAAAGTAATTGTATTTAAGCATGCAATACCTATAAATAGTTCAAATTGTTATTAGTTCATTTATAAAATTTTAGCATAAATTTTGAAAATAAATTTAATCTATCAAAATATATAAATATTTTAATCATTTTTCAAAACTCAGTAATATAATTAATTTTACTTACTACTTTATAAAAACACAACTCTTTTTAATTTAAACGTTATACTATGATATATTTTTGGTAAAAATATTTCTTATTAAAGATTTCTTATGATAGATCGATAAAATACTTAATTAATATACTCTACGAAAATATATTTTAAAAACTCCATTTTTATTAAAAACCAAGCATTTTTTCAAGTAAATAAATAGAATAGAAACATTGATTAGAGACAAACTTATGCAAATGGATTTCAATATAGTTATCTTACAAATAATTATACCTAATAAATCATCTAACATGAAGACTTATTCAAATATTTTAATCTAAAATTTTAAAACAGATGGATAGATTTACCGAATTTTGTATAAAAAATACTAACTTATTTTACTTTTATACAATGTCATATATATATATATATATATATAAATTACTAAAAAAACTTAATTTTTCTATCTTATAAATCATTTTTTAAATGATATAAAATTAACAAAATTATATTATTTATTACATTTATTTAAAGTAAACATTAAAATTAATCATAAAATCTAGAAAAGTAATTTGAAGTTAAGAGAGCTTTTTTTCTAATCGTATATTTTCAATGATTGCCTAATATTTCGTAGCCATAGATCCAGCTGGATTTTAATTTCAACACGCATGAGCCAAATTAATCACCGTATATCTATAGTGACACTTCTGATTGGTTTTTCTTTACTAAACATATCGCCGATTACTTTTTCGTTTTCTTTCAATAAATGTTTACATTTAATCAAAATAGATGTCAACTTTCAATTTATTTATTAATTAGATATTTTAATGTATAAATAGAAAAATATTGCAATTAGATTCTTTTTCAATTTAGATATATATTTAAATTTGTATTAATATGATAAAAGATATCGACAAATTTTTAAGTGATTTAGAAAAAGGAGAATTAGAAGTAAGTTTGGAGTTTTTAATTTAATTGGATTTTATATATTTATAATTTTTATTCTATATACCCTATAAATAATATGCTGGATATGAAAATAATACTATTTTGGTTAGGTTTTCTTTTAACGTCACTTAGCATTAGGACGATATGTTTTGAAAATAAAATTTCATTTAGAATATAACTTTATATTTTTAATAATAAAGCAGAATTATAATATTTATATTTGAACTGTATTAATAATATATGTATATTTCATTGTTACTGTTTAAAAAAAAAAAAAAAAAAAAAAAACAAAACATTTTTAGTTAAGAAATCGTATAAAAAGTATTTAAAAATAAAATCAAATTTATAATCTTTGTGTTTATCAATTTTCCTATAATTAAAAATATATTGAAATTTTATATTATATTAACATATGTAAAGAATATTAAAATTTTAGAAATTCATGGTGTTAACTTTTTCATAAATTTTATTCGATTATTGTTCAAATCATGATTTTTTATTGAATAATATATTTTGATATAGTCCCTGTTTATGTCATGTATTGAGATTATGCAGTTTGAATTTTTATTTTAGAATTAAATATGTATTTATAAATAAAATCTGTTATAGCAATAAAAATTTTATATTTAAAAAATTATTTTAATAATTATATAATTAAATTGTAAATATAACAATATAGATAGATATTATTTAGGTAATAATATAATATAATATAGATTGTAAAAGATTGTAATATAAAAACCTAATGTTCCATTATTAACAAATACTTTTAAAAGTTATAATTATAATTCTCAATAAATAAATTTAAATGTATTATTTTAATATAAATATACTTATAATTATGGATTTATAAAAATTCATTATTTATCATACATGATTCAAAATTATTTAATATATCAACATGTAATGATTTGTATTATAACTTATGTATATTAAAGCAATTCCTAATAATCTTAATACTTACGACACTGTTGAAATATTTGTACTAAAAATATTATATAAAACTTATGAAAAATATAATTGTACAAAAAAGAAATGTTTTATTAAAAATCTAAATTAAATGCTATTGAACTACTATATATTAAATATATATTACATAACTCTTATTTGCATTATTATTTGTTATGACGTAAGATTTATGTTTATCATTTAAAGCTGAAGTATTCAAAGTGCTCTTCGTGTAATAAATTTTCTTTTCAAAACAAAGTAAATTATTAATAGAAAAAATTAACTCAGTATATGTTCCTGTTAATTAAATATAATTATATCATACTACGATATAATCATTTAGATTAAAAATATGTGTATACAATGTTTATATAATTAAAAATATTTACAGTGTGAATTTCAATCTGATAGTGTTGTCTTTTATTTCTTTTATGACATCTGTTACTATCTTACACCACCAGATATTAAAAGATTCATTCTTATCATTTTATGCTTTATTATTATTTTATATAAATGCCATATATATTTAAAACTTAATTATTTATAAATTAGAGTGTTGTAATCATTTTGTAATTGAATAGTACAATAATTATTTTAGATATTACTTTAAAATATAATTTGCTTTTATTAAGTCATGTAGAAAACCTTATTCTCTGAAGAATAATACAATTTTTCTTAAACTTGCTTATTTTCTATTGACTAATATAAATTCAGTTTTATGTGAAAATCTACAAACTTTATGATCATAAAAATTAATCTGTCTTGACTCACCATCAAAGTAATGACTTGCTTCAATTAATTTGTTTTATATTAAAATTATATATTGAAACCTCTTTTTATATTATGTTTTTATCGTTTAAAAGTTATTACAAATTTCTGTGTAAGAATTTATTAATATAATGTTCCTATATAGATAAACTTATTAAAAATAAAAAATATATTGAAAGTATATTATAATATTGTAACTGAAGTGGATATTGCAAATAGATGAAAACTGATCAAAATTATGTAACTGACTTGACTAAAAATAATTAAAATATTAGAAAGGCTTTGTACATAAAATTTAAATTTGAAACATGTTTTGATTTAGCACCTTAAATTACTTAATTCACTAATAAATTGAAGACTATTAAGATGGTTTAAAATACTTATGATCATACACATTTCTTGAGAATATATGATTTAGATAGCTATTTCCTAAATTATCTAAACTGCTGAAAAGTAGCAACTCATAATTACTTTATCAACTATGTTAGTTTATTATAGTTGTATGAGAATTAAATTATAGTTTAAATGTTTAAATATTCTTTAGTTATGAAAATTACTAATATAAATATTCAATATTTTATTTAATACAAAATATTTCTAACAAGATGTATGATTTAGCATATTTATAAAAAAAACTTCAGTTATTACAAATATGTTTATTTAATGATGTTTTGTTTTATAATCTTCATTGTTGTACATTATAATTTACATTATATTACATTAAAATACATTTTAAATAAATAAATAACAGTATTAAAATAAATATCATATGTATCTTCAAACAATGATTAACAAAGTGTCTAAAATTATACTTTTTTCACAGACTGCAGATGGACTGCCCCATTCTCAGATGTACTCCCAATTACTTGCTATATATCTATTTCAAAATGAATTGTAAGTGTATCCAAATTTCTATTAATAAAAGTGTCAATTTAAAAAGAAAGATCTTAAATTACTCCTTCAAAATAAAGTTTTGCACAAAGAAAATTATATAAATAAAGAAATTGGAGGAATAATAATTAATAAGTTTTTATAAATATGATACGAAATAAATATGTATTTGAATGTACAGTATAATATGTATATTATAAAAATCATATTTCTTTTTTCAATATTTTTTTATCTAATTATTGCTGTAATTTTGAGAGTTATTTAAGGTATTTTGAGAATTAAACAAAAATTTAATAAGCCAAATCTATGTACAATACATTTATTTTAATTATATTAATTTTAAATTTTTATTTTATTAATTTTAAATATCAATCTGTTAATTAATTTTTTAATTAAAAAATATAAATTATATTGTCGAAGAAAAATAATATATTAAATGGTTTAAAAATTAAAAAATTCAACTCATTTAAAAGACTATTAAAAAGCAGAGTTATTAATGCAATATAACATGCAAATTTAACCAAAATTAAAATAGCATTTTTTATTATTAATTAGCCCATTTATCTTTATATTTAATTTATGATTTTAATAACAATAATGTAAGTGCTAATAAACTCACATATTTACTTCTGAACATTCTTTAAAAAATAAGATCTATATTGAATTATCTGCTTTAACTAAAAAATTTTAAATTAAAATGTAATGTATAAAGTAATATTTTTATTAAAATTTTTATAAAACTACTTATAAATTTGTGAATAATTAATCAAATTTATTCATGTTTCACTATATTTTAAAAACATTGCTAAAACAATAGTCAATAGATCATTTCAAAATTAAAAATAAAAGTTTTACTGAAAAGAATATAAATCTCATGTTATATTTCGATTTGAAATTTATATACTTAAACAAATTTTTTAAATTTGTGTCATTTTTGAATATGTAAAAGATGTAATTTTTTAAGTTACTTTTATATTAAAAAAGTAATTAAACCGACATTGTGAAAAATATATTCATTGCGCAAGTGGAACTAAAATTGAATTTAAACAGTTTTTAATGATTGTAGATGTTACGCTAAATATTTATGGAAAAGAATTCCAATAAATATAAAAAATAGTTGTTCTGATGTAAGAAGTATTTGGACTGTAGCACAAAAAATGTGGCAACGTGATTGGCCTGCAGTTCATATTGCTTTAAATGTTGAATGGAATAAGAATGTAGCAGACATAATGAATGCATTAAAAGGTAAATTTTTTTTCCCCTGAACAATGATACTAGATATATGGAATAATATAAATATTAGTAAAAAAATAAGATGCATTAATTATACTTATAGATGTATAAATTATTTTATATTTAAGGGGATAACTTAAATCATTTTAATTATTTTATTCTAATTTTTTCATAAATAAAAGATAAATTTATTAGTATTTTTGATGAGATATATTATATTAATTGTATTAACATTCCTAAATGAATGTTAGTGCATTCCATTTAATAGTGCACGCTATTCATTTTGTAATAAAAAAATTAACACGAAAAAAACATTGCGCTGCCAAATAATAGAATAAAATCTTGTTTATCTGGCATCATTTTCAATTGATAAATTGAAAACAATAACGATATAATCATTTACAATTACAAAAATTTAAATCTTATATTAAAATATATTATGTTTTAAATGTAGAAGCTTCTACTAAATTTTAGAGAAAAGCTCTGCCATGCAATGGAGAACTCCAAATTTATTATTTCAATTCTTCAATATTATTCAATTTCATTATTTAGTTTAGTATAAAAAATAAATACCAAATATATTAATTTGGTATAACAATCTTGTTTTAGTGTATTTTTTCTTCTATGGTACTTAAATTACGTACGGGATTTTTGTGGTTATAACTTTATGAATTAATATACTTTAAAATTGATTTTTTTTAATTAATTTGAATGAACCTGTTAACTCTGTTTTAAAAAAAGAAGAACCAATGACAGTCATCATGATTGGTATATGCCGTTCAGATTATTCGTTATTAGAACGAAAACCAGATTATGATTTTCGTGATAAAAACAGTATTATTTTCCACCTTATTTATTCCACCACATTATCACCATAAGGGTGATCATTATTATTTAAATATATCTTCATATTAACAAACTTAATATAATTATGTTTTATCTCTAATATTCTAGTACATTGATGAATGCTGGAAATATAAACTTATATAAATTTATATAAAATTATGATTTAATACTTCATTTTCTTCAGGATGATAATTGTTGTACATACATACCAAATATAAATATTTAAGTTTATGAACTAGTACATGTATTGTGGCTTAAATTATTGAGTACTGAAGTGCTGACTTAATGTATCAAAACATTTGTCTAAAGCAGAGAATGAGAAAAATTGATTAAGAAACTAGAGGTATGAATTTATTTTAAAAATAGCAAAATAATATCAGAGCTTGAAGTTATATCATAAATTGTTCTATAGTAATTTATGCAAAACTAATATTCAAAATATTTTAAGTACTATCATATTACAAATTATTTGAATTAAAGAATTCAGAAATAGATTAATTTACAAATTAAATAAAAAATCTGAGATAAACTGAAACAAAGATAAATTTGTATATTAAAAAGATATTTATGTTATTATTTTAAACTATTTTATATCGCCATATTTTATGTAACGAGACTGACTTTTTTGTAATATATATAAGTAAACAATTTGTAAAAGATAACCATAACATCGAAATGTGCCATAATTGAAAAGGAGAAAATTCTAAAGAAAATTTTAATTATTACATTGAAAAATATGAAGAATGTGATAATTTAAAAACTTGTATACTCTAAATAAGACAAAATGCTATGACCGCTTATATAAAAACAAATAATTCTTATCAGGGTTAAAAAGGCCATCTACAATATCTTAAATCGTTAACACAAGAATAAATTCTTAGCAAAAACGATGAATCTATATATTCTAATAAGAATATAAATGTAACAAAAAAGCTAATAATTAAGAACTGAAACTACTACATGCATATGAAAATTAATTCTTTTATACTTGTAATCTATTAATTCAGTTCTATAAATTCGAAGATGAATTTGAGAATTGCAACAGTAATTATACAGTTAACAAATAAACAGATTCTTATGACCAAACAAATTTATCCTGTTACAATAAAAACTATTATGCGATCTATAATTTTAATGTTATCCTAAAATCCGAAAAAAGAATAGGAATTTATAAAAATCAAGCTACGATGTAATTCAATCGATGAAAACGGATAAATAATTAATGAAAGTAAATTTTGAAATAAATTAAAAAGATTTTCACACAATTATGCAATTTAAATAAATTTGAATAATGTCAAATGCATCTAAGATAATTCTGCAAAAATAACAGTTCACATAAGGAAGATTAATAATATGCATAATTATGAGCAATAATATTAAATGATGTATTAACAAATAACTAAGCATCGTTCATGGGATAACCGGTAAATGTATAATATATGAAACGAGTAAAATAATTTTAATATTTATTTTTTTACCAAATTACGAATTGAAAGCTAAAAAAATACATGAAATTATTTTTATATTTATTTTCTCATTAATGATTCAGTTTTAAGAGGTAAATAATAAATTCTATATTTTTAATCAATAAAATGCTTCAATTAAACGATGAAAATTTTACTCGATCTGTAAAAAGTTTATTTCCTTAATGTATTTATCAATATTGCTGTAATAAAAAGTGTATATGCTTTCAGAGCGAATTCGAGAACGTGCTATTATTCTTATTAGTGAAGCTTATTCATCCCTTGATATTACTACACTTGCAAAAATGATTGGACTATCGCCAGAAGAATCTCGAAAAATAGCCATAGAAAAAGGTTGGCATGTTGTTGGAACAATAATAAAGCCACATAAAATTTATAAACAACAGACGTCGTCTACTGTAGAAGCAATAACTGAAGAACAATTATATAAATTAACACAGTTTGTATCTTTTTTAGAAAATTAAATTCAAAATTAAGGCCTAAAAATCTTTCTTTATGACATATCATTAATTTATGTAAATAAAAATAATTGTTATATTTCATAATTTCGTCCTTTTGTTTTGAAATAAAAAATGTTTGTATACTTTGTTGGTTTTAATAATTATATGATTAATAAAATAATGTTCTTATTCTTTAGAAAATAAATACTTATTTTAGGTTTAAACAAATATTTTATATTTATTTAAAGTATTTTTAAAATATATAAAATGCATTAATGAAATATTTTAGAATCATTAAAAATTTTTAATTTCGATAAAGATTATTACTTCTCAAAATACTGCTCGTTATTATTTGGAATAATAGACATCTGTATCATTAAAAATTTTAAATTTAAAATAAATTACTAAGTATATTAATGAATGAAATAAAATTTGAATGATACTTCATAGAAGAAATATTTTTATTTTAATAATTGTGTAAATTTAATCAAATGAATAAAACTGAATAGTATTTAATATTAATTTATATATATTAATAAAAAAGTCATTAAATTTCATTGTCAAGTTATATAAAATAATTAGACCTTATGATATAAAAATATTTATTGTTAAGATACTTTTTTTTAATATAATGTAAAACAATATCACTGACTTTCTTGCATAGCTACAGAACATTTAACTTACACAAATAATGATATTCACTTTATGGTTTAGATGTATTACAAATTTACCAAATAGCGATTATTGAAGCCATCAATCAATGACAATATAAGACAAAATTTTAATTCTGAGAAAAAGTTAATGGTTTCAACCGTAAATAAAAAATCATTGCGATTTTGGTGAAGGATATCAAATTTAAATTTCTGAACTTTCTTTTTGAATAAAAGTATTAACTTGTGTTTTAACCTCTGATGTTTTAATTATGTTGAAACAGTACTTATCACGAATAATAAAAAAAAATAAGTATGATGTATTGCCTGAATTACGAAACAATGTTGCTTCAACAATAGCGAAATGGCTTCTTTTTGTATGGTAATGAGAAAAGTGAAATGGGTCAAATTGATACCCAAATATTTAGATTAACATTGCTAAATTTTTATTCTTTTTAGATTTTTTTTTAATAAATGTCTTAATTTCCATATTTTTATAACTAGTTTAATAGTGAGCACACTTCAACCTATACTACATAAAGCAAAATAATATTAACTTACGTTGGTTAGTATTTTGTATATTTTAATTTTTTTTAAATTAATCGATATAACAGGAAACTATTTTTCACTTTTATAAAGAAAGGCTTAGATTAACTAGTTAAATTAAAAAAGTTTAGTTGATATATTATTCTTAGCACTTACCTTTTAGATCATTAATAATTTATTTATTACAGTGGAATGAAAAAAAAACAAATTAAAAATGAATTGCACATTAACTTTACATAATAAAAGTAAATGCAAAAATTCCTTACCTATAAGTACACTTATTTTATATTTTTATAATTCGGTAGTAAATTATTGTTGATAAATATCAAGTTTTACTCTATACTAAGTAGGCACCAAATATATATTTTCAATATTAACGTTATAGTATTTTTTGCTTTATTTAGACAAATATATATCGAATAGTATTTTTCTTTATATTTAGTAATATTGCAAAAATAGAATCAGGAAACGATAGCATATTGTAAATGTGGCTGTGATTTATTTCTACAAGTGATTGATTTTACATTACAGTTCTTGTAAACTTTTTTATATGTATAATTTGTGTAATTCATTTCAATATATATTCAATTTTTGTTATTTTTAATTGAATTTTATTTGAAGTCAATATAATTATTTAAACATTTTAGTTTTATATGTCAAAAAATCATCGTATTGTAACAGAATATATTTTACACAAAATGAAAATTTCATGAAAAAAACTGAAATTATTTTTTTTATTAGCTAACATTTTATCAAACTTATCCCTAGCTAAAACAATATTTGAAATATGTATTAATTTCTTGGATTATGTTATTTTTGTTATATTGATTATAGTTCTATTTATTTTATATACGATAATAATTTATTTAAAGAAATTAGTTAAGAATTACTATAAAATAATAGTTTGTATTTCCATAAGATATCGTCTATATAAGTATAATAATGTTTAAAAAAATGCGATTAAAATAAATCGTCTTAAGATAAGATCTAGGTATTTATTATATCATGACTACATACGATATAACATTTTCATTTATTTAATTGATTATTAAACTTAGACCAAATAAAACGAACGTAGACAAATTTAATAAAGTAAAATTTCTTTATTTTTTAATAGTTGTATAATTTATGTTATCGTTGAATATAAATTATATTATTATTAAAAGGCAGATAACAATGTACCTGACAAAAATTACAATTTTCTAAAAATAAATAAAATATATAATCAGAATTTTAAGAATCAAATTAATAACACATTTATTTTTAAATATAAATATTAAATTGTATATATAATATGTGTAATATTATAAACAATGTATTAAATGATAATTTTATACAAATAAATATCACGAAAAATTTTTCTGTCTTTTAGAATATTTATTTTACATACATTGCACAATGTTATAATTTTGGCCTATTTACAAAGAATATTTGGTCATTAAAATAAGATTTTTAAAACATTTTAAAAATAATTAAAACTCTCCCAGTCTTTTAAATAAATTCAAAATTATTTAGATTAAAATTACAGATTTTGTACAATTTATTTAGTTTGAAGCTTTCAAAGAAAGCTATTGCACTGTGTTAACGACTTATACTGCTTATTCCAATGTTAATTTGATGATTCAATGAATTTTCATATTCTAACTGTTGATTTGCTTCCTGAAAATATATAAATGATAAAGTACACTTATTTTATAATTACACAACTAAAAGAAAAATAACGCAAATTAGTGACATGTCATTTATTGATCTTTCGTGTTTAAATGATTAAAATGAATTCTATACATTAAAAATAATATTAGGAAAAGAGAAGGGGTTATTTATAAACTTTTTACATACAGGAATATTATTTTATGATTATATGATGATAATATATGATTATACTCAGTGCTCGTATCTTTATAACCTTATATATAAGATCTTATATACCATTAATATTTATTAAAAAAAATTCTAAATAAAATTGTACATATAAATATAAACATTCCCTGATTATAAATAACTGATATTGTTGATACTTTTTCAATACATAATTATTTAAAAATCAACGATATAATTAACTGATTTTTTAGTTAAATATGTATATACAAGTTAGAGAATTAGAACTTATGTTATTAAAAATTTATTTTACCAATATCCAAGGATGATCTAAAACATCCTCTGCACTAAAACGTAATTCCGGTTGCGCTTGTAGCATGTTTGAAATAAGTTCTTTGGCTGAATGTGAAATATTATTCCAATATGGAGAAGTAAATTCGTATTGCCCAGTAAGAATTCGTTCAAATAATTTTTCTTGTAAATTTTCGGTAGATATAAAAGGTGGAAAACCACACAAAAGAATATATAAAATAACTCCAGCGGCCCAAACATCAATCTGAAAAAAAAAATATATTTAAAAAATAATTTATACTTGAATGAATATTATTATTCTTCTTAACTTCAAATAAAAATTTATTGGAATGGATACTTAAATATTAAACATATTATACAAATATCGGTTTTTGTATAATAAAAATTAATTTGCCATACGTACATAATTAGGCTATTGATTAATAAAAAAAAGTTATGCACATTTCCCAATGCGGTTTTATGTATTCAAATATATATGTATATTGACCTTTACATTCTCTTTATTGCTATTTTTATTATTTTATTCTTTCATTTATGTTACTTATTTATGATTTTATACTCGATTCTTTCGTAATTTTCTTGAATCCGTGATATGAACCACTATTTTACAATCTTTTGACAACATTATGTGCTTTGTTCATTCAATAGATAGATACAATTATACCAAAGTTCCAGATTTATTATCAACATAATCATTAAAGGCTAAAAATAGTACATTGCCTATTGAATATATTTTGACATATCATAGTTTTGTTCACAAGTATAAATTTCATATACGTATTAATATGTTTAGAGGCACATGCCAGTGTATATTTTTCATTAAATTCATAATTTCTGATATGTTATTAATTGACTATTGACTGACTCAAATTAATTATTAAATGTAAAGATTTGTTTTTTCAATGTTTCAACATATTTAGCTTTTATTTTAGAATTACATTAATTATTTGCAATATTTTCATAATTTGATATTCAGTATATAAAAACTCACTAATTTTACATTTTATTATTAGATTTGTTTACTTGTATCCTTTTACCTATTTAATTAGATACTCGCAATAACGTAACTCTCAAACTGTTATGATTTAACTTATAATTAATCTGTTATCACTACGGATTACTAAATTCTAGCATATAATTCCATATTTGAGTTTATATAATTTTTTCTCTTCTGCTGTTTTACTTATCTTTTCTACAAATATTACCACATTCTAAACTTCAAATTGTTATTAATATCATTCGATTAGTACTAAATTTATGTTACTTAGTTTTGAATTCTTCCTTCTACCTATTTAGAAGAATATTATTACTCTTTTTTTAGAGTAATATAAATTATCGTTTTTAACACATTCACCAACTTTATTTTTTTGAGTTTTTTGAATTTATCAGTATGTTAGCACCTACTAATTATTTAAATATATATTTATATTAGACTGATTGTGTTTTTCAGAATAATAATGTATTATGAATTTAAATGATTTTATAGAAAAATTGTGGATAATATATATTCCAAACTGTCATGACTATTATAGATAATCCTTTTAATTCAACGATCTTTATAAATATTTTATTTTCTATATTTTTAAATATTTTATTCTTGATACTTCATGGTTTTAGTTTTTCTTATATTCAATCTGATGAATGTCGACGTGGATATAGTCGATAAAAGTATCTATTTCAATATATTTTTATTAAAATTTTTGATACTTGATTTAAAACCCTCAAAAATTGTTTAGAACTTGATTTATGATTAAATATAAAAAACTAGCAGGTATTAATAATCGTCGAATTTCAAGGAAAATGGGAATTTTTTCTGAATTTATATTTACATTCGGATTATAAGGAATTTACAAAATTTGTACCTTTATATTGGAACAATATATTAGTATTGCTCACCAGTAATAATATACTAAACTGTATAAAAAATTAATATTTTAATAAATTCATATCGTTATTCATTTGGAAAAATAAAAAACATGTACAACACCTTTAATATTAATAAATTTCATACAGATATTAATTAAATGTACCAATGTATTATGCAATACCTTTAACCCATATCCTACTCCAGCAAGTATTTCTGGAGCCACGTAAGTGGGAGTGCCGCAAATAGTATACAATGGTTCTTGTACAAATTGAGCAAGTCCAAAATCAGCAAGTTTAAGACAATGTATTCGATGACCATTAATTTGAACTAATAAATTTTCAGGCTTAACATCTCTATGAACTATTTGATGAGAATGCAAATATGCAAGAGCATAACACAAATGACTTATCATTGTACTTGCATCAGCTTCCGAAAATTTTGTTGCTGTAGCTATTGCATCGAACAAATCTCCACCCTGTATTAAAATATGGAAATTATAAAATAATTCATAAACCATATGATGTACTAATTATATAAAATCTTTTAAATATTTTGATTACAATACATACAATATCAATTAAACATGATTAAACTACAGAAAATAGTTGTCATAGATTGTAAATGAAAATGAAAATCTTTATATTCGAACTTAAATACTTCCATTTTTATAATGTTCACTTCGAAAAACTTTAATTTCTTCCAATTTAATAAAATTCATAAGTTTTCAATAAAGTTATTTTCAATAATGGTATAAAAAATTTAATTAACATATTCTTATAAAATGTAAACACCTTCCTAAGTTATATATTTATAACTGGATATGACTATATTAAAGATTTTCTAAAAATCAAACGGGGCCAGAAGAAAATTCTAAAAATGAAAACGGACATTTAAGTTTTCGATCCGATTTATAAGCGATTGATTATTTTAGTCAAATTAATCTCAATAATCGCTGAAATACAATTGTTCTTGATTAAACAAACTTAAATATCTCTTTATTAATAGAAAAATATAACCATTTGAATAATTAAAAAAATTATTTATCATAAAATCGAAAATAAATAAATATCTTTACAAATGTCTATAAAAAAAAATATATTCAACACATCATTTAATTTTTTCTTTAATTCAATCAACTGGAAATTGTATGATATATACATTATATATAATAATTATTCTTAATATACATTTAATATATATATATATATATATATATATATATTTAATTTAATTTCGTTTAATTATATCTATATATTTACAAAGTTTCTGCAAAATTCTGTAATGTCTCTTACCATAGAATTAATAAATTCTATTACTAACGATGTTATTTATTAAGATGAATTGAAAATAGCTTTTATTTTGTAGGCTAACCTATACAGTAAAACTATTGAAGTTTTTTGACAATCGTCTTTTCTAATCCTCTATAATTATAAATATAAATTTTTAATTTTCTGTGTAAAAATTAGCATTAGCAAAATATATTGTATTTAAAATTTGACAAACTAGTTTCAAATATTTTCATATATTCAGCTTTATTTATTAGACATGTAAACATACTTGAAAATAATGTTATAAATATTTTTTAAAAGAATAATTTAGACTTAATGCGATGGTTTAAAAACTTTCTCATATTTATTCATTCATAAACAAAAGTCCACTCCTTTAATTTGCTTGCTTTGTAAGACGATTTCATAGTGATAATATATAAAAGTTCCTACATATGCTTTAGCTGATTTTTATCTTATATCATTTAATAATTCTTTTTTCTTAATAGAAATATTAAATGTTGTCTAAAAGTTTTATTAATTTAATAAATAAATATTAATATCATCAATATGTAAATCAGAAATGCTTAAATAGTTCCTAGGTCCTTTATATTGTTATTCAGCTTAAACTCTAACTCATGCATACTCATAAGTTTATTACATCCATTTAAATTTCTGATTTAACTAACTTTTGAAGGAACATTTATTCATAACAACTTATAAAACATGTAAATCTTTAAAGATAGATATACTTATACATGTAGTAAAAAAACAACTCAAACATTATTTCTATACTAAAATAGGAATGTTACTATTAATATTAATAGTAAGTAAAATAAATAATTAATATTAATATTAATTTACTATTAATATTAATATTACCACTATTCAGGATTATTTGCTATGAAATATTGATAATATTATTAATATACATTTATATTTGTATATTATTATATAAAAATCTATAATTAACCTCGAAGGAACTAAACGTAATTGATAAAATTTACTAGTTTCAAGACCATATAATATTCCTACTAAAACAAATATCTATAATTTTAAGTTTCCAGAAAGATTATAGATTAAATTATTATGAATAAATATAAAAATTAATTAATTAGATAATTGACCAAAATTGTTATTGTAGGAATACCAAAATCATTAATTTTCAATTAATGATTTTATTATAGTAAATAGAATAGAATTGATTTGGAAATATAGTCAGTTTATATTAATAAATAAATGTAAAATTATGAAAAAAATTTCAATTTATTTAAATTTTGAATGTATATTATATTATTATTTTTAATTTTATTATTAATTATATTATTATATTATTAATGAAATATACAAATGTTTGATATAGTATTAGTATAATATAGTAAAAATTTATTTCGTTTTATGTAAATTCAATTAATTTATATATTACACATAATAATTTCTATTCCACTGAATATTTGGTTGAAAATTACAATTAAAAATATGATATTAAATTAATATTATAGTACAATAATAAAACAAATTATAGCGTTCTTCTAAATTTATTTAGAGGATTTAATACTTCCATGACTACGTACATATTATAAAATTGTTTTTGATATTCTTGCGCAAAGCCAAGGAAAACCTGAAGTTTCTTACAATAAGCTAGATAAAAGATAAAGAATTTATAATGATATTTTATATTTCTTACAAGGTATAAAAAAATACCCAATCGTACAATAAATGTAGGTATATAAAATAATAAAATCAATATTTAAAAAATTTTAATGTATAATTCACACAAATAAATATTCTGTTCTTTAACAGTTTTAAACTTTTTATGAAATTTCAAATAAAATTAAAAGTCAATATCTTCGGAATTTATTGGAATTGAATTTGAACTATTATAATATTTACTAATCTTAAACATAAAGTAATACAATTTATATAAAAAAACTCCTAAATAAATTAGACTTGCAAAATATAATGAAACATATCTTACACGATATGAAAAAAAATCTACAATCATAAATTTTTTAATTCTTTAATTTTTGAAACAATCAGTGCCAAATTAATAACTTAATAAATTCGACTAAAATCGCATATATAGATAAAATCTATTTTAACATAAATACTTAATCTCAATTTGGGGGCTACCTAGAAAAATGTCCAAAGTTACATAATCATTCTTGTACATATAATGAATTTCAACTGTAACAACTTATTACAAACACATTATACAGAAAATTGTAGTATTTAATTTAGATAATTTATAAAACATTAAAAATATTGAAATCATAAATATATATAGAAATATTGTATACCTTCATTAGTTCCATTATTAGAAATAGATGATCATTAGTTTCTTGCTCTTCTATTAAACTAATTATATTTGGATGACAAACTTGACGTAAAATTGCTACTTCTCGTGCCAGCATAGCCTCTTTTCCTTGGCATTTATATTTATCAATAATTTTTAAAGCATAGCAAATTCCAGTAACTCTTAAATATGAAATAAACTCTTATTATTTGACAAGCAACGAATTATATTAAAAAAAATCCATTTAAAACAAGTTAATTTTTACATATTTCAAATTCAAGCTAATATAACTATAAAATGTAATTTTTTTATTACATTTAGTTGTAGGTAAATTTACCATCAATGTATTAAGGGGTGTATTTTAAATCCCTATTAAAAAGATGTTAAACTTTATATATTAAAAGCTTATACCAAAAACAATACATTTGTATATGTTCATATTTGTTTTCTAGAATTTTTTAATAAAGTATAAAAAATATCAAAATAAATAAGCTTTCTATTTTACATATTAAATAAAGTTATTATACAAAATTTTAAAAATCATAAATCAATAAATTATAGAATTTATTAATCTGGTCCAAAATAATATTTAATAAAAATGTATTTTTGACATTAGTTTATAGCATCTTTATCGATGTACCTAACAGATCTTGTTCATAACACGTTTGACATTATCCTCATTATATCTATTGTATAATCAGAATATTAATACGTGCCTAAATTTTCATTTTTAAATTGAAATTAAAAAATAATGTTTTATAACACTTTCTAAAATAATGAATTATCTTAGTATATGAATAGATGATAAAAAAGCATTTGCGTAGATATTCAAACACAAGAATTTTTTATTCTGTTAAATGTTTATAAATGACTAATTTTAACTGTCATTACCAAATATAGAAAAATTATAATATATATATATATATATATACATCTAGCAACTTCAATTATATACAATTATATTAATTCAAGTTAAATTTACAGAATTGGCTGACATAATATTTACAGTAATAGTAACGAAGACAAGTTTTATAGTAAACTGTTTTAGTTGGCAAATTAAAAATACAGTACAAAGCGTAAATTATAACATACAATATAATAAATTAATTGTCGTGGTAGTAGCAAAATCTTACGCCTTGTAACGTATTGTCACAAAATAACTTTATGTTATTCTTAATTCTTTGTTTTACTAATTAAATTTACTCAAATATTATTTGCATAATACTCAAAGTATTATTTTTTATGCTATTTTTCAATTTGATCCAATAATACTTTAATTACGAATTTCTTAAGATTGCTGTAAATTTTTTTATTTAATTCTAATAATTGACACTGAATCATTAGAAAACATGTTGGTGTATTAAATTACTTATAAAAATGTTATATATATTTATATAATTTCTTGTATTGTATGATTTTGTATACTTAATATCTTTAATGTAGGTTGTTAACTAATAAATCTTATAAAATATTTTATTTATTTAAATAAATTTTATAGGTATTATATTATTACAGATTATTATACAAACTTTTATATATTAATATAAATTATGTACATATTTACTAAAATTATAAAAGTATTTATATATGCACATCATTTTAAATAAAAAATAAAGCTTAAAAATCATTAAAATTATTAGTAATAATCACTATCGGTATCTAAAATAAAATAAATTTATCATATATGAAATAAAATTTCATTATATTTTCAAATATTTTAGGGATTTCTATTTTAATGTTACAAAACCCAATAATAAAATTATATGGCAATCATAAATTAAATTTATACGAATTTAAAGGTTTAATTCAATTTATTTTTCTCTTAATATAATACTAGTAACTTTAATTCAATATATCGTTTGAAGTAAAAGTTAAAAAATTGATTGTTAAAAATACTAACTTGTGAGTACATTGTCTAACTACAGCAAAGTTTCCATCTCCAATAACATGTCCAATATTATAATGCAACTTTAGGGAATTAGGAAAATTTAGTGCTGATGGACTTGGTGTTCTAACTTGCAATGTATATGATAATCTTTTATCTATCTTACGAGCTGGCATTTTTGGCATTGGTCCATTGTGCTTTTTAATACATTGACCTCTACGAAACCCTTGAACACATTTTGATTCTTCAAGATCAAGTTCAAAATCTTCATGATTTGGTTTTTCAGGACCGTAAATTATAAAAATGTCTTCATTGCCAAAAAATTGCTCTAACAGTGTTATTTGATTACCAGATAACGCATAAACTTTTCTAGCTGCACCTGAATCTAATTTTATAACTTCCGTTATTGCTTCTAATACATGCTCGATACTTGGAGAGTTTCTTTTATTTAATAAAAGCCTTACAATCTTTCTTGGTTTTATTCCATTTCGTATTAAAGTTATAATTTTTGCTTTAATACATAAAGGACTACTAGTAATTTGTCTTACATTAATTGCCGGTGATGATGGTAATCCAGACATAGAGCTTCCTCTTTTTACAGTCGAAGAAGAATAATCTACTTTCTTAAAAACTTCACCTTGACCTGATACAACATAACTTTTACCGTCTTCTAAATCACTTATATCTTGAACTTTTTTTCCATCCATAGTATATATAATTCGTACACCATTTGGTAAAGTAACATTAGAAATTAATGCTCTTGTCAAATCAGAAATAAGACTATCAAAACTCCTATATCTTTCAGGGGTAACTGCAACAACAACTCCGTTATAAAATTTATCACCATTTCTAAAAAATCGTATTCTTTTGGCTTTTTTCGTTGTTGAAATTTTTATACAATTAAAGGAATGTCGATTACTGTTATTCAACAAATTTTTATTTACAGATGTTACAATATTAGAATGATTTAAATCTTTGTCACCAGAATGATTATCTGACTTAATACACAGCATTGACATTTGATTCATTGTTTCTTCCATCTTTCTAAAGACGTATCTATTAACAATTATAGTCTATTAAAACAATCGTCTAATAATAATGAAAAGTAACAAAAAATAACAAATAAGACTTACCAATACCAGGAGTAAGGCTCCATTTATTGAAGTTTAACACAATTACTTTATTTTGCAGTAATAAAATAGAGTAATATGTTCATTTTAATATTTGTTTTTCAAACTCAAACTAAATTCTATCAATATTGTTTTTATCATTCGTTGAATTTTTTATTGATGTGGTGTAATAAATGGCTAACATATGTTAACACCTGAATATAACAAATAAAATTTTAATAATTTAATAGCATGTTTACATATTTATATTTATATTTACATGAAAAATGTCAAAACTTGGTAAGAATCACAAAGATTTGCTCGATTGACATTCAAAACTACAGCCTATGATTTTTTCTTATTTTTATATGATTATCATATAAAAAATGCAAAACTAAACCTGACACTTGGACTATATCATAAACATGATGACGCCAGGGCCATTCCGTTCTATCAAACAAAACCAAACCAATAACTTTGACTACAGAAACGCGTGGTACTTATCAACAATAAATACTTAAAAACGAATTATATACTGTCAACAATACGTTCGAAATTTTTCATTTTTAAAATGTATTAATGCTAGATGTAAGTCATTGTATTTGGAAGATTATTTTATAGATTATTCCGTAAAGCATTATATTCATTTCCTTAATTAAAACTTATTAGTGTAAACAAATAAGGTAATAATCAAAACGAATATAATTTTTATAAAAGCTTTAAAATATAATAGTAAACTTCCATGGTACTTAACTATATAACAAGCAAATAAAATATAAAATTATTAACAAAATTTTTAAGAATTTTTTCTATCAATTATTACAATGCGAAAAAGTACTTTTAAAGCTAAAAAAATAGAAATAAAATGTGAATTTTAAATATTTACTGTTAGTTCAGGTCATTAAGATCATATATGAAAGTCTTCCTGTATATTATTTTTTTAAGAAAATATACTGCAGAAAAATAAGTTTTGTAGGGCAATTATAAGAAAATAGTACATAACTTTATCAATAATTTGACAGATTTTAATCAATTATAGTATAAACAAATGCACATAAAATAATTACCACCGTTATTATTATTATTATGTCCTGTAAACTATAATTAAAAATGTAACCACAATATCCATAAGGTTTATTGTAAAAGTTAATAGTATCAATAATTTTAATAGAATGGATTATTTATATATGTAAATAATACACGACTATTTTTAGATAAAAGTAATGCAATAAAACTGTTTAATATTTTTTGAATTGTTACATTATTAAAATTGAAATTTGATGATATAATACAATGCACATTTTTAATTTTTATATTTACTAACTTATTAATATAACATTTATATATCTATACATGCATAATTGAATATTTTTCGTTCTATTACATTAGAGCACGGCTCAGAATTGAAAATTTTTTAAATTATATTCTCATGACTTTAAGCAAAATAATCTATATATTTAAAATAACATACATTTTTAGTATGGTGAAATATTTAAAATATAATATTAACTTTTATTGTTTTTGTAAATGCTTTATGATTGTTTTAGAATTCTACTTTTGGTAACAGAAACCACTTATATTACTTACTTTATTTATAGGGAGGATTTAACTTCGTCAATAACAACCAATTTTCGGCTAAACAGCTGATAAATGATTTTATGTTATAAATCAATAAAATCCTTGAATCCATACAGATATATTAAGATTGATTCTTCCTTTCTCAATAATTGAGCATATTCCTCGATTGATTTGTGTGCTATAATTATGTGTTATACTATAATTACTTTTTTCGTTTGTAAATCATTTTTACAAATGCTTATGGATGTGATTCATACATATATGCACAACAAACTCTTTATCATTTAAACCAACATTAAATAGTTGCTTTGCAAGTGTTGATCAGTAATTAATTTTGTATATATTTTTAATATGTGCACAATTAAAAATTTCACTATGTTCAAAGTTCAAAAACATTAACTGTAAAGAGTATTAATTAATTATAAGCCACAATTAGCTATTTGAGTAACTAATTTATTAATTTTACATTTTTAGCATATTATTATATTATTTAGTATCACATCATATCATATGTAAACCACTAATAAATGGAGACTTATTGAAATACTAATTAATTAATAGAATCTTTGATTTCTATAATTGCAATTAATTTTATATAATTTAATTTTGTTATACTTAAATTTATATTATATTTTATATTTTACAAACATAATTCCTTATTAATTTTGTAAAATAAATAATGCCTTGAGCTTTTTCTTTAACAAAATCCATATATTTTTTTTAATCCTCTAAAAACACAATTTGTTTCAATACTAATTTTCTTTAATAATTTATAATTATTTATCACTTAAACATAATTTTTAATATTTATATTTAACAACTATAAAAAACATTTTATTTTGATAACTATACTGACCTAATGTATAATAAACCTTGTTAAAAGAACTACTAATATCTAAAATTTATTTAAAAAGCTTTTTAGTTATTGATTAAGTGACTAAATTAAAATAAGTTCAAAAATATATTGTACAAGTTTTAAACTGAATTCCTTAAATTTATGAAAATGTTAATACACGAAATATAAAATTGTAACTGCAGTATATTAAATGTAATAAGAAATAAAATTAAAGATTAACCATACAATATTAAGAAGTTAATTAAGATTACTACGAACTTGCCATTTCCTATAATTTATGGATAATTTACGGACAACAACCATTGAAGGTAAAGTATATATTTACGAAAACCTTTAAATAACATTTTAGGTTTTATACAATGTCATATGTTAATTTGTAAATGAAAATAAAAATATTGACAATAAGATCTAATATAATTTTTCAAAGGTTACAATATTTGCTTAGTGGTACATTTATAAAAAAACTTTATAAAATTAATTAAAAAGTAATTCTTGTTATGGAATTGGTTAGAGTTGGATTAAATGGCATAAAAGGTTTTCCATTTTATTGGATTATCTATAGTCAATTTTTCAATAGCTTATTTCTAAAGCTCATATTTTTTATTACAACAGAGACTGTTTATGAAATCAATATGAAGAATGCAGCCAAAAGACAATACTTAGTCACGATTGGCGAAAGAATGGAGTAATAAACCCTAATGATGCAATATGGAAAAATACGGCTTTTCATGGCTTTATAGTTTAATCACAATATATATCATTGGTTAATGTTCTGAAAAAGTGGTTAATTTCTTTCAAATACTGTAAATGAATTAAGAGAAATTAGTCAGAGAAATTATTATAATTATTAAAGTTTAAACAAAATTATTAAAATGTTTAAGTATTCTGAAAGTTTACATTATCTTAAATATAATTATATTGACAACAGTAATTAAAAAACATTTAAAGAGATATTGATTAGATTTTCATCCATGTGACAATTATACGATACTCAATAAAGCATGCGTAATACATATAAAAATGGATAAGTACATGTTTTGACAATGTGAGAAAAAAAATTGAAGGAAAGGCAAAATTTCTGTAGATAATACAGTATGCGAAATGTTCGGTTGAAAATAAATTCATAGTGCTTGACAATATGAAAGCCACCATATAGTTTTGTTAACTATAAATATAAGCCAACAAGTTCTAACAAAATTTTCAATACCCACTCATGATTAGTTGACCAGATATAATCTTTTCACTTATTATGTAGATAGCTTTATTAAAATCAGCAATGAAAGTCTCAATGCTATTTTATAGGCAATAATTCAAGAATTTAATTCCTGTGATTAAATCATATTAGGTCTTAATATAAATATTTCTATTTCCATTTACAATAAAGGTTTCACATCTGTATTGAAAATAATGAAGCTATCAAGTATTAATATTTGTCCAAACTGCATTTGTTATAAATCTGTAACAAATTTTTAGTTTAAAATAAAATAGAATATAATTTATTCAGAATATAATTTAACTATTAAAGATATTAATGAATTTAATAATAATTCAAATAATTTATAAAATATAATTTTCAAATGCATATATAACAAAACTCCATTATGCAATTCATTTTATATAGATTTTATAAAGATTTATACTAAATGAATAAAATATTTAAATTTTAATATTTTTCTTTATACATTTACTTACCCACCCATGTGCTACCATTTTGTAATTCATAGTATGGCATAGTCTTAGATTGGCAATATAACAAACTACAAGTATAGTGAAAACTACAAATTTGTTAATTAGTTCACATAAAGCATTGGAATATACCAATTTTTTTTATAAATAATGTTTCTTAAGCTATTAAATAATAACTCAAAATAAAACTTCAGGTAAGACAGGATTACATTCAATATATGATGTTGGTAAAGTTATCTATTTTGTATCATACGATAATATATAAGAATATAAATTTGAACTTAAAGGAAATCAATATTATGTATATAATGTAAAGTTATAAAATAAATATTAAAAGCTAGAATTATAAAAAAAATTGATATAAGTATAATAAATATGTTTTTTTCTGTACATATCTTTATTTTTGGTTTAGTTAGATTTTAATGAATATTAATAAATTAAAATATCTAGAATTAAATAAAAATTGCTTAAAAAAATTTATATTGTCAATGTTGAATATTTGTAATAATGTTATATACTTAATTTTGTATATTGCTCCTATATCATTAATTTGATAAATATAAAAGCAACAATTTATATAATTTGTTTACAATATAAGTGGTTTCTGTATTATTTATTACAAAATTACTATTTGTTAATAAGAATATTTTAAATGAATGCATATTTTATACATCACAAATATTTTAAAATTAACATAAATAAACATTCTAATATATAAAAATTATTTCTTAAACAAAAATTGCTTTAAAATTGCTTATTTTGTAATACTGAAATTTAAACAAATATTTATAATTAACAGTTGTTAAAATGTTTTAATCCTATACTTAAAATTATTTGAAATTCAATTTTATTTAAAATTTAAATTTTTTCAAAGGGACTATTATACAATTATAAAAACTGTTATACAATACTTAAATATTAAAAAAGACTATTTGATTTTATATTTTAACTAAGCATATTACATAATTAATGGTATTAAATATGATTTTAGTTTTTAATTTTTTGTCA